TCCGACAACTCTGTCTTGTACTGTTGGAAGAACTTGATACTGCTTCTTTTAAGTGGAATATATTAGGTACCATTCGATAACGAGCACTGGAAGGCGTAGAAGTAACATTAATTCAGTTTGTTTATTAGGTTTTAATAATTTCCTGCTTGTTTGAGTGCTGTTGCCATTACTTCTCTGCCATTTCTGCTGCCTGCTTCTTTGGTTTATCATGTCTGGTGATTGCTTCTTTGGCCTTTGTCTGGTCTCTGCTGGTATCGCTTGTTCTTTGGTTTGTCTACGGTACTGGTGTTGCTGCTGCTGCTGCTATTACGGTCTTTCCTGGTCTACTGTGTTTGGTGCACGTTTATTGTCTGGTCTATATCCGGTGGTTGCATATCTTCTGGTCTATCTACGGTGATGGTAAGTGGTAAGTATCTTCTTTCTTCTGGTCGCAATGATATAAAATGTCTTTGAGCGTTTGTGTTATTGCTTCCTTTCTCATGATAATGCATTCATGATGTTTTCTTTGTTGCATTTTTCTTCTTCTTTTGTTGGTTGTGTTGCTTTACATCCGACTATTACCACGCATATTGCTCATGTATGCATTTTTGTTGCAACAGCAATGAGCTGTTATGAACGTCTCTGATGTTGTATTTGTTACACTTTTCTTTGACTCACTTTGTGTGAGTATTCCTTTTTTGCCTATGTACTACTATACTCCTATAGTATTATGTTCTTTTCTCCTTTCTTCTATTATTATTATGTTTCTTATTTGAAGCATACCTTTTCTTTACGTTGTGTGGATGTGCCTATCCCTGAAGCTCAACAAGACTCTATCCGAGGCTAGGAGGTAGATAGGCTGCCTTCACTTGGTTATCACTGTGGAATACATCCACTATGATCTGCATTCCGACAGTTCATCCAGTTACCAGATTTAGATATAAACTGTATGTACACTGGATTAGATGTACGATATCGATTTATACTATGATCATGAGAAGATATGGACTTCAGATACGCTAGTACTATAAGATTCATACTATATAAGATATAGGCTATAGATGGCACTACGGACATGGATGGCACTATAGACTTATACTTGTATTCCGACATTGACTACGGATGTTTACCATATCTGGATAGGCACCAAGATTAATGCAATATGAGCTTGTTGCTTCAGATGTGCACTTCATGATCCACGCTATAAGACACATGCTTATATCCGTGATACTAGCTACAGATACTTTATGTACTACAGACTTGTACTATATATGAGACATGCTATAGACATGCATACGATATGCTATAGACATGCCATATATCCAGATACATGCTAAAGATGTATGCTTAGCGATATACACTCAGATATGTACTATTAATATAGACTAAGAAGACTGTACCTATCGGATACATGCTACTAGATCGATATTAATTATCCTTATGGAAAGGATAGATCAGGGTACTTCGGATGAGAGTCTAATTATTCATCCAGACAGAGCTAAATCATGATTAGCTTGCTGGAGTTGTCTTTTAGCATAATTAGACATTAGTTGATCTGAGTTGACTTATTTGTCAATCTAATTAATAGAACTTTTATCCATTGTTATAGTATATAAGAAGGATCATCTACCTGGCCAGTAGAGAGACTTCAGTTTACTTTACACCTGTCAGTTTGATAATAAAACATACCTTTATCAAGTTGACATTACTGTTTTTTTATTCTTTTTTTCCGTGAATTTTAGTCTATCAAGCCTCAAATTCCACAATCACTACTTACTTTAGTGATGATTGAGGGTCTCAATGCCAGAATTTAGAGCTAGGTGGTGTAAGTAAGGCATGCTCTAGCACCTGAGGAAAATTTGATGATAGCAGCGGCTATATTGCTATTATAGCGGCGCTTAAAATTTTGCCACACATCAAAACAGAGGGAAACCCTCGCAAAATTTTTTTTAGGTCAGCGGAGTTTTTGAGCGATTTGATTGGCTCAGAGGTTTAGGGACCGAAGGATTCTAGCTAGTTGATCTCCTATTGAGCTGTCATCTTTAGTGAGTTTATATTTGTAATAAAAGAGTATCCAAATAGGCCTGTAATGAAATAGCCACCCAAACGCTGTTGAGGATATAGATCATCTCTGAGAGGCAAATGTATTAGGCGTCGTTTATTACATAAGAGGATCTGAGAATGAGCTGAGATGCATAGTAGAAGTGAGAGGTCTTTATTCAAGCAGCACGAAGGAACATGAGTGGTGCCATCAAATGGCTAATCTACATCCTGGTTCCTAGAGAGTGGTAGCCTATGGCCTTTCGTCCCTGGAAGTGGGTTTCAATTCCAACAAATGTTCTTCCGTCAAAGCCATTAGGAAGAACATTCTATCCTGGATCGTCTTTGTTGTTTATCCTTGACTGGTGGTTCATGAGTTCTGATGCAGCACATCCTCGTTACTGGTTCAAGGCTTATACAGTTATCCCGCATTCAAGATCAAGGTCCTATTGCTGCGGCACTGTCAAATAACTATAAATACCTTTGATCTCTACACTAGTTTTGATCCCGATTGAATCTTGGAATAACATAATAAATATATTCAGTTCTAATTGTATTTACTCTGTCTATATTTTGTTATTCTAAACACAGTCCATTTTAATATGTGATTTCATTGTTTGTCCCTACTCATCGTGCTAAAACCGACTTATTAGTATTGTGCCCAATAACAGTCATTTCCCATAAAATACGAGTGTTTAGCATTGTGCATAGACTTTAAGTTTAGTTTCACGTCTAGAAATGGGCATCTCGGTTATGGACAACCATCAACATTGTCCTGCTTACCAAATAGATATCTCGTTCAACCTGAGCAAGCTGTTAGATTCAAACTTGCATAATATCTGTGGAATACATCCACTATGATCTGCATTCCGACAGTTCATCCAGTTACCAGATTTAGATATAAACTATATGTACACCGGATTAGATGTACAGTACGATATCGATTTATACTATAAGAAGATATGGACTTCAGATACGCTAGTACTATAGGATTTGTACTATATAAGATATAGGCTATAGATGGCACCACGGACATGGATGGCGCTACAGACTTATACTTGTATTCCGACATTGACTACGGATGTTTACCATATCTGGATAAGCACCAAGATTAATGCAATATGAGCTTGTTGCTTCAGATGTGTACTTTATGATCCACGCTATAAGACACATGCTTATATCCGTGATACTAGCTACAGATACTTTATGTACTACAGACTTGTACTATATGTGAGACATGCTATAGACATGCATACGATATGTTATAGACATGCCATATATCCAGATACATGTTAAAGATGTATGCTCAGCGATATACACTTAGATATGTACTGCTGATATAGACTAAGGAGACTGTACCTATCGGATACATGCTTCTAGATCGATATTAATTATCCTTATAGAAAGGATAGATCAGGGTACTTCGGATGAGAGTCTAATTATTCATCCAGACAGAGCTAAATCATGATTAGCTTGCTGGAGTTGTCTTTTAGCATAATTAGACATTAGTTGATCTGAGTTGACTTATTTGTCAATCTAATTAATAGAACTTTTATCCATTGTTATAGTATATAAGAAGGATCATCTACCTGGCCAGTAGAGAGACTTCAGTTTACTTTACACCTGTCAGTTTGATAATAAAACATACCTTTATCAAGTTGACATTACTGTTTTTTATTCTTTTTTTTCCGTGATTTTTAGTCTATAAAGCCTCAAATTCCACAGCTAGCTTCACGTTATCAATAGATACTTGACATGATGGAGAATCTTGCTTATAAGGTTAAATAGTTGTAGCTTGCTTTATTCAGGAATAATAACTTTTCCAGTTTAAAGTATGCATATTCCCCCGCTTAAAAATAGCATCTCCAATGTCGATTATCTTATGAACTAAGCCTTCCCAATTGCAGGTTCCAACTCTAAAAAATATGGTGTATTTTCTTTTTTTTCACTTTTTTCTAGCTTCCTTTCAGCAGATGCCTTTATATATTACTGTTTAACGTTTTGTGTAGCCGCGGTATTTATACGAGAGTGATTTAATACGCCCGACTCTCAATCCGGAGACTCCTGATTCGATCCTTGGCTGTTGAAGCTATCGAGATATTAATCTTGATAGCGTGAGATCTTTTTACGTTCACAAAATGTATTCTTAGTATGTTTGCTTTTTTTTTTTTTTTTTTTTTATCTTTTGCTATCAACTCATTTGTTGCAAGCTGATCCGTTTTTACGCTTCAATGTCTTTGTTATAAATGGATACTATCCTAACACTCAAATATTTTTTCTTCATAATACAATTTGACTAGGTTAGATTGAAAAGACTGATGTTTGATTTTATTTTATTGATAAGCCTATGAAATCTCCACGAACCTGTTCGAAGCATTTCAAGCATCCCTTTTCTAAAGGGAAGATAGAAGGGATGTATATCCGGATAATAGATAGGTTAGAGGTGTTTTCTGGCACATGCCAAGTGTGCACCATTCGCCATTGGAAGTCGCAGGACATATATACATTTTTTACATTGCAAGCCAAGTATACAGTTGTTTAGCAACTGCTATCTTCTTGGGGTATCTTCAGTGTCCAGTTGTCAGCCTAAACAGATGATTGAACTGATGGCAAGCTGCTTGCATGCAAATGTAGCGTAAATATGAATTTTTCTGAGCACAACGTTGAGTCTTACTAAACGATAAATGCTGTTTAATAGCTGAAGAGCGCCTTTCTGCTCACAATGGTACCTTTACTTGTTATTCGACTAATAATTTAGAGCAAGACCATATGGCCAGATGTTTAGATATTATTATATTTCATCTTGATACTTTTGCCTGAACAACATCAATTCAATATAATTTTGCATTGACGATGGATGTCAAGAAAAGCCGGGAGCTTCAATCGTACTTTGAAACACGTACTATTATACGAAGGCAAGCAGTGTAAGCATTCAGATGCTTTTTCCTTTGCAATCTCACACCAAAGATATATATATAATAATGAGCAACTCCAGCTTTCAATACCCCCCAATGTTTGACTTTCCACCATTTTTCACGTAAGATACAAGCAACCGTATTCAAGATATACTCACTCACTAGGACAAAAATATCAACGTTAGACGACAGGTTACCGAGTCGACATGGAAAAGTCAAGTTATGCAATGGGAGAACTTGATATTAGCATATACTCGACAAAAGCACATATTTCGATTGGATCTCCATCAAGCTACTACTCCTGGTGGAAACGAAATATTCGAGAACAAGAAAATTAATAGACGCTTATCATTTGAAACTTTGCAAAACATTATCGAGGAAATGGCAAGAAAAGGTACACACACAACTACAACAACGGATAAGGTGTATCATATGGTAATAATCATGGACGTTGTGGTGTAGGTACAGCAGAATGGGAAGGAGGGTCTAAAGGGCCAAAGAGCGAAGCTTTGATCTACTGGCATACGCCTGAAGATTGGGCTAATCTGATCTGGAATTGGGTAACATGTTTAATAGTAAGCTTGTACTGCTACGTTGGGTCTAATCCAGCATCTGTTTAGATTAACGAGACGGGCCAAAACAACCAGATTGTGACATATTATGAAATTGCACATGGCGAGTTGGCCGAAGGACAAGGTAAAATCAATGTGATCGTAATTCCTTACTACATGTTCATATGCTAAATAGCACGATGCTAGAATTCTTCAAACTGGATAAAGCAATTTTGAGCAAGGCACTGAATATTTTAGTAAAACGAGGAAACGCCCAAATATTTAAGGGAACTGACGAGGATAGTATGGGCGTTAAATTCTTTGGACCACTATAATGATTTTTTTTTTACAATAAAGGACGAGTTTCTTTTGTGAGCCATGCTACAGCATCAGCATCAGAGGAGATGAGAGGAGTCAATTTGTCAAGGCACTCTTGATGGTAGTCATTCACCCATTTCTTTTCTGCGGGTGATAATAAGCTTGTATTGATCAAATTCATGCCAATAGGTGCCATGGTAACATGCTCAAAGCCCAAATAACCTCGATCGCCGAAATTGTTGGGTGTATCTTGTTTGCGAACAATCAACACATTTTCAATGCGAATACCAAATTTTCCATCTTCATAGTAACCAGGCTCTAATATCATACATACTTTGGTGAATAGCTTGTTACATGGTAGTAGCATCATATCACTTACCATCTGTTACAGTCATGCCAGCAGCTAAAGGCGTGTTATTGTAGGGTGCTCTTACACCAATACCATGAGGACCTTCGTGTACATTAAGGAAAGAGCCAACACCATGACCAGTGCCATGACGGTAATCTAAACCTTGCTTCCAAAGAGGCATTCTAGCAAAGGGGTCCAAAAGATAACCCGTTGTACCTGTAGGGAATACAGCCATGTCAAGCGCAATATGACCTTGCAACACGGCAGTGAAGCAGGCCTTTTCATAATCAGTGGGTGTACCAAAATGCAATGTACGAGTAACATCCGTAGTACCGTCCTTGTATTGAGCACCCGAGTCGCAAAGGTAGATTTGATTGGGATCAATCACCTTGCAATTGCCTCTCTCTGGCTCATAGTGAATGATGGCGCCGTTAGCGCCAGTGGATGAGATGGTAGGGAAGGATAGTCCGACATAATCTGATTGAGAAGCACGCAACTTTTCAAGATGATCAGCAGCTTCCACTTCATCCAGTTGCTTTCCTGCAGCCAACTGCTTCTCGAGCCAGGCAAAGTATTGCACCAGAGCAGCGCCATCACGAATATGGCAATCACGCATACCCTTCAATTCTCGCTCGTTCTTAATGGCCTTGGCGTCATTGATAAAGGATCGCTCATCCACCACGAATTCAGCGCCCACAGCTTCTTCAATTGCTAGACTGGTATTACCGTCAATCAAGAATTTCTGGTGAGACGTTGCCAAAGTGCTCTTGAACTCTCTCAAATCGTCAAAAACAGCATCGTAAGGCTTCAAGTCGACGCCCTTCAAGTGTTGGCGTACATCTGCTGTCAGCTTTTCAGGGTTGATGTAGAGTGTCGCTTGACTCTGAGTGATCACAGCGTACGCATAGAATACAGGGTTGCAGTCCACATCGGAACCTCTCAAATTGAACAACCAAGCGATTTCATCCAATGCAGACACAATGACACCAAACTGATCCCTTTCCTTCAAGTGCTGAACAAGTTTGCTTAGCTTGTCTTGGTGCGATTCGCCTAACAACCATGTTAAATATTGTTGTAACACACAATCATAAAACTAGCCTTTTTACCTGCAAATTCTACAGAGTGGACAAACACCTTATCATGAGGAGCAGAGGGTCTTTGGTCCCCCCAAGCAATGTCTACCAAGTTGCGCTCGACAGGAACGAGCACCGAATTTACAGTTTGCAAACGTTCCTTGAGATCATGCGCATCAGCAACAGTTGTCAGTGAGGCATCCAAGCCAATACGAGATCCAGAAGGTAATCTCTACATATCCAGGTCAGTCATTTACTGCCTCATTTCCATTTGATAAAAACACTCTATTTACGTTCACAAGATACTCTTGCCATGTTGGCACACCGGGAAGACCTTGCTTCATCAAGGTCCAATTCTCATCCAGCTGCTCTGATGCTTGTAAAAAGTATCTACCATCCGTGAACAAAGCGGCCTCAAGGTTTGAAACAACAGCAAAGCCAGCAGAGCCATTGAAGCCAGAAATCCATTGACGTCTTTGGTCGCACTCGGCACCGTATTCACTCTACCATGCCAGTCAAAATGTCAATCTATATGTCGCCTTTTTTTGCTTACTAGTGTGATTTCTTACTTGATGAGCGTCTTCGGAAGGGATTAAACTAATAGAATGAATTAGAGTCGCCTTTGTTTCCATCCGTCTCTGGGTATAGTTACAAGGCATCGATGGGTTGCTTTTCAGATTGGAATAGTGCTCTTAAAGCTTTCAGTCTATCGCCAGTATGAATTGTCATTATTATAATAGTGAACAAGAGAAAAAGGGAAACACGAAACTTCTCGTTGGAAACGCACTAAACTTTACGTTGAGCCAACCAATCAACGATCCAATGATGCCCAAGACATACAAATGTGTAAACTTTATTATGTACAATAGAATCAAGTGAATAATGAGCGAGTTTTACTGTCTAATTCAGTCGTGTCTTTTTCTCTATCAAGCCATGACTTCCAAGCAAAGTTCCTACTGACAGTGTCATTGTCCAATGCAGTCGGTTGTGGTGAGGTCCATCGCACAAAGGCATCCTCGCCTGTCACGTAGAACAGATGGTATGTGCTGCGACAAATCTTGTACTCGAGGCTTGATTTCACAGTAAAGTCTGTATCAGCTTGATGAACGATATTTCTAAGAAGGTGTTAGCCATCTGTACCCTGTCTCCCCTCAATTAGCACAAAAAAAAAACGTACCTGCTCAGGAATCGTTTGGACAATGCCTTTCGATCAATACCAGGTGTATCAACATCCCAGTTGGTATAATGAGCTACATAATCGGTATATACATCCATATCATTCAATCCAAAGGTCCTGTCCTGCTTCTGCAGCAGCTGAATGTACAATGTGCGCTTCAAGGTATCAAATGCTAAATTGTACAACTTGTCGTCTTGTCCCAAGGCATCTGCCACTTCGGATCGATACGCTTGTATCAGCTCTGGTGTGCTCTTTTCGTGTTCATGGTTCTTTTTGAAAAAGGACAGAATCTTTTGTGCCTTCATATCCGTGACAATTTGGTGCAGTTGGCGCATGATGGATTGCATGAGCTTATCAATGGTGAACAACACGTACGCCTTGTTGCCAAAGATGTACCGCGCGCACTCTTCAAACATGGTTTGGTCAAAGGCGTCATCGAAATAGCGGTCAATCAGCTTCAGCAGTGCTTGGTAATATCCCCTCTTAAAGTCCATGTGCACCCCATTGTAGTCTTTGCCGGTTACATGGAGGTCCAACGCCGCTTTGGTGAGAGCTTTGGCTTCAGGGCCGTTGGTTCTGTACGCTCTGTCGAGTTGTTTCATTTGGTAGAGACGGTCGTAGCACACTTGGAATAGGCGGAAGAAGCAGTAGAATGTGGTGTTGCCAAACAAGTTGTAAATCTTTTGCTCCCTGTCTGGATACGCCATCGCAACATCCTCCTCCTCTTCCTCCTCTGCTGGCAATTGCTGTATTTTGGGTTCTGCTGCTCCTGTTTTGGTCTCTGTGATGGATTTCAGCTTCTTGGTGAGCACGTCTTTGAGCAGTTTTTGATGATCTTCATCGTTGGGCTTATGTCGAGGCGATCTTCTGCCATTGCGGCGTGTATATCCTCGTTTGGTGGACCTGGAGTCTGTGGAAGAGTCGTATGAATGTTGTGTGTCATTGTCCTCGTCATCGTCATCTGCATCGTCTCCATCCACATCGTCGTCTACATCTTCGTCTTCGTCATCCAGCATAATATCCTGCGATGGCTCCTTTTCAGGTAGCACATCAGGCACATCGAAAAACACAGGCAAAAACATCTCAATAAACGCCTTCATCACGGCACAATCCTCATGTCCATACGTTGTTTGGCGCTCAAAGTAGCTGTACAATACGCGGGTAACATCTTTAAACACCTTCTTGTTCTTGAGCTGATACTTGAGTTGAGGTTCTTGCGTCTCTGTCTGATCATGGTGAATGGCTTCAATCTCGTTCACCAGCTGCTTGATGCTCATGTTCTTCTTGTCGTTTGTCTTGAAGATGACACCTTGGTAATCCAGCGCCTTGTAATAGTTTTTACTCTCAATCTCTCGCCACACTTTGTTCCATTCACGCTGCTGTCTTCTCCACTCCTCGTCCTTTTGTTTGAGACGCTTCAACACCACGGGCACTGCATGTGCTGGACTGTTATGCAGCATGTCAATGACTTCGGCGCCTGTTTGATTGCCATATATCTTTTTAAGCACGCGTTGATAGATGGCTTTGGAAGGGCCGCCAAGCCCAGGAGACACTTTGAAATCGTTCTTTTCCTCGTCCGTCATCAACGCAATCTTCTTGTTGATGGGTTCCAACAGTGAGATGGTGTTGAGGTTGGCTTCAATGTCCAAGTCATAGTGGTATCGCTCCTCTTCCACACGGTGCAGTGCTTCCTCAAACACATTCTTTTTGGATGCAATAAATCCGCCATCTTCGCTCGCCCACGTGGGATGGGACACATACTCGTCGTTCAGCACTTCCCAACAGAGTGTATCTCTTCCAGAGCACTTTTGAGATTGCCACTATCACTGCTTTTTAGTACTGTTATCCCTTACCTCATCAAGCGCACCATCACTTACATGTTTGGGTACAGATCGATAACTGGGACCATATTCATAAGCAGCGCCATAGTCCAACTTGGAGGACACCAAAGGCACATTTTCAATAATACGATCTTTGCCATCATACCCTACCAGCTTCTTCAACTGATGATACAACTCCTTATTGCCAGACAGATACGATTCACAACGTTCAATCAACTGGTTTGCATCCAGCACTTGTTGAGTGAACAGATTGAGCACACGCAGGAACGAGAGGTAGGTCTGCTTGTTGCCAATGTGCTTCCTGACGCGATCAAAGAACTCTGCCTCTACTGCTGATATAATGGGTCCATCGACAGGTGCACTGGGTGGTAAAACAAGAGGCGATCGACGAATGTCTGACGTGATCATGTGATGATCCATGCGGTTCGCTATGCTGGCTATAGAACCTCCTGTGCTGTGGTGCTGTAATTTGGCTTTCTTTTGTTTGGGTGGAAGAGGTAAAGCTCGTTGTTTCTTGCTTGTCTTTTTGGTAAGGGTCGTGGTGGATTCGATAACGGGTGCTTGCTGTGACGTATCAGGTAAGAATTGCTTAAATTCAGTCAACAGATCAGTGGCCCCATTGAACAGTGTTTGCACTTGGGCATAGACTTCTTGAATGGGCTTTTGTTCCTTTTGATATGTTTGAAGAATCTCCAAAAACTGCTTATACGTCTCGGGATCGTTGCTGAATCGATTCTTGATCTTGTTGACATAGTTGATAGCATGATTGAATTCAACAGGAGCTCGACGCGTGCCATGGTCATCCCCCGCAGTGTTGTTGGATGTTGTTGTTGCTGACAAGGGTGGAGGAGGTGAGCTGGATCGATGTGCGTGTGATGACTGAGAAGATGGCATAGCCGCGCTAGAAGAAGAAGGTGGTGGCACAGACGAGCGTTGTGAATGATGCAAAGGCTGTTGTGATGGATGGTAGGTAGCGATTGGTGGTAAAGAACCACCCGCATTGCGATAACTACTATTTGGATAAGCTTGCGTAGGTGCTGGTGTTCTCTGCTGTTGTTGCTGTTGCTGCTGTTGCTGATGGCTATAGTAAAGGGTTGCTGCATTCTCAGAGTGTAGATTAAGCGGTTCGCCACTCGTTGTGCTGGTAGTGCCTGTGGGTGTCGTTACCTTGATAATGTCTCTAGCATAGGCATCTGTGGAACATTCAATGCGATAGCCAGGTGGAAGAAATGTGTTGAATCCAGATATCAATGCTGGATGACCTCTGAACAATGTGGAGACTCGCTCGATGACGCCAGGTGTATCAATCCTAAATGTATAAGGCAAGTTAATAATCTGTATTAACAAAACAGGGGACACACGGTATCTTACGCTTGGCTCTTGAATTCCTTCATGATATCCAAAAATCGATTGTACACTTTGGCTTGATCAGCAAACTTCATCTTGACTTGATCCAAGTAAGTCAATGCATCTTTGACGTTGAGCGGACGATAGCCACTGGATGAATTGCTAGCTGCTACTGCTGCTGCTGCTGCTGTTGTTGTTGTTGTTGTTGTTGTTGCTGTAGCATTGGGTGATTTCTCTGGATTAGGCGGGGCACTATGGTTTTCCGATGGTACTGCCGCATTGTTGGCTGGCATGTTGCTGCTTATGGATTCAGGAACTGCAATGTTACTAGGTGCTGCATCAGTAGGTGTCCTTGACCTCGAGTAATTGGGTGAGTTACTTGATTGCAGTAAAGGTAACTGAGGCGGAGGTGGTGTCTCAGAGGTGCGGCGCATATGATATGATGGCTGATCTACAGATGCTACATTGGACGACGCTACATTTGCAGAGGCAGCATGAACGGAGTTGGCTTGATACGGACTGCTTTCCACTGTCGCTGTAGATCGTGCAGCATCAGATGGAGAGTTGTATGAGCTCATGTAGGGTTCTGTAGTATTATGAGCAGCAGCTTCGGTGTTCACCAAAGATCTGCATTGGTTTAGTCGAGTCAGTTTCTAGAGAATGAAATGGCATTTTACCTGGTAGGCGAAGAAGGAGGACCTAATGGCATTATTTTTTCTTGGTCGATCAGTTGTGAATATAGATGAGGTGGTGGAGTTGATATTTATTGTAGGTTTTCTCTCTCTCTCTTGCTTATTTGAATTTGCGCGTTTGTAATGGTGTGTGTGTGTGTGTGAAAACGTCGATGCTCGAGACCTCTCACTTAGTTTGTTTTGGTATGAATGGGATAGCTGAAATGATAGACTGTATCTCTGCTGTTGTTATTGTTGCTGAGATGATTATGAATAAGCCAAGAGGGTTGAATGGGAAAAAAAGGGCGTGGTTAAATGGGCAATTTCATGGAAATAAAGAGTCCATCATTTCCGCGTAAAAAGCCACCAGTGCACTCATGTTCGTGACTTATGAATATAAGAAGTGCTGTGTATATGAAAAGTGTCTCATGAGATCGCTCGCAGCTTCTATATTACCATACGCTTGATTCGTATTGCTGTGTTGTATGCGTCAACCTCATGTCAATGTTCACTGGTATTTAGAAAGCGTGTTAAATCATGCCGTGAGCTGTGCATTTGGGTAAAGCAAATGTAATGGAACATCAAGATCAGATCAGAGCATTCTAGATGCAGATGCTCCATGTGGGGTTACGAAGGAGGGATCTCCCAACTATCCGTACATCTTGGATGAATGTACCATCTTTGAGAAACAATGCACGATAAGCTCAAATGAGTAAACCTTTGATCAATGAGCTGCTTATAGAAAGTCAAAGGCAATTGTCGTAAGGGATGCTACCAATGTTGAAGATCTTATTATCGAAGCATCACTGACTACAATCAATTCAAATACGGTGCGGACAACAAAGAGATAGGAACTTGCAATAGATATATACTGTACACCATAATTTTGTCATAGATTGCGCCAGGCTCTATATGCTGCAGTCAATGTGTGGTAAAAGGCACATTTGAACATGATTCCAGCCATTTACAGGTATCATAGTTGTGTACATGCATGCCATCATAGTAAAGCGTAGTTCTATTATATGTCTGCTGGTGTTTTTTTGCCGTGGACATCTAGAATCCTACAGTATAAACCTCTTTGGTACAATTTATTTGATTCTGAATGCCATCTACTGTAGCGCCTTTAGTATTGCATAGGCCAAGATGGCTGCTACTACTGTAAAAAGCATGGTGGAGTGAGTGATTTTATGAGAGCATTTTCTCAAAATCAACCTTAATTACAGTATGCATCAGGGGGAAAAAAGGCTGCCTGATCCTAGGCGCCTTTTAGCTCATTCCACCTTATTCTAGAGAGCTTCAAGTGAAAGCGCTTTCATCCTTCTTTTCTTTAATCCGTTTCCCTCGCTTAGTCTCATCTTGCTTGGGCAAAGCTTTGCTTGGTATAGCTACCTTCTACACCCATCACGCAAAGAAGATGTCTGGACTCACAAAGAAGAATTCGATTATGGTATTGATGGCTGTTGTAGATGCTATCATGGAATCCCAAAAATGATACCATTTGATGCGCATTTTACTTGTATACAAACTTACTATGGACTAAAAACTGTGGCTATTATTGAAAAGAACACGTTCAAGCGATGAAAAGGTGAGAGTATGCATCATATACTGGTGTCAACACAACAGGAGCTCGTGGATCTCAATTTGTGTGCTTCAGAATGGTATCCCAACCAAATGTGTGGCCTATGTTGAGCTCGCAGTGTGCCATAACCTCCTCAATAAGTTGTTGATTTCAAGTTATCAACGGATGCTTGACATGTTGATGAGTCATCTTCACTATATATATTTTGTAAAACACTCAAAAATGTAGACAAACAAATCATATCCTTTCAAAAAATTTAAAGAATTGAATACCGTACAAGGTGAACAAACCACCAACGAAGCCAGCATTGGGAGAGGGTTTGGAGGCGGTGCTAAGCTCATCCACCAAAAACATAATGCATCTAATTTAATATTTGGTAACAGTAACCTATGAGGCAGTTTTACCACAGCGAAGTGTAAAAAAAATGGCAACTAAGCATTTTGATAATACTAATCGTAATGAGGTTTTACTGTAGCGAAGCGAAGGTGCAAAACCATAGTATTCAAGCAGCAAAATTGGATTTTCATTTCCATTATTAATAAGCTTACCGACAACATAACGTATCAAAATTTGCATGAATTAATCTTACCAAAATCAATATGTCTTCTATTCAGATTAGAAATTGCACAGGCTGCAGAGCTACTCTTGCAGAAGATTTCAGTTACCAACAAAGCGGTGATTCATGCCATGTAAATATAAGCTATAAAGCAATATATAACCAAATTTGACAGCTTTCAAGCCTTCATATCTTGACATGTAGACCTTTCTGAGCCGCCGGAATGACGCCAAACAGTTGTACTCAAGTAGCAGCAACTTCCTGACACCTTTGCTCAACTTTTTGGGACCAAAAAAAAAACATGACCAAAAATTGACCAAAAAGCATGAGGGGTACCTCATGGTTTTCATCGGAAATCAAACGATCGCGTTTTTCGCCTTAAAAATGAAGACTTTTCCTATGGTATATCTTGAATCAAAATGTTTCTATCGATCCAAAGCAACTTCTGAAACCACTTTTATGAGGTCTTTATATGTAAAATTTCGACATTTTGGCCAGAAACCTCTTTTCATACTTTCGTAAATTATTCAATAAGTTTATTAAAAACATGTATATTACTTGGTGCCCTTGGATGCGCCTTGAAAAGTACTTCAAGACTGTATTAGGAAGCATCGGATGATCATCGCACTTTATATAGTCGGATACCTCAAAATAGATCTATCAAGTCGCAAAAAAGACAAAATCTGTCCAATCTGGAGCAAAAAAAAAAAGGGGGGGCTGAGCTTGAATCGATTTTGGCGGCGGTGATGCTACTGCTGGCTGACCCAAATGCTTTTTTAATGATGACAATGATGATTGCGATGCTGATTAAATAGGGACAATGGAGTTGAAAGGACAAGTGAATAGCCCAAATACTATTTTGGAGGAGATATGCCTCACAACAATGTCTTTTGGAATGACAATATCTGATTTAAAATGTCTTGAGCGAGAGCCCCCCCCTCCCAGGGCGACGCCAACATCGAGCGTAGCAAGATAGATTGGCTAGCACTTTTAAGGCTAAGCAACTGTAACTTACTTTGCTCCACTCCATTAAGCTTTCTAAGTTAAGGCATACATACTCTCCCCGCTTAGAAAATGCCATCTAATGTCGTTCAACTTGTCCACTAGGCCTTTGCAGCTTCATAGTAATCAAATATGCTTTGTTTAGCATAAATGTATCACAAATTTTACTCTTGTGGGGGGTATTACTCCTCACCTGTTATCGTATTTTGAGTGTAAAAGACGAATTTCGATGTCTATTTTTTTTACCTATCTAAATGCGAGCTCTTGGATCCTAACATACTGAGAATCGCATGTTTCTACTGCCAAATTCTGCAAGAAAAACGATCGTGCAATTGGATTTTAAATAAAAGCAGTTGGTGTTGAGAAACGAGCGATTTGTAGAATAACCCAATCTTCAGTCATGAGTTTTGTATAAGAAGAGCCTGTCAATTACGAGTGATTACGCGTAATAGATCAATAGATGCGGTATTGGAAAAGGCTATATTCAAAATCGCTTGTTGATACCTTGCTTCATTGTAGTTTTGCAAAGGTTTTAAGATATGCTGCGCATTTTACCAAGAATGGGGAGGAGCAGCGTTTTCACGCCCTACATTGATGCTCTTGAAGACTTCTTGTCAGGAAGATTATACTGTATGCCCATTTTGAGGGGCTGTTAATAAGCATATAAAAGGATGTTTAGTCGCTACACCAGCTGTCAAATGATTTAGCTACTAAAATATAACGAAACCAATGTATAAAGAACAGTAGTGCTTAGATGCTATTGTTTGTTCAACTGTCTAGCTAATGATAGTGCTTTTATTTTTATAACGACCGTTTAATCTACAGCCTTCAAGAACGCTTATTCTTATCTTTTTTCCTTGATTCAATTACTCAAGCAAGTCGTTGTATCCCTCAACGGAGCACCAAGAAATAATCATGTATTCACATGTGTAGCAAATCAAAGATTGGTTTTATTCAGAAGGCGCGATTGTTACCATTATAATGCAGTTTAATGCCACTCGTTATCTCTTCTCTTGTGGTGCTTATCGTGCTTCTTTCCCTTGCGCTCATCATCAGAGGAATCCGAGTCAGACGAAGAGGAAGAAGAGTCAGACCCACTTCCACCGTGCTTCTTGGATTTTTTCTTTTCCTTCTTGTCTTTTTTGTGACAATCGCCCTTATTGCCAGAGGAGACATGTTGTTGAGGAGGGGCAGGATATTGTTTAGGTTGATGTTCTTGGTTATGTTGTTGGTTGTGGATGGTATAAGGTTGTTGGGGTTGCTGTTGTTGGAGGTATCCAGAAGGAGGAACAAAAGGCTTCTCATCCTTCTTATGCTTCTTTTCATCTTCTTCCTCCTTCTTCTTCTTTTCATCGAAATGCTCCTTGAGTTCATGTGTGCCCCAAGCAGCGAGACCCAAAGCAGCAGCACCAGCTAAAGCACCACCACCGTATTTCTAATGTCATTACAAGGGTAACACAAACAATCAATAAACCATCATCATCGTCATTAATATGTGTATATTAAAAAAGTACTTACAGCCCAAGTAGGGATAGTGCCTCTGGCCTTGGCTTCTTCGAATTCACCCTTGGACATGGTTTCGGGATTCACGACGCCATCAGTACCTACGAGACCACCAGCGGTGGGAGTACCAACATAGGAGTTGTTACTACCGGGCATGCTGTTGTTGCCGCTCTTCTCGGGATAAGAGACAGCGGCAGGAGGAGTGAATGGAGGAGGAGCACCAGAGCCGTAGTTTTGAGGAATGGGGTTGGAAGGACCCAATGAGGAGAAGGAGCTTTGACGGCTGTCTGATTGACTGTGAGAGGTGGAGTAAGAATGAGTGGTAGTTTGCTGGTAAGAAGCATGTTGACCACCAGCCAAATTCATGTCACCAAAGGAGGAAGTAACAGAACTGACAGAGCTGGTACCCTGTTACGATAGACAGCATGTTAACCTATGGATCGCACGCTGATTTTGAGTGCACTTACATTGAAGGTGAGGTTCAACTTGAGTTCACCATAAGAACGACCTTGATTAGAGTTTAATTGAATCCACTTTGATTCATGACCTTGGCTGTAAACTTGATTCAAAGCAACCTTGGCTGTAGCAACGATACCACCATTGTTGGGGCCCTCATTGACCACTTCAATGTTCAAGTAGTTTTCACCCTCAGGCACAGTGCTGCAGAACAAACAAGACTCAGTATTCGTGGATCCTCCTCTCTTTTGTCTGTCCCATTCCGCACTTACACATCCAAAGAGTTCTTCCAAAAAGGCTCGGGTCCATTGACAGAGTGAGTTCTGTGCTTTTCAGACTCTCTGATGAAACAGCCAACAAAGAGTTTGGAGTCTATGAGGGAGAGCATGAGTTGAGAATATTCTGTGCATAAGCAGCGTTTTTATCTACATTACCTTCATAGCCAGCAGAGGGGAAACCGCGAATAGTTTCTGATTATATTGGGCGTTTATTAAAACCGAGAATCTCGACATGACTATTACATGCATCAAACTTACCAGGAGATACAGTTAATTTGCCAACAGCCATGTTATGTGTATATTTTCAAGCTACAGTAGTAATACAAGAGAAAGAAAGAGAGAGTAAAAAGCGAGAGAAAATAAAAAAGAAAAAGCTTATTTATAGGCGTTGCCATGCTGTTACTTTAACCATTTCGTGGGCTAAGCTCATTTACAGTCGGGAAAGGAAAGAAGCCTTCGGTTTGTACTCCATGAATTCTAAACCAGGAAAGCGCCAAGATTACACATTTGAATGCGAATGCGTTGTATAATAGTTGAATTAGCGATGTTTTGTGCAGCGATGTAGACTGTATGGATACAGGCATCAACATACACTCAGAACGCCACTTTAAGGCGCTGGCAGATAAGACCAGCGTCATACAGTGTTGATGATGATACAACACGCACGCATCAACCGGGTTGCCAATATTCGTGTCTCAGATAAATACCATAAATTGCCTTTACTATTAATATACAAAATGATATAGATATTTAGTGCGTAAAATGATATAATCGCTATATACTACAGCATCGACAGCGAGCAGCTATTATACCAAGGCATCTGTTTTTGCAAACTTTTTGTCTATTTATTATGCGACAGGATTCAAGCAGACACCAACAACCATCCAAATGATAGGCTTAGAATCACTGTGTGTTTGTTGAGCAACGTGTTCGAATGGAGATAGACTTTCTCCAAAAGGTCACAATTTTGGGGGAAAAACGGCTTTAAATAAAATGCATCTTTCTAGTTTTTCCTGGTTTGCATTTTTAACTAACAAATCATGAATTATCAACAACAACAACAACAACGGCAACAAGGCGAAGCTGCTAGTTACCTAGGCGGTGGTGGCGATGGAGGTATCCACAATTTTGGTAAGTGTAGACTCCAATGTCTGTGTGTTGCGTAACACCAGTAGCAGCTCACAATGTGTGGCGTTCTCCATCGTTAGACCAACAACAAATGCAACCACAACAACAGAATGCTGGTAACAGCTTTGACCACGTCCTCAACAACTTGATGGCCAATGTCTCTGGTCACCAGCCCGCTGAAGAGCACGAAATCAGAGCTGCTCAAGAGTCCTATCAACAAGTCTCTCAGAATCCAAATCAAGCATCTCCTCAAGCCGTGGGTAATGCTGCTGCTGTGGAAGCATTGAAGCGTAGTGAACAATCGGGCGGTGGTATGAGTGAAATGATTCAAATGGCTATGGCTCAAGCGTCCAAGCTCATGAACAACAGCAATGCTGCTAGCGGCGATAATCGTAACAGTAATAACAGCCAAAGTGCTGCTATTCAACAAGCTGCCATGATGGCTCTCAAACTGTACATGTCCAAGCAATCTGGCGGCAACAACTCTTCTGGAGGCAGTAGTGGAGGAATTAGTAGTTTGTTGGGTATGTTGATGGGCGGCGGTTCATCTGGTAACAACAATAACAACAGCAACAACAGCAACAACAACAATCAACAAAACTCCAGTGGCGGTGGCATTGGTGCCATGGTAGGTTCTCTTCTCGGTGGTGGCTCCAACAACAATAACAGTAACAATAACAACCAACAGAACTATCAGCAGCAAAACCAACAGCAGTTCCAACAACACAATCAGCAGCAATTCAACCAACAGAACCAAGGTGACTACAGCGGATACAATCCTCCTCAAGGTGGTCCACAACAACAGCAACAGCAACAGCATGGTGGTGGTGGTGATAGCGGCTTTGGTGCTATTGCCTCTGGCTTGATGTCCAAGATGCTCAACAAATAAATCATGTAAACCAACAATAAACACCACTCTTTTGAATATTTTTCATTGGGTACAACATACATTATCGTCGCTTTTCTATTTGAATCATTGCATCATTGTTGGTAATATTAACGTGAAACATCCATCATGCTCAAAAGTTTGCCGCCCGTTTCGGATCATCCGACATTAGGCCAAGGCCGAATTACACGTAATCGGCAGCATTTAGGCTTGAGGCAATCAGATAAAGCATCAAACCATGGCTTTCTATGATAAAGTGTTCTAGCTCCAGCGTGCCTAGTATGTTAAAATCATGATGCTATGCGATACACATATGCCACATCAAACTCATGCGCAATAGTTCTTTATGTCGGCATTCTTCAAGTATAAGCGAGCTATGGTCAAGGATCATTTATCATTCATCATTCTACATTTCATCTGATATATGCAACTACAAATAGCTTGTTTTCACAACTATAAAACTTTGCAGCAGATTGAATGCGTAGGCTCTTTCTTTAATTCCATGTAAGCTTGAGCCTTCGTTTTGCTTTGGGATAATCTATTGCTCAAATTACTACTGTCTGCCGTAAGAAGCTTTCTTGCTATAACTTTGTTCAAGCAAAAGCTGAGTCCTGCTAGCCATCAGCAGCCAAAACAAGTTGAAGCTCCGGTGGCCATTTCTTTCACTCGAAATAGAAATTTCTGGTTCGTTTTCGACTTGCTCAAACTATTTTGCAAGATTCGACTATGTAAATTGTGATAACTGCCTCATACCCCTCTAAGCTTTCCTAGAGTACCTTTTGAGGCGCTTCTGATGGTACCAACTATGAGGGATGCTCTTACTACACTTACCGAGCATCATCACAAAACATAAAATTGGGTTTTTGGCGAAAATGTCGAGATTTTACATACAAAAGTCTCACAAACAAAGTTTTAGGGAGCGCCTTGGATCGTTAGAAATATTTTGAATTAATACATGTCCTAGTAAAAGTCTTCATTTTCAAGGTGAAAAACACGATCGTTTGATTTTTGGTGAAAATCATGAGGTACCCCCCTCATGCTTTTTGGTCGATTTTTGGCCATGTTTTTTTGGATCTACAAAAAGTTGAGCAAAGGCGCCAGTGAGTAAGTGCTAGGTGAACGCAATTGTTTAATGCTATTCTAGCGGCCTAAAACTTCTTGTAACGTGAGAAGACACGACCCAAATGCATAAAAATTTTGCTGTATTTTGCATATTTTTGAACGGTTGGAGGTAATGCCAGTATGTTGTCTGCTTGTATAATATCTTTTCGCTTCGAAACGGACAAGGAGCATTGCAGAATGATTTGATCATGGCATTGGACATCATCGGTGATTTGCAAGCATTAAACAAAAAGCACCTCCACCTAAATTATATCGCACTGGCGGAATTCATGGCAGGTGTTTTGGATAGTAAAGCCATCCTTTCTTCTTCCTAAATGCATATAAAACATACGCAACGAAATTCTTTGGTGTGATCCCAATGATTTCCTTGAGTCCAATGTTCAATTAACATGATTTGATACACTCTATATATGAATACCGACATAAGATTGATACAAACAACGTGGCAACACACATCAAAGATGAATGAATACCATTGCTATATAGAAACTGCGCGGAACTTGATTGTCTTTTGCAGTAAAAGGTGCTATCTTTGGTTTATTCCTTCTAGGTGAAGCCTTTGGTTGTTTGATCCAACCTGGCAGCATTGGATGAAAGCAGAGCTACGTGACTCGATCAAGGCATTTCGCTTTCGTATCTGCCGAATTTTTCGTTGGCAATTACGGTTAAACTTTGGATAACATAACCAGATGAGAGTAGCGCTCTCATCTAAGGTCCAAGTTCAGTGTGAATTTGAGAAATCAATGCATCATTCACTCTGAAGAACATGACATTTGAACAAATAATGCCTCAGATCGTCAAGCCACACATTGAATCTCAGTGGAGGGAAAAGGAAACCCTGCTAGTACTCTTTTTTTTTTTCCTTCTGAATAATTTTCAAATCCTTTGTCCATTTCTCTCCCTCTACCTTTTTTCTTTCTTTTTTCTTCTGCAAGAAAGCACCCCTTTCTTTTCTTAATACAACTACAAAAGGAGAGAGAGAGCTCGCAACTGTATTTCTTTTAAATTTCAAAAGATACGCATCTAGATCATCATCCGTTGCAAAAAAAAAAAAGAGAAAGAAACAACATCTATACGCGACCGACATGTTTTTGTACAATATCACCATCAACCCAACCACAGCTATCAACCAAGCTATCTATGGTAACTTTTCGGGCACGAGGCAGCAGGAAATCATTGTCGCTCGCCAGACACGTTTGGAATTGCTGCGTCCTGATGCTTCATCTGGAAAAGTACATACTGTGCTTTCACATGAATGCTTTGGCCTCATCCGCAGTTTAGCCCCTTTTCGCTTGACAGGTGGTAGTAAAGGTAAAACAAGGGACATTCCATTTGCAGTTGTATGCAGCAATCTCATTCAATTCTGCTATCAGACTACATTATTGTAGGTTCAGATTCTGGTCGCATAGTCATCCTGGAATACAACCCAACAAAAAACACATTTGATAAAGTACACCAAGAGACATACGGTAAAACTGGCTGTCGTCGTATTGTGCCTGGCCAATATTTGGCAGCTGATCCCAAGGGTCGTGCTGTCATGATTGGTGCTGTCGAAAAGCAGAAACTCGTCTATATTCTCAACCGTGATTCAGCGGCTAATTTGACTATCTCTTCACCATTGGAAGCACACAAGAGCCACACCATCAATCATCATATTGTCGCTGTCGACGTTGGATTCGAAAACCCCATGTTTGCTTGTTTGGAAGTCGATTATGCTGATGCAGATACAGATCCTACTGGAGAAGCTGCCAAGGAGGCAGAAAAGACATTGACATATTACGAGTTGGATCTTGGATTGAATCATGTTGTGCGCAAGTGGAGCGATGTTGTCGATCGTCATGCTAATTTGTTGGTGCCAGGTAAAATGGAAAGGGAGGAAAAGGGACAAGGCATGATAACTCACTATCTCAACTCTCTCAGTTCCTGGTGGAAATGATGGACCTTCTGGTGTCTTGGTGTGCACTGAAAACTTCATCACTTACAAGCATCCCGAACAAGAAGAGCTTCGCATTCCTATTCCTCGTCGTGCTCAGCCTCTGGAAGACCCCAAGCGTGGCATCATCATTATTGCCTCTGCTGTACACAGAATGCGTGTAGATAAAAAGACTCAATTCTTCTTTTTGCTGCAGTCTGAAGAAGGCGACCTTTACAAGGTCACCATGGATCACCAGGAAGGCGTTGTGAATGGCCTGACCATCAAGTATTTCGATACCATTCCCATTGCAACATCGCTTTGTATCCTGAAGAGTGGCTTTTTGTTTGTAGCCAACGAATTTGGTAACCAGTAAGTAGATCGATCAGTGTGCAGGACGACATCACTCACACATGGTTTTTTTTAGCCATCATTACTTCTTTGAAAGTCTCGGTGACGACGATGATGATCCAGAGATTTCATCAGCAGATTACATGGAGGCGGAAGCAGAGCAAGAAGAAAGACCTCTGGTCTACTTTAAACCTCGTGCCCTGAAGAATTTGTCACTGGTCGATGAACTGAGCTCTATGGCGCCCTTGATGGACTCCAAAGTGCTGAATCTGGCCGACGAGGAATCACCTAGAATCTACTCCATCTGTGGCAAAGGCTCTCAATCCACATTTCGTATCTTGAACCAAGGCTTAGAGGCTGCTGAACTCGCTGTCAGTGAATTGCCCGGTAATCCCAGTGCTGTATGGACAACCAAGCTCAAAGCCGATGATGAATTTCATGCCTACATTGTCGTCTCATTCGCTAATGCTACGCTTGTCTTGTCGATTGGAGAAACAGTAGAGGAGGTGCAGGATACTGGATTTCTGACCAACGAGCCCACATTAGCCGTGCAACAAATTGGTGATGATGCTCTTTTGCAAGTGCATCCCAGAGGTATTCGTCATATTCGTGCGGGTGGTCGTGTCAATGAGTGGAAATCACCCAATGGCCAAGTGATCAGACAAGCAGCTACCAACAGCCGTCAAGTGGTGATTGCTCTGTCTGGTGGTGAGCTAGTGTATTTTGAAATGGACAACATGGGCCAATTGAACGAACACCAGGAGCGCAAGCAAATGTCTTCTGCTGTATCCGCATTGGCGTTAGGCGATGTGCCTGAGGGTCGTCAACGCTCGCGTTACTTGGCTGCTGGCTGTGAAGATCAAACTGTGCGTATCTTGAGCTTGGATCCTGACTCTTGTCTAGAAGCTATCTCTATGCAAGCGCTTCAAGGCGTGCCTTCTAGTTTGTGTATTGTAGAAATGATGGATACCGGTATTGAACATGGCACTACCTACTTGAACATTGGTTTGACCAACGGTGTCTTGCTGCGTACCATCTTGGATACCATCACGGGCCAACTCTCAGACACAAGAACTCGCTTCATTGGAGCCAAGAGTGTCAAGCTGTTCAAAATCTGGATCCAAGGCCTTCCTGCTGTATTGGCGTTATCCACAAAGCCCTGGGTCAGTTATACCTTCCAAAATAGATTGTACTTGACTCCTCTGAGTTATGAAATGCTCGAGTATGGTAGTGCGTTTGTGAGTGAGCAATGCCCTGAAGGTGTGGTCGCTGTAGCAGGGAATACATTGAGGTAAGCCTTGTAGCACTTGGTGTAGGGACGAATGCTAAACCGTAGATAGAATCTTTACTGTCGAAAAATTGGGCAACATCTTCAATCAAGTCTCGATTCCCTTGAAATACACGCCTCGAAAGTTCGCGCTTCACCCACCTTCTCGTACTTTTGTCATCATTGAAAGCGACCACGCCACTTACTCACCCGAAGCCAAAGCTAGCGGCATTTTGGAAAAGGAACAAGAAGGATTTGAAATTGATCCCGAGATCACTGACTTGGATCCTGTGCAGTTTGGCAACGTGCGTAACGCACAAGGTAAATGGGCCAGTTGCATTCGACTCGTAGAGCCCTTCCAGGGCACCACGCTACAGCTGATTGAACTGGAGGAGAATGAAGCTGCTTTCAGTGTGGCCATGGTGCAATTCCGTACCAACCCCCATGCCACAGACGCCAATGAACAGTTCGTGGTGGTTGGCACAGGCCAAAATGTGACACTGACACCTCGCTCCTGCACAGCAGGTTATCTTCGTGTCTATCGCGTGGTTCAAGGAGAAAACGGTGTGCTCCGTCTTGATTTCATTCACAGGACGCCACTGGATGAATGTCCCTATGCTTTACTGGCTTTCCAAGGCCGTTTGCTCGTCGGTGCAGGCAAGGCGCTGCGTATTTATGATATTGGTAAAAAGAAGATGCTGAGAAAATGCGAAACCAAGACACTGCCCAACTGCATTGTCAATTTACACACACAAGGCCATCGTATCATTGCAACAGACATCCAAGAGTCTGTTCATTATGTGATTTACAAGCATGTAGACAACCGTTTGGTCGTGTTTGCAGATGACACTATTCCTCGTTGGATGACAGCTTCTACCATGGTCGATTACGAAACAGTGGCAGGTGGTGACAAGTTTGGTAACATTTTTGTGAATCGTTTGCCCGAGCATGTATCTCGCGAAATAGATGAAGATACCACAGGCAACCGTATTTATCATGAAAAGGGCTATTTACAAGGTGCACCCAACAAGGTAAAGATTGTCAATGATGGACATGGCGGGCTATTGGACTAACATACTCTCTTATCTGATCTTAGGTTGAAAACTTGTGCGAATACTTTACGGGTGACATTGTCACTTCCATCCATAGAACCACATTGTTATCAGGCGGTCGTGAAGTGCTTTTGACCACGTCGCTCTTGGGTGCCATCTCTATCTACGTCCCATTTGTGTCCAAAGAAGATGTCGACTTTTTCCAGATGCTTGAAATGCACATGCGTGCAGAAGCGCCACCACTTGCTGGACGAGATCATTTACTTTATAGAAGTTTTTACATACCCGTTAAATCTGTCATTGACGGGGATTTATGTGAACAATTCAACTCACTGCCAGCTGACAAGAGACGTATGATTGCTGAAGAGCTGGATCGTCCCGTTGCTGATGTACAAAAGAAGATTGAAGATATGCGTATAAGATCAGGATTCTAAGTTGATTTTCCTCAAGCAGTAGTAGTAGTAATAATAATAAAAAAAGATGTAAATACAACCATCCATCATGTTGCTCCAATGTGACGCTACTTGAAAATAGAGATGGTGCTCAACTACAGTTTGCTGAAAACCTTCTTTCTTCTTCTTCTTCTTCTTCTTCTTCTTTGTAATCAATATACAGCGCATGGGTACTGCTCAAGAAAACTTTGATAAAGGCGTCCAGCTTCGTTTGGATGGCAACGAAGCATTCAAAAAGCAAGATTTAAAGCAAGGTAACTCTTGACGCAATCACGCTAGAGAAGATACAACGGCTGACACGAATGGATGACAACCGCCAGCTTTGACACACTACTACAATGCGCTCTTGCATTTGAAGGCTGTGGGTGGACAAAAGGAGGAATCGAAATTTAAGCAACAAAGTAGCGAGCAACTTGTCATGATTTACAACAACATGTCTGCCGTCTTTGCCAAGCAAGACCGTTGGGATCGTGTCTTGTTTTATGCAACCAAAGCAAATGAATTGGATCCTACAAACACAAAATCAAAATTTAGAATGGGACAGGCCCATTTAAGAGCTGAAAACATTGAAATTGCAAAATCATTGCTTGAGGAAGTGCAGAAGCAGAATCCCGGAGGTCAGTTTGGGTGGGGGTGGGGTATGTGTCTTGATGAGTGCTGACTATTTCTATGCAGATGCTCTAGTCAAGCAAGAATTGGCCAGGGTGGCTGCTGCTAATAAATCAATGGACGAAAAGGAAAAGTTGATCTACAGAGCCATGATGAGCAAGTTGAACGAGGAAAAGAATAGCACAAAGAAATAGGCAGTTGAATAAAAAAAAGCGACATCACCAATTGAACTTTGTGTATGAAACAACGTATTGCATTTCTAATGATGATGAAGGACTGTATCACCTAGCTGGCACACGCCTATCAGTGATGAAACGCATATCTGCTACCTTGTACCTAACAGCTCTGCTCATATTGGATCCGCTGATTGGCATAGCAACCGAGCCAATGCAAATGGTTAGTTGCATGGACACCAATGCTTCAATGGTTGTGCCGTAGTACGTTTTATTATTCCCAAGGATGTTTTCTGTTGAAATGAAACGTGCGTTTGCGCAAGCAAGATGCCATGGTGCAGTAGTGTCTATGCATAGTACTGCCAAAAGACATCTGTCAGAAACGCACAGTGTCAATTCCAACATGGCAACAGCAAATCATCGGCGATGAAGATCACAGGGACATGTACGATACCACACAGATGAGCCTGATGATGAAAATAAAGTTATCTCCTAATATCTGCTGCATTCTTTGGATTGTTCTAGTGTATTTAGAATAATGATTTATTTACAAAGAGGTATATATAGGTGTATCTATTCAAGCAAGACGATGCATTTTCTAAACAGGTGGTGGAATTTCAGTCAATGCCATGACCATGATGAAGATGACAAAGACGATAATGACAGCAGCAACAGTGTATCCAACCCAGCCATGGCCCACCCAAAGCAATCTCTTGACAATCTGCTGTTGGTTCTTGAAGTAACTAAACAGTGAATAGATGAAACATGTGAAGCCTAGACCGACAAAGATGTAAGATACAATCTTTGCATTGATGGACACTGGTTCATTGGTCCATGGCAGTGAGTAAGAAGGTGCAAAATTCTTGGTGGGCATGTCTAGCAGCGTCATGAAACCTAGATCCACTTGTTAAAAAGGACTACTCATCATCAACACACCATGCGCTTACCCACTAAGGACAATGTAGTGCCTGTTCGAATCCAAGCCAGTATATTTCTTTCATTGGCAAGGTGATCTCTTGGATCAGGGCCATCAACGACAGTATGAACTGATACATCCATGTATTTGAATACAGTAGAACACTTTTCGTTATTGCAGAGTATGAATTTCTCTGGAGCGTTTAATTCGACATCCATCTTTGCTTGTGTTTTGTGAGAAGAGAACAAAAAGAACAAGAGAAGAAAAAGAATTTTTTTACCCTCTTTAAATCATTGGCAATAGGTTTATCCATTTACACACACACACACAAAAATAACGTGTGATTTTACATAATAAAGGAGGGCATTGATGGTTGAGCTTCATGCAAATCATTAAGCTTATAATTGATGATTGCAGAAAGTTTAAGGGCCAACTGCTTCCTTTTTGAATACGAAAGGGCACAACCTCCTTTCGGAAAAAGAGAGAGAGAGAGAGAGAGAGAGAGAGAGAGAGAAATCCATCAGATCATGCGAATCGAAGGATTTCGTATTTTTTGTTTGCTTCTTCTTTCTCTTGCTCAACAATCAAATGAAAAAGACACTGATTGCAGTTGTTTGCACTTGCCTTGCTAGTCTGGTAGACGCAGGCATCTTTTTGAAAGAAAAGGATCCACTGATTCTACAAGGTAACCTCTAACATCAACACGCTTGCCACTGTCGGGCTAAGCATGGCACACATTAGGCGCAATATGGCTCTACTCTAATTCCAGCGCCATCACTCAAGTCGCCATGGACGTTCCTGCCAACAGATTTATCCAGACAGTGGCTCCATTGGACAACCTCCCCTTGCCTAGCATCGATGGAGCAACAGGTGTGCTCTACAATCGAGATGATTCTTGCTCGCCTCTCACTGTCCAGCAGCCTATCCCTCTCCCATTCTACGATGTCGATCCCAAATCAACCAAAGTGCCCAAGATTGCACTCATCAAAAAGCAAGGTGGAAACTGCACATTGATTCAAAAGATATTGAATGCTGAACATGAAGGCGCTATCGGTGCCATTGTCTATGATACTCTGGTCAATGCGACTCATGTTGACGATCGTAAAGCGGTAAAGAGCACCTTGTTCCCCTCTCCCCTGAATGTGGAGCCTTTGATCGAGCGTTTGTATATAGAACTGACCTTATGTCTTTAGGGAGTGCCACCAGAGAGCGGTATTACCATACCTGCATATTACGCTGATCATAGCGTAGGCTTAGAGCTGTATCATCAGTTGGAAAAGATGGCAGGTGTTCCTATACACAAGATGTCTGTCAATGATAATTCCAATCTCACTACCAAAATCACAGTGCGTGTATCGCTGATGCCAGCCGACAATATCAAGCCTGTTGCTTGGGAGTATACATTGCTTGTCATGCTTGTGATTTTAGGAACAAGCATTGTATTTTCAGGTAGGTTGCTATCCTATGTAAATGAAAGGGTCACTTTAGTAATTTGTATATATATAAACCAGTGCTCATGCATATTTGCATGTGGAAAAAGAACCAGAGACTTCATTCGGTGGTTGAGCGTCAGCGTGCTCCCAATAACACAGAAGGCTTGCCCATGGGTAAAGCATTGCTCACGGTGGCTAGATTGTGCGAGTTTCCTACCAGGACCATTGACTCATTGCCAGACGAAGAAGAACGCAAAAAGGTGGAGACGGTTCTATCGGATGAAAAGCAACGAGAAGCGCTAATGAATACGACGGCTGCATCGTCTGCTACTGCTGCAACCGCCAAAAACGAAAGATCCTTCTTTGGTAGCAAAAGAAAGATGCTACTTCGAAAGCCTTCATTGGCATCTGTCATTATCAAGATTGATGCGCCTATCAATAACATGTGTGTTGTATGTTTGGAAGCATTCAAGATTGGGGATGAAGTGCGTGAGCTGCCCTGTCATCACGAATACCATTGCATTTGCATTGGTAAAGTTGTTGCTGCAGCACACAACACTCATTTTACTGACTGCCTTGTATAGACCCTTGGTTGACTTGCAAGTCTGGAGAATGTCCCCTTTGTAAATTCGATTGTTCTGTCGATAGCAAATCTGAGACGGTCATAGACGATCCTGATGGTTTGGTAGCTGCTTCCAAGGTAACTGGATTACGAGGCATACTTCTGCGTCCATACCTCAGATTCAAGGCAAATCGACGCAAGAGAATAGGCCAAGTGGGTGATTTGCCAACGACTAATACGGCTGCAAGAGAAGGACAGACGCAACCATCACGCCAATCCACCGTGATCACAAGCACAGAAGCGCCTAGTTCGCCTGGATTGAGAGCTGATTTGAGAGCTATAGAGGCTTCAGAGAATGCTACACTGCAACAGCAACAACAAGAGCAGCAGGAACAACCTTTATCTCCAGCCATGGAGGCACAACATATGGCTTACGCTGCTGCCACTACTGGCAATGGAGAAAATAATAACCCTCATGCCAGTGCTGCTTCTATTATGGAAGAGCCACTAACACCCTTGCATCCTCATGAACGAGCCCTTGCTGAGCAATTACCTCGCACATCAAGTGACAGTAGACGTACTAGCCGCACTGCTTCTCTTGAAGGAGATGATGAAGAAGAGACATTACCTCGTCCATCTATGGCTACTCAAGATTATGCACCAACCATTGACACAAGCGCATTCACCTATGTGCCTGCTGTAGATGGCGGATTACTACCAGACATTGATGTGTCTTCCTTTTCACTATGCTCTATTGATTTAGATAACATGACAAACGAAGACCCACATCATTCTCGTTAACTCATGTACTCAACTATAATACTATTCTTAATCTCTCAACATCTTCTTACTCTACTAATGCTAATGTTTAAATTTTCTTCATTCAAATCAATAAACACAACCACCATCAAACTATGATAGTGCCTGTTATGGTTAAGGCCCCCCCCCCCTTCATTGCCTTGATATCAATCAATCAAACCTAATTATATCACGGTGATTGCACATAGAATATACTTTACTGTCAAAAACAACAAACATGAAATGGGTTTCAGTCAAATATCGCTCTACGTAAGGTTGAACTAATAGGCCAAAACGACGCGAAAAGCCTTGTTTCGGAGCTGACTTGTTGCTGTAATCATGATGATGGCCCAAACGTTAGCATAAGAATGAAATCACCAAAATAGAGTGGATGGTATCATGCATATCGACATAGCGCGAGCGTGTAAGTAATCATTATGTAATGATGACCTTGTCATTTTTGCATGGACCATAAATACATATAAAAGAGCTCTGATTTCCTACGTCTTCTAGAAAAACACATATACAAAATCATATTTACAAACATGTCTGGATTTCCCGCACAAAAGCAAGAGAAGCAACCTGGTCTTCAACATAAAATGGATCCTCAACCCGCTGTTGCCGAGGACTACAAGGCTGCTGGCAAGTTGAAGGGCAAAAAGTTATTCATCACTGGTGGTGATTCCGGTATTGGCAGATCTGTTGTCGTCATGTCTGCTATGGAAGGCGTAGATGGTATTACCATCATCTTTAGAGAGCACGAAAAGAAGGATGCTGAAGAAACTGCTAAACTCGCTGAAAAGCATGGTGCTCGTGTCCGTTTCGAAGCTGGTGATGTTGCTGATACTGAATTCGCAAAGAAGGCTATTGACAACCACATGAAGGAGTTTGGTGCTATTGACATCTTGATCAATAATGCCTCTGAGCAACACATTTGTGATAGTCTCAACGAGATTGATCTCGAGCAAGTTGAGAGAACATTCAAATCCAATGGTATGTAGTCTAAAAGGCCGTACTCTTTTTCATTTCTACTCACTCTGTTTGTAGTCTTTGGTATGTTTGCCATAACCAAGTTCGCTTTGAACCACATGCAATCTGGTAGTGCCATCATCAACACTACATCTGTCACTGCATACAAGGGAAGCCAACAGTTAGTTGATTACTCTTCTACAAAGGGTGCTATTGTCACCTTTACAAGATCCTTATCACAACAACTAGCAAGCAAAAACATTCGTGTCAACGGTGTTGCTCCTGGCCCTATTTGGACTCCCTTGATTCCTGCATCATTCACTGAGGAACAAGTTGAACAATTTGGCAAGCAGGTCCCTATGGGCCGTGCTGGCCAACCCAGTGAAGTTGCACCCTGTTACATCTTTTTAGCATCTAAGGATTCTAGCTACATTACCGGTTCCGTCTTGCATCCTAACGGCGGTACCATCGTCAACACATAATTTGATTTTCTTTACCCACATTTCTTTTTTTTTTTCTGTAATTTGTCAAATCAATAAAAATCAAATTCCAATCTCTTACTTTTTTTTTTATGGTACTCAACTACAGAGCAAGCATGATTGTTCATCCAGTGAAAAGCAAGAAATATCCATGTTACTGTTTATTCCAAGTCATTTCGTTACTATGGCGATGATTTGACATCATGGATCTATAAGTGCGTGCGTTTGTTCGGTAGCCCAATAGATCGCTCAGATCCCTAATGCCATGTAAAACCACGATGGTGGCAGTGCGCATTACCCATTATCATTGAGAAAGCCATTCAAGCTACTAACACATCCTTGATTCACCGATTGATAAACGCTTTCTGTATGAAAATAGTCCGTGTTGCAATGCCTATGGTCAAGAAATCAAAAGGATGATAGTAGATGAGCTCCCTCTATTGTCGAGATACAACAGATTGAAACAAAAACTAGAAACAAGTAAACGCATTAGCATGAGTCTACAAAATCAATATGATGGCTCTCGGTCGTGTGCATCCTCTTGCGCCTGGAAACCAACACCAAAAGTCTAGATAAACGTATTTGTAAGCAATTTTTACCTCATTCGTAAGACAAGCGTGCGGTTCGGATGTGATAAAGTCTGGAAAATAAGGCTATAAAAATCCGATGTGTTTTTCATTGGAAATTAGTAGCTCTCTTTTTCTCACTCTTCACTTTTCGTTTGTTTGCAATATGTCATATATTTCTTCATTAAATTTACTTGGAGACGATTCGCCTGTACCTCTTTCCGAAGAAGCCCTCAGTGAGGAGCTTGCCATCTGGGCTAATGCTCAATTCACATTTGATACAAAGCCTGGCCAAGCTATTGCGGATGATTCCTACAAGGCTGTTGCTGAACAACATGGTCTTTTTGCAACATTTGCTGGCTTAAATGATTTGCAACCACAAAACAACAATTTGATGAACACTTATTTGAATAACAACAATTACTTACTACCCTCTACATCTTCCTCTGTAAAATCCATTCAACCTACACCACAACCACAACCACAACAGCTCCAATCTCAATTATTACCAAGAATAGCACCCGCACCACTCCAACAACAACAACAACAACCACAAACCCAATCTCCCATTCAACAAAACCACAACACACCCTCTGCTCCTTCCAAGAAACGCAAAGCATCGATAGCTATCAAAGATTCAAAAGACGAGGAACACACGGATGCTATTGAAGAAGACAAGAGAAAGCGAAACACAGCTGCGTCTGCTAGATTCCGTATGAAAAAGAAATTAAGGGAGCAAGCTTTAGAGCAAACAGCTAAAGAGATGACTATCAAAGCCGAAGCACTCGAAAAGAGAGTCATTGAGCTAGAAAAAGAAGCCAAATGGTTGCGTGCGCTTGTGGTTGAAAAGGATCCTGCTTTATTGAATACAGAGTAAATTTTTCCTTTCAAGGGGCTATCATCTCTTTTGTTATTCTATCTTTGAAACGAACTCAATAAAAAAAAATCAAAAACTGACACAAATCCAATCACTCTTTGTAAATAAACATACATGTCTATAGTCTATTGTGAACACAAAATCTACATTCGATCTCAATAAAAAGCTCAATACAGTGTACAGAAGCACACAGATGCACACACACACACAGATGCACACATTTTGATTTTATATATGTGTCAAAGTTATTCTAAAAATCAAACGGATCGTATCTTCTCAAATCCGTCTTGCGTGATTTCATGATTCCAGTGATTCCATTGGCTTTGTGGATGCTATTTGTAACATGCTATTGGATAAAGAGGCTCTCTAGTTGAATGCTTATATATATGGAAATCTGATCCTCTGAAAGAGTATTGCACCATACGCTGCTAGAATTGTGTGCAGTATGACCATACTATAGCCATGACTGACCCTATCTTATGAGAAGATCCACACGGCTTGGACAGATGCCATATATACAAAGTGGCATGTCCTAACCATTGACCAAAACCTCCACCCTCCTTTATGACATGTAAATATACCCTTTGCATTTATTCAAACCCTTTTTTTGTTGTGCTACCCTGTACGTCTGTGCTTGTACAACAACTCATGCTAAACAGACATTCCCTTCATGTCTTACCAATACCCATGATCCATTGCATGTACGACACGGATACTAATTGTATATATATATAAAAAAAATTAAAGTATAATGCAAATGGATGCTTGCACAATATTCAATAGATGTTGGTCATTTACCAGAAAAAGCATGACAAGCATCGTGTTACCTGATCTATACATCTCTAAGGTGCTTGATGATATAAGCTTACAACAGAGATGTGATCTTGCTACCTTTTTCAAAGGAACCTCCGCTACATCTAGAGCCTGAAATTGCGAAATACACAATCCTGTAGTTGCATAGATGAAGGTCCCGTTTTATTTATTTTTTGGTGGGCTTTGCTACATTGTGATCATTTGTCAACCAAGTGAGATATCCTTCAGTACCCAAGAATGTTTCTTGTACAGATGGCCTACTGACGAGTGCTTCAAAGTAGTTGGCTACTCTTGGGCATGCTTCGAGAGCGCTAAATTCAAATCCATCGAGCATGTGTTTATTAAACGTAAGCATACGGATCACAAACGACGCCATGCCAATGTCTGCATAAGTGAATTCAGTCCCTAAAAAGTAGGGTCCTGTGGTTGATTGAGCTCTTAGCAATTGATCTAGCTATGTAGAATCCCTGTTAAACAAATACGCAATCATAGTCGGGGAGCTCTTCAACTTACACGAAGTAAATGTGCGTTCATGACCATTCTGTAGTGCCTGAAAGAGCCGTCTTCGCCACATGTATTGAGATATTTGTTGTAATCAGACCCGATGGAGCTACTGTAGAATTCAATAGCATAACGACTATCAGCACGCTTGACAAGATCATCAGAAATCAAGCTGAGGGAGAAAGTATGAGACAATGTTGCAACAACCACTTTTTGAATTCACTCACGCTTTCTTATCAGCAAATCGTTCACACAGATATTGAACAATTGTCAGAGAATCAGGGATGGTATGCTTATTCTCGTCGATCAAACAAGGGATTTTTCCCTCTGGAAAAATGTCTAGATACCTAAATTATACCAACGTCAATATGGTTTCTGGTAAAGACCAAATACCATGTTTACCAAGCGGGTTTGTTCTTTGCATCAATGATCACAAAGTCATAGTCTACGCCCAATTCTGCGAGTGTGATACGAGTGCGCTGAACGTAAGGACAAAATAATGCGCCGCAAAGTGTAAGCTTCTTGAAATCTGTAACGCTTTTTTTTTAGTGAGCCCAAGTCAATGTTGATTAAACACTCTATATTGACCTATTTACCTGGTGTAGCCATTTCTGATAATGTAAGAGATAACATGAAAATCTGCGGCGATCTTTGGTATCTTAAATATGCCATACTATGTGAAACCCCTGCCACTATTTTTCAAAAAAAAAAAAAAAAAAAATACAGACTAAATGAATGCAGTTGCATAACACCCATAGCAAGTGATAGCCTTGCAAAAGATACAGCTGTGAATATCCCTGTTGGGATCACTCAAAGGGTATATCCGATGTTGTATTTGGCCACTTCCGAATATCTGGTTCTCAAACATGTGAAGCAAATGAATCAAATTGCGATTTTTAAATATTCCTCTGAATAAGCAATACTACTATGAGTCACTGTCAAAGTATCATGAGCAAATGTTCTTGAGCAAGATGCCATTTCGTTGCATTCTATATTTGAGTTTTGTATTTGGATAAGCCATTCGCAACGAGTACATCAATTACATACAGAAATACGCAGCAGACATAGACGAGAGTTGTAAGGTAAAGCTACACTATGTGTTAATTCGCAATGCTCCTCTAACAAGCTTCAAAAACATCAATTGCCTTTTGTAAGAATGCATTTTGCAAGCCAAAACGGTTTGAAATGACCGCTTTCAAAAATACTTTCCAGATTGGCCAGATTCTAAACAGTTTCGACTTGCTCAAACTATTTTGCCAGTTTCGACTATATAAAATGTGATAATCATCCAATGCTTCCTAATACATTCTTGGAGCGCTTTTCAAGGCGCTTCTAATGGTACTGATTGTAGGTGGTGTTTTGAATAAACTTGTTGAGTAATCTTGGAAACTATGAAATGAGGTTTTTTGGCGAAAATGCCAAGATTTTGCATATGAAGGCCTCCCAAACAAAGGGTCAGGGGTTGCCTTGGATCGAGAGAAACATTTTGATTTAATACATACCATAGAAAAAGTCTTCGTTTTTGGGGTCAAAAACGCGTTCGTCTGATTTTCGATGAAAATCATGAGGTATCACGCACGGATTTTGATCGATTTTCGACGATCCTGAAAAAGTGGAGCAAAGGTACCAGACAGTGATTGCCAGATGAGAGCAATTGTTTGGTGCAATTCTGGGTGGCCTAAAACGGCTTTTAACACGAGAAGATGCGGTTTGAATGCACCCAAATTTTGCAGTGTCTTGCATAGTTTTGAATAGTAAGAGGTAATAAGAGTATCTTGTATGTTTGTATTTAAGCTATTTTGCACTGATACCGACATGGAGTATCTTGGAAACGTTGGGTGAGCTGCTACAGGCTGTCCATCAAGGGCTCCTGCCTAGTCTTAGAAGCTTAAATAGTAGGATCATATGCCATCTGCAATTATATGGGTACTGATGATATGCAGCGATTGAAAGTGCTTGGACAAGATTTGAGAAGTAATGGATTCTTTAGGCTTTGAAAACTAACTGATGTAGATAATTACTAAAACGAATATAACATAATCTTTGACAGGGAGTAGTGTAATGTCTAAGCATTAACAGTAAACAGCATCTTCTCGTTCCACACTGAAAGCTTACTCGTGATATATAAATCTGTGGAAACAGCTATTGACACAGACGCATATCATACTAATGAGCGTCAGATGGAATAAGAGCGCTAGGGTTAGCGACTTTAATACAAAAATCCTGTTTGAATTGCTTCAAGTGCTGAACTCTATGTCAACGTCTTTTGTATTCAATGGTCTCCACCCCCTTCCCCTTTTTTTGAGCTCATCTTTTGAAATTATTCTAAAACGCGAACTGACTAAATTTGACACCTTTTTTCTTTTTCATTTTCATCTCTACAGCTACACACAAAAAGATCATGGCTACATCAACACAACTACCGACTAAATTGCCACCATGGCCTCGATTGTCCTATGCTCTAGCCAAGCACCTTGTCCATAAAGATGTACCCAAGACATTCCTCACACCTGCAGAAGAAGAGCATCTGCACACAGCACTGGCATCGTTTCAACAATGGCAGCACTTTATCGAACTCAAGATGGACACAGCAGCAGGACCAGAATGCCAATTCACAAGCCATCAACTCACTGCCTTTCGAGTGCGTGCTTTACTCTCAGAGCAATTTATACCACATTTCTTTCAGCACAACAAACAAGAGGATCAGCAAAATCGACCATGCTGCCAACAATTGAGACTGGATATTGATAAACTATGCTTGGAAGCAAGGCAGATTCAAGACAATCAAGAAACCACCATTGCTAAGCTAGAGATACCAAAAAATCAATTGCTGCTGGATACTGATTCAACAACCACGATTACAGCAGAAGAACAGCAGCAGATACAGCAAGACGAGCAACAACATGCAGCTCAAAACAGTGACCATGTCCCTTTATTAGATATTTATCATACACTTGAGTTTGACATGGCGGCCATGATTGAGCAACGAAAACTAGAGGAATACCAAGCACAAGAAGAAGCCCACGATGAAGAAAAGAGCCAAAACAATAATAATAATTCGACTGTAAGTAGGAGACTTTTTTTTTTTTTTTTTCGAAACGGAATCTGACATTTTGCTGGAATACAGTTGCACATTTTAGATGATTCAGATCAGTTCAACCTCAAGTATTTGCTCAAGGGCATTGCAGACAACCGAGAAAAAACAAACCTGACAGATCGAGAACTGCGAAATCTGTTACTGGACGTCAAACCTCACAAATCGAAATGGGCAAATGACGACAAAGTGGGACAGGAAGATTTGTATGAAGCATGCGAAAAACTATTGACAGATTTGAAAAACTACACTGAACATTCTACACCATTCTTGACCAAAGTCAGTAAAAGAGAAGCGCCCGATTATTATGAAGGTAAGAAATGAAATGAAAGGGGGAGGGGGAGGGAAGCATTATGCCTGTAGCCATGACTTGACCATTTTTGTCATAGTGATCAAAAATCCAATGGATCTGGGCACAGTGTCAAAGAAGCTCAAGGCATTTCAGTACAAGAACAAGAAGGAATTCGCCAATGATTTGCACTTGATCTACCAAAATTGCTTGGACTACAACACAGACCCTCACAGCGAATATCGCAAACATGCCATTGCCATGCGCAGAAAGACGGATCGACTATTACCCCGTGTGCCTGATATCAATGTCAAGGAAAGATTTGGAGGAGAGGAGGGTGATGATCCCATGGACATGAGCGAGGATGAGAGAGCATCGGCTACACCAGCACCTGAAAGCGGCGTCATTCCAACCATCAAGCTGACGCTCAACAACAACCACAGAGAACGTAGTGCGAGTCGTGCCTCCAGAGAGAGATCCGTCACGCATGATTCATTGGTGGACGAAGGATTTCATGCCAACTATGCTGGAAAACACCCTAAAAAAGGCACAACGCAACCACACACTGCTATCGACACAGCGCATGAAGAACAGAGTTTGCATCAAGAATTAGAAATGGACAAGGGCGAATTACAAAATACAATCTGGAGAGAAGTGACCAAAAAGACCAGAGCCAAAGCGACGGTAAATGCACACAGTAGCTATAGGTAGCATAACATGCTGATGGTTTTCATGTAGACGGACATAGAGAAGCAGTATCAGTTTGACTTTGGCAATAGACATGCTATCACCATATCGTCACTGGACATGGAACGGTTCAGTTTAATGGAGCGTTTGCATCACCAGCCTGAAAGCACCAAGAAACTCATGCGTTGCAGTCGGGCCGCATTCTCGAGGTGGTTGGAAAGATATGAGGGGATGGGCGGCGGCATCTATGATAATTTCGACCTGAATTCTGAAGATGAAGATGGATTTGACGGAGGCTTCTTTTTCTCCCGTAAAAGTGATCAACCCAAGCCTACCGATGAGGACGATGCGATTCGAAATGACCTATTTCTGCCCGAATATTCGACCGTGCCTGGATTGCCCGAGATCGAAGGTGTTTCTGAGGAAATTAACAATGCAGATGAGTACTATGGCAATGAGGAGGAAGACGAAGAGAAAGATGGGCAGCAGGAGCACACTGCATCCAATAAAAAGAAGAGAGAGCTTCCAGTGCTGCTGGATCAATACAGTGCTACAAAGCGCACTGATCATGGTTTAGGTGCACTCATGGATGACAATATCAAAGAGCTCACCAACATTCGATTCATGTACAAAAAATGCAATGCCATTCGCAACAACACCCCACTTGGCGAATCCAGTAATACAATCAGGGAGGAGGAGCAGGAAGAAGAAGAGGACGATGACGACGATGCATCCATGCCGACATCCTCTACACCAACACATACTGCACCGTCGATACCACCTAATGCTTGTTCTGATGTCTCCTCCATTGAGATCAGTCAAGAAGCCACTCACCAAATGATGCAACGCACGATTATCCAATTACTGACGCATGCTGGATTCGAGGCAGCACAAGGCGGCCCCTTGAACGTCCTGACCGATCTTATGGCCGAGTATTTCACAAACATTGGTAAAACAATTAAAACATATTGCGATACGCATAGCAAGGACATGACAGGCGAGGAGATCTTACTGCACTCGCTGCATGAGAACGGTGTGAGTCAGCTGGAGGATTTAGAGACCTATGTTACGGATGATGTGGAGAAATATGGGCATCGCTTAAAAGACGTGAGCAGACGTTTGGAAGGCACGTATCAAGAGCTGGTAGCGGGATCTACGGAAGCATCGGTGCATGATGAAAGCGAGTTGTTTGGAGATGATGATGCATTTACTGCGTAAGTATATATATATATATATATATATATATATATATATATATGTGCGAGAAGCTTTACCGCGTTGCAAGAAGCTCTAACTTGTATCTTTTTTGCAGAGGATTGTTTGGCGAGGCATTGGGCCAGGATTTCTTTGGTTTTAAAGAGCTGGGATTGGACCAAGAATACAACATGAGTTCGTTGCAAATACCAGCCAAGCTTTGGTTCAAAAACGATGAATCAAAACTAAAAAAGATGGCACAAGGCAAAACAAAAGGTATGATTCTTTACACACACTTGCATCGGATCACATCCTGGTATTGACGTTTTTTGACACAACAACAGAGGAACCTCAGTGCAAGCACCCAGCGCCACCACCATTCACGCCTGTAGAAAGCGAGGATGCCTTTATCGGTTTATTAAAACCATGGTACAGGAAACGCATGCAAGACAATCCACAAAATGCTGCAATGGAAGATGAATTCAAACCTACTAAAAAGAGCAATCGCCCCAAATACCCACCTATTCATATTCGATCTGCCAATGCAGCACACATCAACAGTAACAAGCGCAAAGCACTACGAGATGGATCCAATACACTTCATTCGACGGTTCTGATGGAGGAGAAAAAGAAGCGTAAACGAATGCTAGAGGAATCCAAGCTACAGAAGAAGAGGCAGCGATTGGAACTAAAAGCACAAAAATTGGCAGAAAAGGAGCAGAAAAAAAAGTTGCGTGAGGAGAACCGAGAAAGAGAGAGATTAGCTAAACAGCAAAAGGAAAAGAAATAACACATATATTTAGATTGAAGGGGGAGGAGGAGGGGGGGTTTCTTATTTATTGAAAATTAAAGTATATGAAGTATTTTTTTTTTCAAAGAGTATATATATAGTATTTAAAAAGAAAAGAAAAGAAAAGAAAAGAAGAATTAATATATCTGGAAAAGATATAAGGCTTGTTAGTAGTAGTAGTAGTAGTAGTAGTAATAGTAATAGTGAGCGGTTGTTTGACAAAGACAGAGATGATACAAAGAATAACATATGTATAAAAGTTATGTACGTTGGTGAGATATAAAAGAGATATCATGGCTAGCAGCAGGAGAGATTGCTGTTGATGTAGTGTTAGAAGATGATGTAGAGGGCTTGGCGATACTTAGGTTCTCAATGATCAAAGGCGACGAACTTCCTGCTGCCATATTGGACGCGTTGTTGGCAACAGCAGCATACATCATTTGCTTTTCCACCTCTAAACAAGCTATACCAAAGAGCAGTTAGTACAAAGCATCAAGGCCATACTTTAGATAGAAAGTATACTTACTGCTAATCAAGTGTTTACCATACGTATACTTTTTCAAACCTTGAAGGTGAGGCTTGATCTTTGCTACCAACAGATCGCGTTGATTCCCATCAACGACATCAAGCATCTTTTGGACAACATAGTTGGCATATTGGTCCTTCATCATGGACATTAATGGATAGGATCTACGCAACAAGTCAGACTACTACACAAGAGAGGGCATTTTTCCTTTTTTTTTTTACCCATCAGGTCGAGTCATGAGCACTTCTTCAATCAATGCTTGTCGATCCTCTTGACATCCATAGGCTACACACTTCTCAACCACGTTACTGGCAAATTTATGCTTGCTGAGCTGAAGTGTATGTCCTCTGACTTTGCTGATAATCAGAGCCTTGTCCTTGGGCTTACCGTGCTCCAAAATGTGCTGGATCACATAGTTTCCGTACTGATCTTGCACTAATTGGCTAGTACTTCTGTGTAGTTCTTCCAACAAGTAAATCTACAGTGAGGATGGTCTGAGTACCCACGCATAAAACCTGCAGAATGATGGACTTACTGTTTGATCCTCAGGGCAATGCTCAAACATTCTCTGAATTACACGACAGCCATAAGGATGCGTTGCTAGATGATAGACTTGGCCATAAAACGTATCAATAATGAACTGAATATGCTGCGCAGGCACACGCTCAATTGCCTTTTGAACCACATGATTGCCGTTTTGATCCTTGACACATTTCAATACACAGCCATCCAATTCACGGATCAAGACTGCTTGCTGATCCGTCAGTACGTATTCCAGTGCTTTTTGCACAACACGACACCCGTACATTTGCAACGACAAGGACAAAATGTGTCCCTCCATGTGTTTAGCAAGCACCGTCTTTTGTGCTTGATTGCCGTGCTCAAATAGCTTTTGAATCACATAGTTGCCAAATACATCTGTCATCAGTTGCAAGCAGTTGGGTAGAATCTCGTCAAAAACAAACTGCTTATCATCGCTGCTGGCTGTCTCCAACTTTTGTTGGATAAAACGACTACCGTGCTGATCGCCACTGAATTCGACAACATGGTGAATGATGTCGCGAAGTCCGAATTTCTTGTTCTTGTTGTTGCGGAACTCTTCCAACAAAGGGCTACGGATAATAGGAACAACAGCCTCAGCGGTGGCGGCTGATGATGATGGCGTTGTGCTGGATTCATGCATCGAGTTGCTGTTGGGTGTCATGGATCCGTTGTTGCGACTGCTGCGAGGAGGAGCAGGGCTAGCAGGTGTACTCGGCATGGATGCACTGAGGCCATTGTTGGTGGAGCCGGGATAATAGCCAGAGGTACTGAGGTTGGGCAAGACACCAGCAACCAAAGATGGCATTGGTTGCTGCTGCTGCTGCTGCTGTAATTGCTGCTGTCTCATCATTTGCTCTCTCAGTATCAAAATTTGCTCCTGTTGCATCAGTATCTGGCGTTGACGAGACTGCAACTGGAGCAACAAACGGTCATTGGTAAGTGATGGCTGCTCTTGTGGCTGGCCCATGCTCGATGTGGCAATGGTTGGTGTAGTTGGCTGACTGAAATCCGTGTTGGACATGATTGAAGGACTTGCTCTACCAGAGAACTCGCCCGAAGTGGCCCATTGATTGACAAAAGAAGAAGAAGAAGAAGAAGGAGGAGGATGTAAAGGTGAGCGCATCATATCCTCATTGCTGTTGTATCTGTTGCCTTTATACTCCATCATCATATCGGGCGTACCCACACGGTCACTACTATCCCACATGGTATTTGGGTGGTATCCTTGAGGTGTTTGCATTCTACTACTCTTGTCCACTTGAAATGATGTATTAGTATACATATCCCTTGAAACGCACTCCACACGATTGAGATAGTTACCAGGAGACATTGCACCACTCCATGGCATTGAATTCTCGTTCAATACAGCATCTAAGCTTTGAGGCGGTGGATGCATAGCAGCAATGTTGCCTTGCTGTTGCTGACTCATCCATTGATAGTATCTCTGCTGCTGCTGCTGCTGCTGCTGCTGTTGCTGTTGTTGTTGTTGCAAATGCCTTTTTGACAGAGCCTCTTCATGCTGCTAAACAAACCCAAAAGAAGTATTTTAAGGAGTGAATGTGGGATCAGGGAGAAAAAAGAAAGATAAGCAATTTAGACTCGATTTACTTAAAGGCTACTATGACAAACCTTTTCATTCAGACTTGCTTGACTCATGCCCATCAGTAGCTGACTATACTCGTAGTCTTCCATTTGACGCTGCTGTTGATTGTTGTACTGATGATGTTGAGCTGTAGGTGGAGTGGAATTGGCACGAGGTGGAGGCGAGGCTACATACTTGCTGCGGACAGGAGGTGACATGGGCCGTGACAAAGGGAAACGTGCATAAGGCTGTTGTTGCTGAGCCAGAAGATCTGCATTTCCATCAGTAGTAGTATCAACTGCAAAAGCAGGAGTGGATGGCTGCTCGGCTCCAGAAAACACAGAGAAGTAGCCTCGCTGATTATGATTGCCCTCGTCCAGAATGCGACTACTGCTGCTGCCATTATGATTCAAACCTCGCTTGTTGGCTGGTGCCTGAGAAGAAAATGGTGAACCTGATCGGTGATAGTTCTGTATATCAAAAGAGCGCCCAGATGTTTAGCTTGTATAATGTGCATCTCATAGATATACTTACATCGAGATGAAACTGTTGCTGTTGCTGCTGCTGCTGCTGCTGCTGCTGCTGATGTGTTTCCACATTAAAGTAACTGCTTTCTTCCAGTTGATTGCCTTGGAAACCTAAAATGAACCTACAGTTATGACTGGGGCTTTCGCATCTAGTGGATGCTGTACTTACTGTAATATTGATCCATATTGGGACGGCTGCTCTTATTGCTTTTGTTGCTAGCACTGGACCATACTTGACGAGATGAAGATGACGGGTCAAACAGAGGAGAAGCTACAGGCTGATGGTTGCCCTTCCATGCATGGTGGCTGCCAAGTAGATTTACGTGCTCTCCAGTAGTGTTTTGGATGGGAAACTGAAACTGATGAGGATCAGGAGGTGCACTGCTTGGTCTTTGCTCTAATTGCTGTTGCTGTTGTTGCTGCAAATCCAGGTACAATTCATTTTCAGGTTCCATGCGGCCTCTCATCAAAGCAGCAAGCTATCAGTAGGTTAGAGAGATGAATGAATCCAAGGAGGAATTCAAAGCTGTACCTGACCCTGTGGTTGATTCCTGGCTTTTGGTTGCTGTAGATCAGGTTGTCCCCGAGAAGAAGGAAACTCCATTGCAAACGGCTGTTGCATCATATATAACCTCTATTTTGTACGCGTGCGTCTGTGTTTTGCGATGTATGATACAGTTATGCTTTGAGTTATATACAAGTATATCCAATGCAATGTAGTATTATGTATAATGTTGATCTATGTATAAAAAGGAAAAAAAAAAAAAAAAGTGAAAAAGAAAAAAAAGAAAAGAAAAGGGGGAAGAAAGCGAGGGCAAGATTTTATACCATGTTTAATATATACTACATTACTAAAACATGTCAGTATGGGATTGCCATCCAACCACCTTCTCGTGTCTGTGTGCCTTGGCTTCCATTTGTTGCACCCCTTTTTTGGTCTGCATCCACGTTTACCACGCACTCCGACCATGGGAAGAACACTTGCTCTATGGTCTGCCCCTTCTTACGGACAAGTGTGTCGTTTGTTGGTCATGGCTCCATGTATCGTGCGGGGTGGTTGATTTTGATTTCAACCAAACTGCCACTGGACCACGCCGATCTGCGCCCTCTGTTCTAGTATACCAACTCGAACGACTACCAAAACACAGTGGTTTAAGGTTGATGTCGTACATAATATCCATTTTCATACAGTGTTTGATCTAAATTTATAGCCTCAATGGACAAGGTTGCTTTGAGAGATAGACAGAATACAACAAGACATTTTATTTATTTGATACCACCATTCTTGACAGTAGCAGCCTTCATTTGAATAGCTTCACCAGAAGCAGTTCTAACAAGAAGAGGCTTATCACCGTAATGAGCAATGAGATTATCGTCGGTATGGAGTTCAGGTTGAACAGTCTCCCAGTACTTCTTCTTGGGATTCAACACCTTCTCGGGCTCGCCTTCTTGACCTTCAACAAAGACTCTGTCACCAGGCTTGACCTTGGATGTATCAACAGGTGCCAATAATTCAACAGCAGATCCATCAGCAGCAGAAGCACACAAAACCATACCGTATGACTTGACACCACGCATACTGGCAGGCTTCAAATTGGCTACAACAAAAACAATACGGTTCTCCATCTCCTCAACAGGATACCACTTGACAAGACCTGACACAATGGTACGAGGTTCTTCCTCTCCAATATCGATCTCTTCAACATAAAGTGAATCAGCACCTTCATGCTTCTTGACAGACTTGATCAAACCAACACGGATATCAATACGAGAGACAACAGGTTGATCAGTTTCAACAGGTGCAGGAGCTACATGTTGCATGCCATTAGAACCAAGTTCTTATCAGATCATTTCCCACATGATACGTTACCAGCAGGCTTCTTTTCAGCCTTCTTTTTTTCCTTCTTGGACTTGCCGCCTTCGACAGGGCCCTTCTTGTTATCCTTACCAGCAGCAGCAGCTTCAGGCTTCTTGTTGTCCTTGGCAGCAGCAGCAGCAGCAGCAGCAGGAGCAGCCTTGACATCACCGCCCTTCTTGTCACCCTTTTTCTATAGACGTATGTTGGTCATCAAATTCTGTATTTCATGCAACAAATGACTTACAGCAACAACAGGAGCAGCAGGCTCAGGAACATCATCGAGGTTGATTTCAACAAGAGGGAAGTCTTGAGTCAAGTTGTTGGCCTTGACAACAGTGTTTTGGATGAGATCAAACCAACGCAAAGTGTTGGGAGCAGAAGTGACCTTGATGCTTTTCTGTGGTATCGCAGTATTAGATTCACTGCCTCTTCATAGAGACCCCCTACATGACTCCAACTTACACTATGAGAGAACAAGAGACCGAAAATGACAACATCGACAATGGTCAAATGGTTGTTGATAAAGTAGGTCTTGTTGCTTAAATGGTCATTGATTTTTTTCTATCAACATGTTGATATAAGTATGATCTGCTTTGCTAGCTTTGACATCTCCCTCCAAAACTGTAACCTACCTCAATGTTGGAGACAATTTCCTTCTTACCAACGCCTCTGAGAGATTGGTTAGTGAAAGACAACCATTCCTCGACCTATCATCATGAGCTGTCAGTTTTTTCCAATGTTCGACATGTGCCACTCTATACATTCTCGTCATTACTTGAGCTTGTTCAGCCTTATCAGCACCGAGTAATTCAGCCTTCTTGGACTTGGAAACAAGAGCCTTGATGATGGAGTTGGGAGTATCAATCTTTTCACCGTCCAACTACATTGTAACATGTCAGTTGGAGCTTCTTGTTTTTAAATGTGTCGAGGCATAAATATCGTTTCGCTTTTACCTCTAAAACAAGGTCATTGGAGGTCTCAACCTTGGCATCAGATTGAACCAACTTGGAGACCAAGAGGATCTCACTAGCATTTTTCTCGGGAATACGAAGGACAGCAGCCATTTTGTGTATGTAGAGAGAAAAGGATGCAATGAATTATTCCTTAACGCGTCTAATAGGCAGAGGAAAAGAACCTCCGAGAAGAAAAAAAAAAAAAAGTAATAGCTCTACAATCGTGGCTTGTAAACATGGCTTCTTCAAAGGATGCACTACACTACATGTTGCAATTGAGCATCCTGTATAAAGGAAATACGATTACTTCTGGTATCGCAATGCATGCAAAGCTTTTAACAATTTATCGGTGCATACTGCATACCGCTGGACCTTGTTTCCCATACATGCATTTTTATACAAACGTTAAATGCAAATGATGGCCAGTGTGAGATGTTCAATTTAAACTTCCAGATCTACATGTTGATTTGAGGTCGATCCAGACGATATACATCAGTCTTTTTTTTTTCAAAAGCTTAGAATATAATACACTCTCTCACTCATTCAATTTACTAGTGTCAGGGAAAAACTACATAATAAGCGATATTGGAAACGACATCATTCAATATTGCAACATAGCGCTCTGTTCCTGCATGTTGGGCCTCTATCATTATTTCTGAGCCAAACCATACGTATAACAAGTGCAATTTAAAGTATTATAACAAGGCTATAGTAATCTTCAGCTTGCAATACCCTCTTCTAGGCTTCCAACAGCGTCAACTGCCTACAGGATACGCAAGGCATCCCTTCTGCCAGCAGCCAAAGCTTTTCAGCCTCCGACTAGCAGTTTTTTTTTTCTTACTCGAAATGGGAATATTTGATCAAATTTCGACTTGCTCGATCTATTTTGCAAGTTTCGACTATATAAAATGTGATAATCATCCAATGCTTCCTAATACATTCTTGGAGCGCTTTTCAAGGCGCTTCTAATGGTACTGATTGTAGGTGGTGTTTTGAATAAACTTGTTGAGTAATCTTGGAAAATATGAAATGAGGTTTTTTGGCGAAAACGTCAAGATTTTGCATATGAAGGCCTCCCAAACAAAGGTTCAGGGGTTGCCTTGGATCGACAGAGACATTTTGATTTAATACATACCATAGAAAAAGTCTTCGTTTTTGGGGTCAAAAACGCGATCGTCTGATTTTCGATGAAAATCATGAGGTATCACGCACGGATTTTGATCGATTTTCGACGATCCTGAAAAAGTGGAGCAGAGGTGCCAGACAGTGATTGCCAGATGAGAGCAATTGTTTGGTGCAATTCTGGGTGGCCTAAAACGGCTTTTAACACGAGAAGATGCGGTTTGAATGCACCCAAATTTTGCAGTGTTTTGCATAGTTTTGAATAGTAAGAGGTGATGCAAGTGTGCTGTCTGTCCAAATGTGAATTGTTTTTACGATATAGGCGTGGAGCGTTGTAAAAGAGCCAGATCCGCGGGTTCTAGGCAATTTACAAAGGATTTCTATCGAGGAGTGAGGACTAAGTATACGTTGTAGTAGGATGGTTCTATTTCTCTAATCTGCTTTTTCTTTGACAGAGTTAATGAACTCGTTCAAAGCTTTATCTTGATGCTCAGGTGATGCTGATCTGGTATAAATACCCTCAAGTGTCACTTCTCGGCCAGAGATGTATGTCTAAACTATGTTCCTCTGGCAAATGCATCTCAACAAGTGAGATGTAACGTAATTAAAAGGTTCATGTGGTTTAGATCGCTTTCCTTTAGATAGCATGGCTGTTCTCTACTTGTACTTTTTGCTGCTCCAGACAACGTTACTCTGGTAACACTATACAAACAAGGCATCTACATTAGGTGCAATGCATTGATATATAGCCCTTGACTACAATAGACATTTTTGCTAGCTGCATACGAGTAGACTAGTATCACAGCAAGCAGGGATAATATTGCAAGGCACAACATGTGAACCAGTTCAATCCAGAAAAACGATCGCTGCATCATAACTTGTAAATGGATGCTTTAGTGTGGCTGTACACAATTAATCTTTACAGATCAAATATACAAGAGTAATACGCTGTGTAACTGGCGTATATGATGTAAATAATCTCTAGGGAGTTTTTTTTTTTTTTTTTTTTTTTTTTCATGATGAGAGCTGAAACTCTGCATGTCAGCATCCAACACATCAAGGGAAGGGCCTGGTGATTCCAGCTCAAGAACGTTCACCAGAATGTCTTTACATTGGATCTTCAAGGGGCTGGATGGATAAATGGCTGGATCTCCCAACAACAAGCGACACTTGACCAATGGAAGAATCATCAGGTAATCCAAAATGTAACTTGAGAAATCTACTAAACTTTGGTTTTAACCAACGTCACGGCGTTATTGTTGCGTTGAGTTGATTATCTCTCTTCTGTGTGAGTGTAAGTGTGTGTGTCTCCATCTCACTGTATAACCTTGCTTCTTTTTTCTTTTCTTCTCCTCTTTTTTTTTTCTTTTTTTTTTCTCTTCTTTGATTCTTCTTCCTTTTTTTCTCTTTGGATTTCGCTTAGTTCCTTTATTCTTGAATCAAACAGCATGTCAAAAGCTTCTTCATTTGTACGTGAATACAAGTTGGTCATGGTTGGTGGCGGTGGTAAGTATTGATTGATTTTCTTGGGCAAAATGGCCATCTTGGTTCATCTTGACCAGAATGCAAAAAAGTGCTTGAAACCAAAAACTAACTCATGCAACAGGTGTTGGTAAATCTGCCTTGACCATTCAGTTTATTCAATCACATTTTGTCGATGAGTACGATCCTACAATCGAAGGTAAAAACGCAACTATTCGATGTACCTGGTTTTCTCGATTATATTATGTATAGTAACACAAGAAATTATTTTTTTATATTAGATTCATATCGCAAGCAATGTGTAATTGACTCTGAAACTGCTCTACTCGATGTCCTTGATACGGCTGGTCAAGAGGAATACAGGTATGTTGCATCATGTTGTGGTTCCTAGGAGCTGTAATTAAAAAAAGGTACCGAAATCAACTCTAGTGCTATGCGTGAACAGTACATGAGAAATGGCGAAGGTTTCCTCTTGGTGTATTCAATCACATCTCGCCTGTCATTCGAAGAAATCACAACATTCTATCAACAAATCTGCCGCGTAAAGGATCGCGATTACTTTCCAATGGTATTGGTAGGAAACAAGTGTGATTTGGAGGGTGACAGACAAGTGTCCAGTCAGGAAGGAAGAGATTTGGCAAAGAATTTCGGCTGTCAGTTCATCGAGACATCTGCAAAGCAAAGAATCAATGTGGATGAAGCCTTTTTCGAGGTTGTTCGTGATATCCGTAGATACAACAAAGAGCAAGAAACACGGGGGCATGATCAATTTGGCATCCAAGATGCTCCTGACGTTGCCTCTGACAAATGCTGTATTCTAATGTAATGTCTCATTTGCACGATAATCCTATTACACTCTACTATCCTATTCTAATTTCACTCTTGCCTAAAAAAAATCCTCCCCCCCCTTTTATGATCAATCTATTTATTCCTCTCTTTCTCTCTCTCTCTCTCTCTTACCATCCATATGTACTTGATGCTTCACCATGAGTGATATATAACTTAATTCTCGCTTTCTTCCACCTTTTTTTTTATATACATAAAATTTATATCGAAATGTAATGTACAACAGTAAATTTAAGGTTTTCGCTTTCGTTATCAACTGTCAATTTATGTGTAAACAATCACATTTGGAGATACAACATGTGCTGATTTCATTAAACGAATGCTCAAAATCGTGAATCTGAGTTTTGCGCCTTGACATGAACCAGGGAAATGAACTGATTTTGATGGCAAATGATGACACCAATTTAATTCGCTTGAGTGTTACAAGCTTGCCGTTGTTACAGATGCCATGTGGAGGAAATAATGAAAGCACTGGAATCGCTTAAATTGTAAATGTATTACAATGTCGATTGCACATGAGAATAGCCACGTTTTATCAGGGATATTGTCATAGGTACTCCAGGATCGCAAATCAGTTACTGCTGCTGCTAAACGGAAGTAGAGATGTGAATAGCGTGGCAATCCACGTGGCTCGAGCAAGAATCTATTGTTGTAAAACGTATCAAGATCAAGTCTGTACGAATGGAAACATCTGTATTTGTACAAATTCAAATCAAGATATGGATTGCCAAGACTCAGAAGATGTATAGCTTGCTTCATCATTCCATAGAAACTATTAGAACATTGCTTGTTGTACCTGCTATATTAGATGCATCAACTTTTCAAGGGCCATTTGACTTTATGTCATTGCTGGGACTTGAAATGCCTGTCTACTTCAATATTTGACGATATCACTATTTGGATCATCCGAGGTTACCATTGGTACCAGAAAGGCAATATGATTCAATCAATTATCGTTCGAGAGCTGAGCGTTATTTGACATTATGAGACCGGTTTGATCAACATTTCTGTCATAAAAGCTGGATTATGCAATGCCTTACAGAAATCAATTCAGTAAAAAAAAAAAAAAAAAAAAAAAAAAAAAAAAAGAGTCTCTAAAGTTAGTCTAGCGAGTTCGAACCGGTAATGCCTTTTAAAGTTATTAATCTATTGAGCATGCTGAATTTACTACCAAAAGCTCAATCCTATATGATACACAAAGGTTGGACCATATGAAGTAAAAAAACTTTGTAGTTGACATGAAAAAAGGAGAAATGAGTGCTCTGCTGTATAGAATCCTTATTGTAAACAGATGGAATCCCACGCAATTGTTTGACCATTGAAGTCTGTAACTGAAGAGCATAATCAAGTAATCGTGTCGCGTGAGCTTCTATGATATTCCCAACTCAAGTATAACTTTAGGTTCAAGTGCTCAGAGATCTGTTCTCGTACAGAGAGACATTTCCAATTATTGGACACCTGTATTACTGCTGAGGGCCCTTTTCGTGTCAATCGTTTTGAATCATGCTCCGTTCGAGAAGAAGTTATGGTCAATTGAAAATGATTGTAACACGCAATGGTCATTTGCAAGCATAAAAATTGACACAAAGACTCCATTGCTGTAAGTCTGTCTCACCAAGCAAAATCCGAGGGCCCTTCCTCCCTTCGTCAGAGCCCCCCTATGGGATTAAAACATGGTTCCAAATGCATGATGATTTGTGGTTGACAATTTATGGATGCTGATCAACTGACTCCAAGATGTTCATGTACGTAAGCTCGAGCAGATGGCTGTGATAAGCACGTTTAAGTTGGACTAGGCCCTGCTTTGAAGCTATTTACATTGTAATTCAATATTCAAGCGGGAATTCAAGAGGCTGTAGCAGTAAAATGTACATCTGAAAGAAAAGCAGAAAACAACATGGAAGTCCTAGAGAAGATGGGGTTTATGAAAGAAAACAAACAATGACGAGGTTGATGACTAGACTTTGTTTGTTATTAATTCCAAAGATTGCTACCTGGGGGCTGAGAAGATTTTCTTTTGAAAAAAGCATATGTCTATCATTTATGCTTTTATACCATTAGGGGATCTTGTTTGTTTTCTTGGCTTCCCCTCTTTTTCTTCTTTTTTTTCTTCTTTTCACGCTTTTTCTCTCCTTTCTTCCTTTTCTTCTCTCTTCAATTCCCTAGGTTTTCTCAAATCATGCTTGGACGTGGAAATGCAAATGCTGAAGGTGGTGATCCAGACTGCACTGAAGTGTTAGAGGACAACTCTCGTAGTATTCTGATGGGTATCATCAGCCAATTAAGAAAGGACATGGATTTGCATAGAGTGACACTTCCTACTTTTGTCCTGGAGCCTCGGTCAATGCTTGAAAGAGTCACCGATTTTATGAGTCATCCAGAATTGCTCATCGAGTAAGTATCTCTCTTGCGTCCTCTTTTTTTCAATTGCTGAAACCATCGTTTGGCATATCAGGGCAAGCACAAAGACAGATCCCCTAGTACGATTCTTGGACGTAGTGCGATACTTTTTATCAGGATGGCATATTAAACCAAAAGTAGGTTCTACAGAATCGTCTCCTCATATGAAATCATAACAAACTCTGTTGCACGTATAGGGAGTAAAAAAGCCATACAACCCTGTATTAGGTGAAATATTCAGGTGCAAGTATAAATACAGCAATGGCACGGAAGCAACATACGTTGCCGAGCAAGTATCTCATCACCCGCCCATCTCCGCCTATTACTATGGTAGCCCTGAAAATGGCGTTTACATTCAAGGTGATCTTAGACCTAAATCGAGGTTCCTCGGAAACAGTGCCGCTACATTAATGGAAGGCGAGAATCATATCGTCTTTACGCACTTGCACAATGAAAGATACGATATTACGATGCCTAACGTCTATGCGAGAGGAATATTATGTAACGTATCTGTGGTAAGATTTGAAGATGGGGTAACATTTGAGCTAATTATCTTTGTGATTAGTCGGTAAAATGGTTTTAGAGTTGGGCGACAGTTGTGTCGTTCGATGCCGAACAAGCGACTTGGTATGCGAGCTTGATTTTAAAACCAAGGTAAGTTGATTTGGAGGCAGCGTCCAAAGACACTTTACTGAATTGGTGTCATCAGGGCTTCTTTTCAGGGCAGTACAACTCAGTGTCAGGCAAAGTTAAAAAGGAATCAACGGGCGAGGTGCTTTACGAGATATCAGGTCAATGGTCCAATGAGATTTACATCAAGATGGCCAAGGTAATAGACGCAGTTGAGAGCAGTAATTGCTGAAGCTGATGATGTTGCGATAGGCCTCCAACAAGACACTCTTTTTTGATGTGAAATCGTCCACAATTCATCCCAAGGTGGTGCAAGACATTGATGAGCAAGAGCCACTAGAATCCAGAAGGTATACATATACGACGCTTAATCCATACTTGCAAAGAGATTCCTAATTTATGTACAGACTCTGGTCCAAGGTGACATCAGCCATTCTCAAAGACGATATGGATACAGCAACGGACGAAAAGACGCTTATAGAAGACAGACAGCGCGAGGAAACCAAGCTTCGTGAAGCTGAGGGCAGAGAGTTTAGTCCACGATTCTTCAATGTTACCTATGGTGATCAATACGAGTTTAAGGGTATTTCAAGGTAAGATTTTTCGTTGTAAAGGTACTATGAATTAGGCTCATAAGCGTTCTCTTTGAACACTAGTTTTAACTATCAGAATAAAATGAAGGCAAAAAGTGAATTGGAAAACGTGGTGTTCCCTCCATTACAAAGTGCTACTCAAACGGCCGAACCTTCACCATCCAATAGTATCAAAAACGCAAATAATGTTAGCAAATCTGCATTTCCTATTGCCTATTAAATATACACATTTACTTCAAAGTACAATACAGCTTTGTCAGGGACAGTTTCATATGAAATTTGTATTGCTTAGAGTCAAAACCAGTCCAGCATTAATCGATATAATTTCAGGTACCAAATAGAAGTTTAATCGATTAGATAATTCTGGTCATGAAGCCCAATTGAACTCAACAGAAGAGGGAATATTGGAGATGCACAAGGCTTACTGTACATGAGTCGTTTTTCTGGAGAAAATACACCTAAAAAAAAACTACAATCAAATTCGTGTAACCGGATGCTATTAAGGTTGAATGAATTCTACAGTAGTGTGTTGAAATGTCAGTTTTATTATGTGTCTTTTGAGCAAGCTATCGCTTAGAAAGCAACGCGCCATCTATCATTCTCATCAGGGCCAGCACCGTAACAAGTAACTTCATTTTGATCTTCATTAAGGGATTCATCATGGCTGTGCCTAGTTTCAAGAAATTGTTGTTAGAACATAATGATGGAAGCTCAAGAAAGTATCCAAACTTACAATGTTAATCCAGTAGCAACATGACGGAGAGCAAAAGAGCGACCTGTGTACCAAGTCTTTATATCATGTAAACATGTTAGACATATCCAAAAGGAGGAGTGTATCATGGCTAAAATCACTTACAGCATCCTCAGGGTCAAATTCCTCGTTTTCCTCCTCATCAAAGGTCCATTGCTCCACGATCCACTCATCATTTTCATCACTAGTAAAGTCATTACCGTAACATGTCACTTCTTGTTGCTCGGTAATGGGACTAGGGATGTTGGGATGTGAGTGAAGGTTGGTTCTGGTAGCTAAATGCTTGAGACGAATGACATCGCCAAAGTTGACATCAACTTGACCCTCAATTTCATCACCAATACGAGGAATCACGATAAAAGTAGTTTCATGGTCAGGTTCCCATCCACCAGCAAAGACGACTTGTTGTCCACTACCGTTTTCATAGATATTGCCTTCAACAGAGGTCAAATAACGACCAGTCATGTTGTGCTTCAAAGAGATGTGGTTACCAAATTGGATAGGGCCATCCGGGCGAGAGCCATAGTTGATTTCTTCAGAGTCTTTTTTTGTATTATACCATGAGTGAATGGCATAACCAGGCATCTCTTCTACTTGAATACTTACCAGACATTGTATAAATAATAGTATATTATTAGGAAAGGAGGAGTGACGAGAAGACAATGCCATTTCTTTTTATATAGTTCCAGAAAAACTCCAGTGTTACAAATGAACATAATCTGAGCGGATTAGGTTCCGAATGGCACTCCCTAACGCGCTATTCTTCAGGAACATAAAATGGGCGAGAGAGGATACTATCTTGTATTGAAAGCTATTTTATTTACATTTACAAGGATATGATGTGATTAGAAAGACATTCCCTTTCCCTCAATAGACACCTTGGGTGTAGTTCTTTTGGGTCCAGTCTTGATAGAACGCATTGTGTTGTTTAATCTTCTGAATGTATTATCAGGCTATTCAAGTAAAATTAGTTTCATGCATTTGATAGTTACTGTTAAAAACTTACTCGAGAGTTTCTGTTTTTATCGGTTCTAACAGTACTCTGAGGTGCAACATCGTAATCTGCGGCCACAGCTTGAGGTACTCGAACAAAATGTCTATTCTCTTGTCTAGAAACGGGTACGAAAAGGTTAATATATTAAAGTTTTTGTTATACACGAGATAACGTACTTGTCTTCCTCTGGTTCTTCAGCAGGACGTCTGTATCTCTTTCTTTGATGAAGTCTGTTTGAAAACATAAGCACAATTTTCCTATTAACCGTACACGTATAATGTTACTCACGCATCTTCTTGTCTGTACTCTTGGACAGCTGGTCGACGTTCCTTGTAGTTTTCACTGCGCTTGATAACCAATCGACTCCATTTGGCTACTAATTGATCAGCCTTTCTCTTCATGGTGGGTTCGATACGAGGCGATTTGGTATAGAAATAGACGATTTTACCAACTCCACTTTCGCGCAAATGATCACCTGCGATGGGCAGTTTGTCCAAAACATCAAGCATTTCACTTTGAATATCCAAACTAGGTAAAGAACGATCAGGTAAAGGCTCAAGCCATAGTCTTATCATCTCCAAAAGACCGTTATCCAAGATCGCATCATGCAAATGCTTGCTATAACAACATATCAGTGAGATCATCAAGCCGACATATATTGCAACTGCCTTACTTTGTCAGCATCGTGGTAGCTTCATTCAACATCTTCAACTTTGCTGTGGCAGCTCGTCTCTCTCCATTAGCAACAGCATCTTCCTCTGAGGCATTTCTCATGCGCTCTCTCAAGTTGGATAATTCCTCATCCATAGAACTTTCAAGATCTTCACCATCCTGCTTCTTTCTCTTCTTTTTGCCGCCCTTCAAAGCCTTGGCAAACTCTCTATCAATTTCATCTCTCAAAGCTAAAATGATATACAGATGAATCGCTTGAGCAGTAAATACACGGCCAAATCTTCATACCTTGACGAGGATCAATAGGAGCCTCATCCTCGTCTTCAATAACATCAGCGCTGTTGTGATGAGACGAATTGTTCTTTAATTCACGAATTTCACGGCGGACCTCTTCTAAGCGAGCATTTTCCTCATCGTCAACGTCTCTATGCTTTTTTTTGAAAGATGGTAGCTTTGTGATGGGCTTGGGTGCTTCTTCGTCATGTTGCACCTCTTGTTGCTCTTTTTCTTCTTCTTCTTCTTCGATGTGGGTTGATCTGACAGGCTCCTCGGTATCAGATGCTATATCTCGTTATTATCATCATCATTGTGTATCTGGTGGGTAAAATGTATTACCTTGATCACCATCAAGGTCGCTCATTTCCTCCTCCTCTTCACTAGAGCCGAATAATTTCTCTTGTCTCTTTACGAACAGGTAACATTTTGGTAAATAATACTATCAGTATATTTGAGTCAAATGAATTTTACCATAGATTCTTCATCGTATGTGGCCATTTTTGATTATAAAAGAATTAAATTGTTGATACACAAGTTGCTGCGAGTGTGAATGTAATGCGAACAGAGCGAACTCTCCCTCGTGAGAGTGACATCACATTCATAAGCCTTAAAATGTTCAGAGTATAGGCAGCCACAAAATGGTAGCTCAAGTGCATACTGAAAGGCTCATAAACAAGCACATTCATGTCTATAGTTGATAATCGTATCCTTGGGGTCACAATTTATATTGTTAGATCGTACAAGTCATCACGCTAGATATTTGCTGGTTACCATATAGCCTTTAAGGTTACCATAGCAACATACTTAATTTGCAATGCTGATTCATCCTTACGAAATGAATTGGATGTGAAATACTCTGCAGCTTCAGCGATTAGAATCGGCAGCAATTAAATGCAGTCTCATTTCATAGTAATTGTGAACTATTGTGCATATCCTGTCTACAAATCGACGAGACAGATCCATAGTTCATCAAGAAACCTTTAAAGCATGCAACCACCAGGAGATCGAGCCCTTTCCAGAAGTCGTCTAAGCCACATTGACGTGAAGTGTCGATTGTTCTGCATGCACAGTGCTTTGAAGCGAAAAGAATGCTAATGTGGCATATCTTAACAGTTGCAAGCTGTATTCTCTGCTCTAGCATTAGTCTGCTTGTGTGTAAATGTATACAATGTCCCTTTCATTTGACATTCAAAAGAGGATGCCCTAAGCCACCGAATTTCCAAGCAACTGTACTTTCCTACATCCAACTACATGATCACTTTGTTTGTCCATATACGAAGGAAGCGGCCAGAAGCGCGGGCACGTTTTTTGATTTTTTGAATTTTTATATAGTCTTTATTAACAAGCAATGATTGCTTGCGCAGAAAAGGTTTCGTTTAAAGTAAATGCTAGATAATTGCAGCGCTTAATCGAAAAGACCGAAGCCCATGTCCTGAAAAAGAATGACAGTAAATACACAATGATCCTATCTATTCATACACACTCTCATCAACTTACATCATCAGACTCCTCCTTCTCTTCTTCCTTGGCCTCCTCAGCGGGGGCATCACCAGAAGCGGCAGCAGCACCACCAGCAGAGGCGGCAACGGGACCAGAGGAGACAGAGGCGAGCTTGGAAGAACCTTCAGCAATGGCCTATCCAGAAATATGAGTATACACACAAAGTACAAATGAACGTTTAGAAACTTACCTCAGCAGCGGTCTTGCCGTCCATGGCCTTGATCAAGGCAGAGACACGAGATTCATCAACCTCGACACCAACGGTGGTCAAGAGGGACTTGATGTCCTCAGCAGAGGGAGAGGTGTTACCACCAGCAACGAGAAGAAGATAGGCTGCGAGATGCTTCATTGTCAAATATCAACGTTCAAAAAGAGAGGATGAACCTTTGTCTGCAAGGAAAAAAAAATTATTTATTATGATTTCTACTCATAAATTTTTTCTCATATTGAGCTTTTAATTGGATGCTTTAGCTCACGTCATGGGTGACTAGATAATATGAAATTTTGAAGGGTTAAGGTACCGATGGAGCAGAGGAAGATCCAGGTTGATCCAGGCTGTCAATCTCTTCTTGATCTTGTCAAAGACAATGATCTGCTGCACATCTACGATACTATTTGCCTCGAAATCTCGATATACGAAAAAAAAAAGCATCATTCACACATAGGTCATCTTGAACTTCACTTGGAAGCCATCGTATCTCGTTGATCTTTGCACAAATCACTCGTTTTACATCACATTGCCAGCTGATGAAGAGAACCTTAAAACTGTTACTCCTTCAGTGCTATCAAAATAGTCGAGTAATGCGAAATGTTATTTCATACGAAAACTTGTAGGTTCAGACATGAGATCCAGTGTGAATATGCAACGATGTATATATTAGATGAGTTTACTGTATTTATTGTGTGTTCAAGTATCAAATTGAACTTGCCAATATTTTGTTCTTTTAATGAACCAGGGACTATTTTAGTTTTCTTTCCTTTTTTTTTCACTCTTGCATTGATGGGCCAAAAAGTAGATTCAAAATCTTTCTGATCTGCTGTTTTTTTCCAACTTTACATATTTAGGAGCTAGAGTACCTTGGGTTAAAATGAAATTGGTGCAACTTGAGTGGTAGCCAAAAGTAGATAGTCAACAGAAAGCAAGCAAACAGTTTTACTTGCTTATTGACATTTAGCTGAATAAATTTATTGACTTCAACAAGGAGAAGCCAAAATACCCTTGTATGTACAAAACGCTACCTTCGTTTACAAATGAGCTGTTCATGTGTATAGCATCTTGGAAACGGAGGGTTGAACCGATCACTTCGCATAAACAGCTTACGCTAATAGAGGTAGTGAAGCTTACAGCTGAACGTTCTAATACATCCCTACAAGAGAGATCATCCAAAAGTATTATACACATCTTGCTTTCGAGATAGTCTTGGCATGCACTGTATTAGCCTCATCTGCCATTATTTATACCTCTTATTGGATTTTACTTTCTAAACTTTCCTCTCGTATGAAAACCGTCCATGAGCGAATTTAAGTAATGGGTTTAGCTCTTTCACGGTGCTCCATATCCGTCTCAGTGTGAGAAATTCATATTAAGGCCCTCAGTCAGCTTAAACTGCCTCATATTACTCAAACTGCATGCATTTGAGTCGCGTTTTCTCGTTAGAAGCCGTTTTAGGCCACCAGAATTGCACCAAACAATTGCTCTCATCTGACAGCAACCGCCTGACACCTTTGCTCCACTTTTTCAGGATCGTCGAAAATCGATCAAAATCCATGAGTGATACCTCATGATTTTCATTGAAAATCAAACGATCGCGTTTTTGACCCCGAAAACGAAGATTTCTTCTATGGTATACGAGCCTTTCAGCACTTCGGGTGGTTTCCTGACCTACGCTTCGCTTCGGTGGAAACCAACCTACGTTCAAACGGCTCGCGCTGCCGCGGGCCTTTGGCTAATATCCCAATATTAATAAAGCTAAAATGTTAGAAGAAGAACCCTGATTGTTGACTGATATATAATCACTAATCATATGAGTGTTTATGCTTCAGATTGTTCTCTACCTTCGCTTCGTTTCGGTGAGAATCAACCTGCACAGCAACAGCTCGAGCTACCGGCTGCCCTTGCGTATCTTATCATAATACTACTACGTTCAAGCTGACCCTCTACTTGCATATGAAAACCCTTCATATTATGTGTGGATCTGATTCTTATGTGATGCTTTACATCCATATACATCTAGCTACTTCATATACGGGCAAGTAGAATACAGGTATTTCCACTTTTTAGTCCTTCGTGTCCATAATACAGCAAAATTTGAATGCATTTGAGCTGCGTTTTCTCGCATCCAAGGCGGTTTTAGATTGTCATAATAGGACCAAACACTTGCCCTAATCTGGCAGTTACTTTCTGACACTGTTGTATCCAAAGATATAGTATTAACAAATTAAGATAGATTTTAAAAAAAGGAAGACTATAAAAAGTAACCAGATACGAAAACTAAAGATTTATTAATTGATTCAAACACATCCTATTTATAAGAGATCATTACTGATGAATCATCAATCTATCTTGTTGTTTCAACTGAGTCAATACATCGTATCATGTTTATCTAATATCAGTCAATTGAAGGATCCGATTCGTTCTATCAGCCATGATAATACAATCTGCAGCCATCATTATCCTTCACTATCAGAGACCATCATAATCGATTATATGATTCACTTCTGTGTCGAACCTAATGTCCTAACGTAGACAGTGAGAGACAATGTAAATCATGATCCGACTCTTGCTGAGTTACTGAATGTCCGCAACCGCTACAGACTCAACAGACACCTTTGCTCAACTTTTTGGGGACCAAAAAAAAAAATATGACCAAAAAGCATGAAGTATCCCTCATGGTTTTCATCGAAAATCAAACAATCGCATTTTTTTTTACCTTGAAGATGATGACTTTTACTATGGTATGTATTACATCAAAATGTTGCTATCGATCCAAAGCAACCCTTGAAACGTCGTTTGTGTATCTTTTATATGTAAGTTTTTGACATTTTTGCTAGAAACCTCATTTCATATTTTTTGATATTGCTCGATGCGTTTATTATAAACATCTGCCATAAGCACCATCATTCGATGCGCCTTGAAAAGCACTCCAGAAATGCATTAGAAAGTATAAGATGATCATCGCATCTAATATAGTCCAATTCTGCAAAATAGATGAATCAAGTCGTTTTTGGATCAAAATCTGTCCAATCTGGAATAGACGTTAAGCGAGAATTCAATTGATTTTGAGTGCTTCTGATATCAATGTAATCTACGATCTTGAAGCTAATATAAAGAGGATTGCAATTTGAAAAAAAGTATTATAGTAGCTTATTCTCTCTACTTTTGCCTGATTCTGAAGCACATTTTGTTTCTGACACTCGGATTAATCATTGTTTATTACATATTCAAATAAATGGCCTAATATGAAACGCAAACTTTCTTGCTATTCAAAATTGCAAATGGCACTTGAGGTTTGATGTACTGTACATTGAGATACCACTACTAGGCTATACTATAGCAGCCACTAAGGCAATGCTATAATACCATATACGCTTGGGAACCTAATGCCAAATGTCCATTTTATTAAAGTGTAAGGGCCATCACATCTCCTGTTACTAGGAATTTTTAGCAAATAGATGGCAATACTAATTATGAAATACATGTGAGGTTTCTACTGAGCACTAACGAAGACAGACAACTGGTTTATACATACACACTTTTTTAAAAATCATGCAAATACTGTATTTTGAGGCGGCGTCATGTCACCCAAGTGTTCTACAGGCCCAAAAGCAGCGGATCAAGATTGCCTTTTACTTGGATACACATTGTAAAATATAGCTTCAAATGGGTTTGCTTGCACTACTACCAATATGCTCACTCTAATTGAACGATGACTTTTTGTTTGTTTGTTTTCCGTGCAACTTGCCTACATTCTTTTCAAAGAAGTAAGAGCATATCCTGTTGGTGACAGTAGCACCAGAACTTTGACAGCTCTGCTTGTACATATAAAATAGTGAATACATGTAATTTATATACTGCAATCACTGCAAAACTATACTGATAAAGAACCCGTTATTGTTTACATTTTGCTCGAACTTTTCAAATCCAAAGCGAATCAAATTGTTCACTTTCCGTTATCAACCGAATACAAGATGTAAATGTAAACAAGCTGACTGTGTTTAATCAATAAACGAAATAAACCATATGAGTTTATATCATATCTTGTGTGTATACAGTAGTAATAATGCATATCATATTGTAGGGCAGTTGAAGGCGATTCCAATGGTATTAGTTGCATTGTCTCTGGATGCCAGTAGCGTTCAGAATTGCGTTTGAAGTGTTTTTTGCGTGTCTCCTTAAATTGTTGCTACTGTAATCAAGGTATAAAAGGTAGAAGATTTCTCTCTTTATCTCACGTCCTTTCTTTATCTTTTTCTTCATCTTTTTTTTTTTTTTTTTTTTTTTCTCTCTCAAAAACAATAGACGCTACTAGAAGACTGGTGATCATGTAAGTATATTTGTCTTGTCTGCACATAACGGATGGTAACATGCTCTGAATCAGGGTGGTTCACAATACAAGGCTTATGGTATTTCAAGACTGGTTCTATTCTACTTGACGGCTTTCTTTGGATACTTTTGGTTCTCTCTGGTTCTCTTTGGATACTTTTGGTTCTCTCTGGTTCTCTCTGGTTCTCTTTGGATACTTTTGGTTCTCTCTGGCTCTCTCTGGCTCTCTCTGGCTCTCTCTGGCTCTCTCTGGCTCTCTCTGGCTCTCTCTGGCTCTCTCTGGCTCTCTCTGGCTCTCTCTGGTCCTAGTATATAGATATTTATATTTATTTGGTCGTATTCTTTCGCATGGGGGATTTTTTAAGGGCACACTCTGAGGTTTTCAAGTCTTTGGTACTTTGTCTTTTGAGAGTTTCGTGTCTTTGGTGTGAGGGTTTCTCTAGTAAGTCTTCTGGAATAAGTCTTCTGTAGTAAGTCTTCTGTAATAAGTTTTCTGTAGTAAGTCTTCTGTAATAAGTCTTCTGTAGTAAGTCTTCTGTAATAAGTTTTCTGTAGTAAGTCTTCTGTAATAAGTCTTCTGTAGTAAGTCTTCTGTAATAAGTCTTCTGTAGTAAGTCTTCTGTAATAAGTCTTCTGTAATAAGTCTTCTGTAATAAGTCTTCTGTGTTGTCATGTGTTTCCCTTCCCCCATGCCTACTTTCACTTTTTGGGTTGAGATTGGTCTCCACCTTCTCGTGGTTCAACCTGTAAGCTTTTTGTAAAAGCAACCAAGAGAGACCATTATTTTTTACAATAAATAAAATGAAAAACTATACAATACACATTAAATGCGTGTGCCTGATATGAGTACACATTAAACATTGCTTATTTTATATCAATAAAATCTTGTATTTGCCCAGGAAATTATAAATGTCGATATGAGATGCAAAGGGTATAAGTTTACTGCTATGGAAATCAATAATTCGGATTGGATGTATTAGCTGCTTTTGATAAGCTCTTTGGATCCGAAGGAGGCAGCTTATCTTGCCATGCAGATATAAGTACATCAAAGCCTAAGCTCGCATATGTAGGTGTTGGGGACTATGCACGCTGTAGTTTTGCCTCATGTCAAACATGAGTCTTTGCGTCTATGTTGGCTGGGCTTGTTCTGGTACGCTGAATGATGCTACAGCCAAGGATGACCTGGCTAAATGGCTGTATCTTTGTATATTTCGTTGTCATATATTTCATTTCAACAAAATCCCGGTTACCATGGACGGATGGAGACGGCGAGCATATTGGTATGTCAGACAATGATTACATGGCTCGCTTGACTCAATTTTACTTTGGATGGAAGTGGCCTTCAACGATCTGATACACGCATTACCCTTTATTACTCGATTGTGCGCAAAACACAGCGTATTTTAGATGCATTTGAGCCGTGATTTCTTGTGTTAAAGGCCGTTTTAGGCCGTCAGAATAGTATCAAACCATTGCTTTCATCTAGCACTAACTTTCTGTCACCCTTGCTCAACTTTTTGGGGACCAAAAAGCATGAGGTATCCCTCATGGTTTTCATCGAAAATCAAACAATCGCATTTTTTTTTTTTTTTTTTACCTTGAAGATGATGACTTTTACTATGGTATGTATTACATCAAAATGTTGCTATCGATCCAAAGCAACCCTTGAAACGTCGTTTGTGTATCTTTTATATGTAAGTTTTTGACATTTTTGCTAGAAACCTCATTTCATATTTTTACAAATCATTCAATAGGTGTATTTAAAACATCTATATAACTTGGTACCATTGGATGCGCCTTGAAAAGTACTCCAGGAAAGCTTAAGGAAGCATTTTTTTTTTTGTTGTAGGGGAGTTGTACTCCATTTTTTATTTAAAGTCCTCTAAATGTCATGATGAGGGAAGAAGAAGACTGGATATATTTTTAAAGGCAAGGAAATGAAAAAGGGAAGCAAGGAAGTGGAATACGACCATAAAATACGTGGGGGTACATACTTACAAATCAAACTGTAATTCCGATTCCAAGCGAGACAGAGAACGGGCAATAGATGCGTTAACGTTGAGGGTGACAAAAGGGACATGGTCGAAGATGGAGCGCCAGTGGGCTTGCCATATACAGAGTAGACTGGTAGCGAAAACTTGGTAAACGGTAAGCTCTGGAAAAGGTAAGGAGGCAGAGCGAGTGGGTTCAGCTATGGATAGAGTTTGAATGCCGTGGAGGAATGGGAGAAGGACGTCGTCGGTCATCGGTGTGTGGGATAGGTATGTAGTGGCAAGGAACCGCCATACAGCGAGTTTGAGAGGACAAGTAAAGAAGAAATGTTGGATATCCTCCGGGCTCTGGGTCAAACAGAGAGGACACGAAGGTGAAGGGTGAGTTGTGGGGATGAAGTGGTGGAGGATCGATTTGGAGGGAATTTTTCGATGGATAAGTCTATACCATACAGTTCGGGATTGAAGGAGAATAGGTAGTTTCCAAAAGAGGCGCCATTGGGATGGGGAAAGAGGTGAGTTGTTGATGGTGGGCATGTCAGTGGAAACCAAGTGTTTATAGTATTGAATACTGTTGAGTGGCACTGTTGGAGGTAGTGGTGTTATAGGTTTGATAAGACGGCGAATGAGTGGGCGGATGTTGTGGGGGTTGGCACCAAAGGAGGCACTGGTAAATGAATGGCGAGGGGCCTGACGGCAGAGAGCGAGAAAGAATGGTTGGAGGTAGATTTGGCCTTCCTCAATCCAACGGGCAACTCGATGAGATATTCTTGGATAATGGCAAAACTCAAGGAAGGTCCAGTTTCTAAGACGGATCACTTGTAAGTCGAAGCCAAAGGTAAACACATCTATTGCGAGCAGTTTCTGGACGGCGTGATGTCGGTCAAACAGTTGATCTGGAGCTGTGAAAGAAGAGAAATGGGGGTGAGTAGAAGGGAGGGTATGTAAGATAATTTCAAGGAAAGGTAATGATAAACCTGTATGAAAATCTAAGTGACAGGTTGTGAAGGAACGAGGTATATTCGATCCATGGTGGTAATGACATTGGTGAGTATGTTAAGGAAAGCTTGGTGTGGACTGGGTCGATGTTGGAACCATTTATTTTGTACACTAGAGAAGTAGTATTGATCGTAATAGCTACTTGACGTGTCCAAATTCTTTATAGTTGAATAAGCGTAATCTTTACTAAAAGCACAGGTAATTTACATCCCGTTACCGCACCCTCTCAACATTATGTTATGATGATATTAAATCAAAATGTTTCTCTTGATCTAAAGCAGCCCTTGAACCTTTGTTTGAGAGACCTTCATATGTAAAATCTTGGCATTTTCGCCAAAAACCTCATTTCATATTTTCCAAGATTGCTCAGCAAGTTTATTCAAAACACCACCTACAATCAGTACCATTAGAAGCGCCTTGAAAAGTGCTCCAAGAATGTATTAGGACGCATTGGATGATTATCACATTTTATATAGTCGACACTTGCAAAATAGATCGAGCAAGTCGAAAGTTGATCAAAAATTCCCATTTCGAGTAAAAAAAAAAAAAAAAAAGAAAAAAACTGCTAGTCGGAGGCTGAAAAACTTTGGCTGCTGGCAGAAGTGATGCCTTGCGTGTCCTGTAGACGATTGATGCTGTTGGAAATCTATGAAGAGCTTGATCACACTTTTTATGTTATGGACTGCCTTATCAAAAAGCACATAAACCATGATGCCTTTTGCTATCAAAAGCTGTTATACTGCACTTGATTCCTATGCAAAATCCACCCATTTTGGGAACTGAGCCATCAAACATAGTCACTTTTGATGTGCTTCTTCCACGTTAGGTATGATGGATGGCACACAATGGTATCCAAGAAGCGCGTGGAATTGATACCCTTTCTTTCATTTACTGATACATCTAACAAATTATGGTAAAACATTAAATTAAATGCCTTGGTGATGAAGATATCTAAGCGGTCGAATGCATTTTAGGGCTCAACAGACAGAATCTTTGGTGCTACTGCCGTCAGTGCAGCACTCTTCATTTTCGTATACTATTCTACTTGGACCTTTATTGTGGTAGGTGAAAAAGCATCATGAATATGCCTACTCACTTGACAGTAGCTAACATTTGAACTGTATGGAACTAGCCTTTCTTAAGCGAAGACAGTAGCCTTCAAAAGTATTTCCTTCCTCATGAATATGCTATTTATTTGCCTGCTGCTGTTTTGGTTGCAGGTGTCTCTCTCATCACCGCTTTCTTTGTAAAGACAACATCTCAAAGCAAGAACAAAAAGGCAAAATAGATACAGCTCTCTCACTCTATCATACATTCACGCACTCGAACACACACACACACACACACACACATATATATACACCAGAATACAAAATAAAGCATTTTTTTTACACACATTTTCCATGATGATCAGCTTTTGGCAATGGAGTTTACTGATGTTTCTTCATATCATTGGTCAGGGACATTTTATCAAATGTTGTACCCCGAAAGTTGGATTTGGATGACATCCATGAGGAATTGGAGACATAAGATGCATCATGAGGGTAACATTCATTGGTGATACTAAAGAGGTAACATTTCGCTGAACAAACGGTGATTGTATTGAGCAAATAGTAGTATGGATGCTAATGTTGATTCCATGCCATTCCTGATATCAAAACCATCTCCTAATGAACAACAGTGCCTGTGACTCGAGAAAACCATGTCCCAATTTTTTTTTATTCTGACAGAAACGAAAAAAAGCTTTTCTTCATACAATAGCTTTCTTGTGCTTATAGATTACATATCACTTATAAAATGAAGGACGCCGCTCTTCCCGAAAATGTCGAACTTTTGCGCACTCGTGTTATAGTGGAAAAAGACAGAGTTTACAGTGTGAGTAGCCGCTGATATACAGATTTGACTAGAGTGCCCGAAAAGAGTTGCAAGATGTCTAATGTCCAACATGTCAAAAAAAAAAAATCTAGGTCAGTGGTAGTGATTACCCTAACCAATATCGTGGTATCAGCAACGCATTCAATCTCGAAGAATTCAAAAAGGTATTATACAGAGGCTAGAGTCGATAGATCAGCCGCATTCTGATGTTCATGTTGTGTTTAGAACTTCAAAGTAAAGATCCAGCGTCTATCCAAGCACAGTGTCGAGTTTGACTTGATTGGCATTGACGCGTCTGTTGCTAATGCCTTTCGTCGTATCATGATTGCCGAGGTAAGTGTTATTTGGATATTTGGGCAAGGGGATTTAGTGTATTGACATGTCAATGGACACCATCTATAGGTTCCTACCATGGCCATTGAAAAAGTATATGTGATGAACAACACCTCCATTATTCAAGATGAAGTCGTCGCACATCGTTTGGGTTTGATCCCTATCAAAGCTGATCCTCTTGAATTTGATTACATGACAGAAGATGGTGGACCCACTGATCTCAACACTCTTGTTTTCAAATTGAAAAAGAAATGTGAATTCAACCCTGAAGCTGCAGCTGATGAAACTGATCCCAACAAGAAATATATCAACAGTTTTGGTAAGGATGCAGTATATATATATACAAAGGGACATGGTTCAAGAATGCTAATCCGTCATGTATGTGTCTTCAGTTTACTCTAGCGATTTAGTATGGGAACCCAAGGGTAATCAAGAAGAAAAGTTTGGTGACAATCCTCCCAGACCTGTTCATGATGATATTGTCATTGCAAAGTTAAGACCTGGTCAAGAGATGGAAATGGAATTGCATTGTCAAAAGGGTGTGGGCAGAGAACATGCTAAATGGTCTCCTGTTGCTACAGCATCCTATCGTATCTTGCCAGAAATCACTATTTTAGAGCCCATCACTGGTGAAGATGCTGAGGATTTCAAAAAGTGCTTTGTTGATGGCGTTGTCGATGTGGTTATGGAGAATGGTGTAAAGACTGCCAAGGTTGTCAATGCCCGCAAAGATACAGTTAGCAGAGAAGTTTTACGACATGATAAATTTGACGGCAAGGTTCGTTTAACCCGTGTCCGTGATCATTTTATTTGTAAGTTGAACAAATTTGTGGTTGATGGGCAATTGAATTGCTAACATGTGGTTGTACAAATAGTCAATGTCGAAACCTCTGGTATTATTCCAGCTGAGCAAATCTTCCTTTCAGCACTCGATGTCTTTTTGGAAAAGATCAAGGACATTCAGCCTCTTGTAGATCGTGTTGTATCAAACGAAATTGCTTAAGCAGCATTTACATATAGTCGCATCCTCTTTTTTCTTTATCACCTCTTATTACATAACTCGTTCCTCCACCTCACCCACCTCCATCACCTATTATAAAAACAACATGGCCTATTAAATGTGTTGATCTGAACCCTCCTTTTTTTTTTTTCCTTTCTAGAATAAATATCACAGTACATAGTAAAAAAAAAATCAATAAACTTGCCTGAGTGCAGTTGATGCTAAGAACTAGTGTGTCGTTTAACGAGCTTTAAATCAGACAATAATTGCATCAAATGCTTATTTTATTAAAGATGTGTCAAGACAACTACTAGATGCTAAGGCATGCCTGACTTTATTTGGCACAAGCATGCTCTCTTCTAAGCTTAACAGCCGAGGCAAGATTACGCAATACGGTTTCGGTTTCTTTCCAATCGATGCAAGCATCAGTGATGGATACACCATATTTCAAAGCGCACGGGCCGTCTTCAGGGACACTTTGCTTGCCTTCATTCAAATGAGATTCGATCATAATGCCTACAAGTCCATCGTCTCCTTGAGCAATCTGATCCGCAATACACTGCGCTACTTTGGGCTGGTTTTTGTGATCCTTGTTGGAATTACCGTGAGAGCAATCCACCATAATTGAAGTAGGTAAACCGGCCTTTGTCAACAACGCCTTGGTCTTTTGTACATGCTCTGCGTCATAATTTGGGCCCGTTTTACCACCTCGCAGAATAACATGACAATCTTGATTACCAGTAGTATGCGTGATACAGACTACGCCAGCACTGTTGAGGCCCAAAAAGTGATGAGGAGCAGCAGCAGCACCGATACCGTCAATAGCTACCGTCAGATTACCATCCGTGCCATTCTTAAATCCAACAGGGAAGGACACGCCACTGGCAAGTTCTCGGTGTAGTTGCGATTCAGTCGTACGAGCACCAATGGCACCCCAAGAGATCAAATCAGCCATGTATTGAGGCGAGATGGTGTCAAGCAGTTCGACGGATACTGGCATGCCCATATTGGTGATATCGTTCAAGAGACCACGACCAATACGAAGACCTTTATTGATGTCAAAGCTGCGGTTTGTCGGGGGAGAGGGGGGGGGGGTGGTTAGATCTGGCATGCTTGTATATGAGACAGATAGAAACTTACCTTTCGTTGATGTCAGGGTCATTGATCAAGCCTTTCCAGCCTACCGTTGTTCTTGGCTTTTCGAAATAAGCACGCATGACAATGACAAGCTCGTTTTTGTGCTTTTCTTTGGCAGTTAACAGTAGTCTGGCTATAGTGAGAGTAGCAGATGTGGATGCGTCAATACTCTGAAGGGCGTGTCTCATGTTGGATGTCACCTACCATACTCTTTTGCAGCAATGGTGTCATGGATAGAGCAAGGACCCACAATGACAAACACTCTGTCGTCCTTTTTCTGGATGATATTTGCTATATCTTGTCTTGCTTCAAGCACGGTCTTTCTTGATGAGGCAGACTATAGAGATGACAGTAGATCAGATTATTGCTGCTTGGGATGTTGCATCTCACTTACTATTTGGAATTCCTCCTTGACATACGATGGTGTCAAAAGAGAATTGTAGCCTGTGATGCGAATGTCGTCAATTTGATCTTTGGTCATTTTTATGAAAGATGAAAAGAGGAGCGATGCATTGGAAATACTGCCACTTGGTGTCGGCATTATTTATACAGTATCTGTTTGCTTGCTTGATCAATGGAGCATACATTGACAACATTTCCATTTGGACATCCGATGACAAGACTTGTGTTTTTGCAAGATAACAAACAATTTTTGAAATGTTGTCATTGTTACCGCCTCTCCATCATGATACCTACGCCGGATTTATCTCATATCAAGAAAGAGGACTTTGAGAGAGTCTATGAGCCAGCGGGTAAGTTTTCTTTTTTTTTTTTTCATGCTGAAAGAGTCTGTCGTATTTACTCATACCATTGCTTAGAGGATACCTTTTTATTACTAGATGCTTTAGAAGAAGACGAAGCGTTGATTCAGCAGCTCAAGCCGAGTATCTGTCTTGAAATAGGGTATGCACAGCGAGGTAGTAGCATAAGAGATACAGGCTAACTAACCATTGCAGATCTGGCTCCGGATGTGTTACAACCTTGCTTGCCAAAATAGTTGGAAATAAGAATGCAGGTAACTCAGTGTCTATGAGATGCAGCCTGTAACTCACATTGCCAAACTAGTGTTCCTTACCACCGACATCAGCGCATTTGCATGTGAAACTACTCGGAAAACAGGTTTACATAACGGAATTACACAGATTGAACCGATTAGAACATCGCTGGTCGAAGGCATCATGCCGCGATTGAAGAATCGCATCGATATTTTGTGCTTCAATCCACCCTATGTGGTGACAACACATGAAGAGGTTGGCAGTCTGGGCATTGAAGCAGCGTGGGCAGGTGGCATTGATGGCCGAGAAGTCATTGATCAGTTGCTGCCACTTGTCAAGGTATGTATAGTAGTGCACTGAATGGAGGGATGGCCTATCAATTGACACTTGTGTAGGGCATTCTCTCTCCCCAAGGCATATTCTACCTGCTGCTAATCAACGAAAACAAGCCTGATCAAGTGGTGCAGCTCATGAAAGAGTCATACGAAATGAATGCAAAGATCATCATGGAACGTCGTGCTGGTAGAGAAAAGCAGTTTATTGTAAAAATCACACATTAAGCGATTGTTGGTGTGCTATTCAGCAAATGTTGTGTACTTCCAGCCACTGCATTATAAACAAGCCTAATAGCATGTTAATTCATGTCTCAATAAAACCCTTCCCTCTCCTCTCACTCACTTTGTCCATTCAGCAATGCCATGTTGGATACCGCGAAAGAAACCAAACTTCTTTGCAGGGTTTCTTGCATTCACCACACCTCTTGTTCTGTACCAGGTCCACGCTGTTGAACACACACTCCACGTAAAGCCACTGACAAAAGGTATAAGGATGTTGTCTTTGACTACAATAGACCACATGATGGAGAAGTTGGACGCTCCCTTCTCTTGCAGTTGTGCAATCGACTTTTCAACTTGCTTCTCGAAACGCATATCGGGTACAGTGGGCCCCTTTTTGATGGATGCTCTTCTGTTGGTCACTGAAAAGTCATCCTCATCGTCCTCTTGGAAATCTAGGTTATCAATGTCAGGTTGTAAAAGCTCTGTTTGTCGTCTTTGAAGTTCAACAAGACGCGCTAATTCTTCATTGTCGTAATCGCTTGATGAGAAGAGCAAAGTCTCTGGTGTTGCGTCGGTGGACATGGTGGATTATTCAAGAAATATATTAAAAAAAAAAAAAAAAAAAAAGTCTCTCTCTCTCCAAATTGACCTACAGCATATGAATTGCATCTCCCAAGCGTACATGTGATTGGATACACACTGCCATCCATGATGCTATCATTATGCTTTGTAGCAAAAATAAAATGGCTCCTCAAATGGAGAATACAAGCACGTATGCAATCAATGGATGAGATGGTATATGTGGCTTACTTTCTCGCCTTACTGATCCATGTGGATCTGGGTCGAGACGAAAAGCATGTTCCCGAGTTTGGAAAACGGCCGTCATCTCTTGGTCATATACCGTCTCATTGGTTTCTTCTGTTCTTTTGTTCTTTTCTTTACTCATCATTTTCAGCAGCTTTTCAGCATGAGCGACACTGGGGATAGCTCACAAGTTGGCGACACTAAATTCTGGCATCGTAAGAGCTGTGCAAATCGCATCTTTATAGGGCCTTGGGATATTAGGGCGACGCCTGTTTCTCCCTCACTATCGCCTGAACAAATACTGCCAAACACCTACGACAGTAGCAACAGCTCTATTCTATTCGACTCGAGCATGAGATTTCTCAATGAGTAAGTTGTTCATCTGTAGTAGCAACTGAATGAGAATAGTGATACTCATGACGTTGATAGTCAATCCAATGCCAGCAGTGATAGTTCGATCAAAGCCATGCATCGATCCTCGCGTAAAGAAAGTGCAAGTACCTCCTACAAATCACCCAACTCGGATCGGTCTCCTTTGGATCAGCTAGTGACACCCAGTTCAGATGGAACTAGCTTTATTACTGCTCGATCAAGACCCAACTCAAGTATCTACAGCAGCATCGACTCGCAATCACACTATCTAGAGCAAATGGCCAAACAGCAGGATGAGGACGAAGACGAGGAAATCGATTACAGTATACTCAACTCGGGTATGCAGATTGGACAGCCGTCATCATCTACATCGCCTCCATCACCACCCAAAGATAACAGTGATGCTGAATCCACCAAAACCATTAGACCAAATAATAAAGGCAGCTCTCCCTTGGACGCATCCCCAGCCCAACATGAAGATACCATGGCCCCAACAGCAACAACGCCACCAAAATCACCCTCCCCTCTCCCATCTATTCACAAAAAGAAACGAAAGACCAAATACATTCATCGCAACAGCAACAAAAAGCCATTGGTTTGGAAAAAGGCTGGATCTGTGTTTGTGTCAAGGCTACCTACTGTGGTGACACCAGAGCCTGCATCAATCCCGACAGGAAGACCTATCAAACGAGAGCCCATCTTGTGTATGCGATCTGCAGCAGGATGTCTCAGCAATGAACCTACCCGCTACAAGGCAGCCAAAGAGGCAAGATATGATTTGCTCACCGAGAAATGGAGGCAGGTGGAGTTGGTGCTGACCTCAACTTACTTGACCACATACTCGTCATCTGTAAGTATAGAGTGCCAAGCGAATGAAGCGGATGTAGAACTGAGTATTCTCGATGTCAATATAGACTCTCTTCTGGCCAAAGCAACGATTAGAACATCGAATCTACTTGGAAGGCAGTCGAAAACCCAAGCGACTGGAGCTGTTCTTACTCTCAGCGCTGGATTACTCGTTTTGTCTGCGTTTCCAGTCTTCTTCTGGCCGTACACCCATGGTAGTGACAATGACATTCAAGGCGAGATCATTCTTGAAATGCCAAGAATGGTACATGCAACTGTACCATATGCTGCCTGCTGAAAACAAGCATCCCATGCCTGAATGGTGTCAAGTCTACATACCCATTTTGGATCTATCCGTAAACCTACCATTGGCCAAGAAGAACCGTGCTGTTACCATGGAAGATGTCAAGGAAGCTGTCATCAGCATACTGGAGGATGAAGGCGATATGGTGCAACGCCTTGTACATACAGACAAAATTGACAGAAATTTATCCGTGGATGATTTGGGCTTATGTTGGACGACCAAAGATCGAGCTGAATGGATCTACTGGACACATGCGGCGTCGGATCCCAAGAAGCGCATAGATTATGCTATTTGCCCGCAAAATATCGAGCAAACGCACAGATTGGAACTGAGACTCATTGAGCATACACCGCATGACATTATACTTCGAGAAAACATGGTGCTGAAGGAACCACCGCCTGTCGAGGGCTTCCTGTTGCGTCCTTTTGACTTTAATGGCTCAACAAATGCATTCAGCAAAATGAAGATGAAGATGAGTTACTTTGCGTCCTTTGATCAGTACTTGTTCTACATCCCAGCTGGTAGAGTGTCCTCGCCCAATTTAGCATGCTTCATTGACGACCACCTGTTGCCGAAAAACATCAGAGCACAGCCGTACGTATCAGCGGTGTCTCCCTATACATCCACAAGCACGCAGGATATAGAAATGGGCGAGGTGCTGCGGCGTATGCGATTAATGACAGAATCAAAGGGAGTGATTGATCTGACGGAAGTCTCTTATGTACGAAGAACCTTTTCTGATGATACCGTGGACGCAGAAGAAGAGAATGGCATATCAAGTCAACTGAGCCTGAGCAAACGCTCAAGTCGATCACCCATCTTACCAAACCACAGCAGTAGTCAGCCCAGACGCGATAAGCATGCAGGGAGACAAAGCATCTTTTCCAACAAACAGAGCCGCAGGAAGCCTTGCTTGGAGATGATTATGGAAAACGGTTTGCAGATTCGCTTTGAAGTAAGTTTTGGGCCATGTCTCTTTGTCACATGGTTATTGACACCCCCCTCCCCCTCGATTAGGTGTATTCAAGCGAAACATGCGATTTATGGGTGAATTATTTGGCACAGATCGTTGTATATTGGAAAGCGCGCAAAGAAGCTGAAAAAGATGCACACTCACACGACAATTTCCTCACTCAACCAGCAATTGAAAGTGAAAATGCATTCATCAAAACTGGAGCCAACACAGAAGATGGTTGCGCGCATCAAAATGAGAAAAAGGTAGCAGACACTCGTATTTGGAGTTACTGTCTATACGAGCAGTGCCGTGATGTAGTGGTAAGTTTCTCTTTTTTTCTCTGTGAAAAAAAAGAGACAATTTGGCTCACATTTACCATAGAAATCTGGTATTCTCTATTACAAACCTCACAAGCGAGGCACCTACTCACAAAAGATATTCATACTGACCGCCAATGGATGGATCCTGTTCTTTGATGTTTACAACCGCCAGTCAAACAAAAAGATATGCAGCCACGAGAAAAAGGGTGCTATCGATGTTGCAGGCTGTTACTTTTATTCGGGTGTGGACTGTAGCAAGCAAAAGAAGGGATCCAATCAAGACAATCAATGGAAGAAAGCTGCTCGCATCTACAGTAATGGTTTAGCCACTGATGACGATGCATTGTCATGTATCTTTTCCATATGGAAGCCTAAATTGCGACGCTATTTCAGCACCACCAAGCAAAGACTAAGAGTCTATCGTCATGATCAGCGTCTCAACCCCAACGGTCAAACGTGGACATTTCTGGCCAAGAGTCGAAGGGAAAAGGAAGAGTGGGTTTGTGCATTGAATACAGTGACTGAGCATATGATTCGAAGCGAAAATAGATAGGTGTTGTTACAAACTTTACTTTATCTGCTTTTGGTTCAAAATAAAGAGACTACTTGCCCGCGTTGTTGTGCCTGTGATGAAAAATATGTAAAACATTGAAGCATGAAAACGGACCAACTTCCAACAATTGAGTTGACAGCAAAAGATATAAAAAAAAAAAAAAAGCAAATACACTACGAATACATTTCGTAAACGTAAAAACATCTCACACTATCAAGATGAAAATCTCCACAGCTTCAAAAGCCAAGGACCAAACCGGGAGCCTGTGGATTGAGAGTCAGGCGTATTAAACCACTTTCATATAAAGACTACGGTTACACAAGACTTCAAACAGTAATATATAAAGCCATCTGCTGAAAGAAAAGTAGAAAAAGATGGAAAAAAAAATGAAAATAAACCATATTTTTTAGAGTTGGAACCTGCAATTGGGAAGGCTTGGTTCATGAGTTAATCGACATTGGAGATGCTATTTTTAAGCGGGGGAATATACATACTTTAAATTGGAAACGTTATTGTTCTTGAATAAAGCAAGCTACAGTTGTCTAGTCTTGACAGCAAGATTCTTCAACATGTCAGGTATCTATTGATAACTTAAAACCAGCAAGCTAATATGGCCCTTTTCGTACGCTCCAATTTTTAAAATGCTTGGTCAAATGCATACATGTGTGGTGTACACATGCGAAAGCTCAACGGAGATTCAATTGCTATTGTTCTAAGTGATGATCCATGGGATTCCGAAATCTATCGACCTTAACATTACGCGTTTCTTGATAGTAACCACCCCTTCAAACTTATATAAAACTTGTAGAGAATTCAAAGGAAAATACAACGGTATCCATATCAAGTCTCTGGTGTACATTGTTCACTTGATATTTGGTACAATTGTTTTTGCAATTTTATGATTGTTTTCTAAAGATTAATCACTATCTGTCATCAAAACATGTTGTTAAGCATTACTAGGCATTGCAGACCAAAAAATTTCCTATCGAATGAGCTATTGCTTGAAGCTCTGGCATGACTCCATCATGAAATATTGACAATATTGTCCTGACCAAAAAAAGGTCACCCAGTTTTTTTTGCTTGCTATCACAGGCAGATTTTGAAGAAAAATCCATGATTATGCATGATACTCTTTTTTTAACCATATCTCGACACATACACACTGGATTCGCACAAAACAAAGACCATTCGATAGCTCTATGTTATATCCATTATACTATAAAAGTTTTAAGTACCAGATGTACGTTCCTTTTATAAATATACTGAAAATCTTAAACTTTACGGCTTTGAGTCTGAAAAGTTGTCAAGGGATTCCCAACAAAGTTACATTAAGCTCGTACATATAATGGTTTACATTTATATGTTTCAGTCCGCATAATTCAAACATTAGTACAGTACAACAGAGCAAGCACAGCAGAACAAAATTTAATAAATGGGAAAAGCGGGTTGACTTAACAGTTGAACAATAGCGCCCAAACCACTGTTCTTTCATTTGATTTCGTTACACTTTCTTCCCTGAATTATTTGACAGCCAATGTAGCAGCTAAAAGTGTGTTCTTATGTTAAGTAACCCCTCCAAGTCGAAATATAAATGGTCCTGGAACTAAGTCTCTCGTATCATTACAGAGCTAAGAAAAGGTTTCCCCCTTTATTAGCAAATCACTTGAGTTTCTATCACAACAGCGCAAGAAAGCCTGATATAATCGAGTAGTTTTGACTATACGCTGATTCAGCAGCAGCGACCTAAAATACCAATATCTTGTGCAATTCAAAAGTATATGATAACCTTAAGCATTACAAAACTTTATGAAATTAGGTGAAATTAATAAACAGCAGGTGTTGAATTTCTCTCGATAAACCTTTTTTTTTTTGTAGACATCTCAATCCAACTGAAAGCAGTCTGCCCAAGTGCAGCTATCCATCCACACAGTAATCTTTGGTAACAATAAATCAATTTGAATGTACAACATCATGTTTATTTTTTTTTTCTTTTTTATAAAACGGTATTTAGACAAGATATACAACAAATGCAAATTAGACAGCAGATTCTTTAATGTGGACAGGCTTGATATTCCAAATCTTATCAGCATATTCACGAGTAGCACGATCAGAAGAGAAGAAGCCCATACCAGCAGTACACAAAATTGACTTTTTGGCCCAAGCAGCAGTGTCCTTGTAAGTTTCATCCACCTTATCCTGAGCATCCAAATATTTCTCAAAATCAGCAGAAATCAGATAATAATCACCACCATAGGTCAAGGTATTGATGAGAGGACCAAAGACAGAAGCAGTTTCAGGACCACCAAATTCACCTGATTGAATGGATTGAAGCACGACTTGAAGGTTGGGATCGATTTCAACACCATGGTACTTTTGTTGATGGCGGATATCAGCTACCTTGTCAGCCAGAGTACCAAACATAAAGATGTTCTCTTCACCAATTTCATCACGGATCTCGATATTAGCACCATCCACTGTACCCAAGATCAAACCACCGTTCAAGACAAACTTCATGTTGGAAGTACCAGCAGCCTCTGTACCAGCAGTAGAGATGTGCTGAGAGATATCAGATGCAGGCACGATAATTTCAGCAAGAGAGACATTGTAATCGGGAATGTAAACCACCTTCAAGAGACCATCAATGGAATCATCGTTGTTGACTACTTGGGCGACGGTATTGATCAGCTTGATAACCATTTTGGCAACGTAGTAGCCAGGGGCAGACTTGCCACCAAAAATGACCACACGAGGAGTGACATCCTTACGTTCCTCAGCAGACAACAATTGGAGGTTCTTGTAACGATAAATGACACCGAGAATGTTCATGAATTGACGCTTGTATTCGTGAATACGCTTGACCTGAATATCGAAAAGAGAGCGAGGATCCACAGTAATGTCCAAATTGGCCTTGATCCAGCTGGCCAAACGCACCTTGTTCTTGAGCTTGATGTTCATCCACTTGGCTTGGAAATCAACATCGTCCGCATACTTGGTGAGCCCCTTCAAATCATCCAAATGAGTTACCCAGTGATTACCACCCAGAGTTTCAGTAATCAAATCACGCAAATCAGGATTAGCTTGGTAAAGCCAACGACGAGGAGTGATACCGTTGGTGATATTGATGAACTTTTCAGGGCCATAGTAGCTAACAAAGTCCTTGAACAATTCGGTCTTGACCAAATCAGAGTGGAGAGCAGCAACACCGTTGACAGTGTGAGAACCAACGACAGCGAGATAAGCCATACGCACTTGTTGAGGGTTGCTTTCCTCAATGATGGAGACACGGTTCAACAGGCCACGATCACTGTTCATCTTCTCGACCTTTTGCAAAAAGAAAAGATTGATGTCGTACACAATTTGCATATGGCGAGGCAGGATATGCTCCATCATGGGCACGGACCAGCACTCCAAGGCTTCGGGTAAGACAGTGTGGTTTGTGAATGCAAAGACACGGGTAACAATGTCCCAGGCGGCGTCCCAGTCAAGGCCCTCAATATCGACCAAGATACGTTGCAGCTCAGGGATAGCCAAAGTGGGATGCGTATCATTCAGTTGGACTGCGACCTTATCAGGGAAATCCTTCCAAGCACAGTTGGATCGCTTGAAGCGGTGGATAATGTCTTGAAGAGAGGCACTGACAAAGAAGTATTCTTGCTTGAGACGCAGCTCCTTACCGACCAAGTGGTTATCATTAGGGTAGAGCACAGATGTCAAGTTTTCAGCGTTCTTTTGGTCAGCCACAGAGCGGTCGTAATCACCATCGTTGAAGGAGGCAAAATCAAAGGTCTTGAGAGACTTGGAAGCCCAAAGACGGATATTGCCACACCCCTTGGTATCGAAACCAGGAATAGGCACATCATACGCCATCGCTTGCACTCTATCACCGCCTTCCCATGACATGCGCGATTCACCCTTTTCATTTACCTTGGTTGCAACATAACCGTAAAACTGGACTTCGTAACGCACATCGTTTCTAGGGAACTCCCAAGGATTACCATTGGAATCAAGCCAGTAATCAGGCATTTCGATTTGATAGCCATCACTGTTGATTAGCTGCTTAAAGATACCGTATTGATAGCGCAGACCATAGCCCCACGTAGGATAATCCAGAGTAGCAGCAGCATCCATGTAACAGGCAGCAAGACGGCCCAGACCACCGTTACCCAAAGCAGCATCACGCTCCTGTTGCAGCAAATCTTCCAAATTGAAGCCTAGATCCTTGACACTCTCTTTATAGACATCCTTGACCTCAAGACAGTGAAGAGCATTATCCAAAGCACGACCGATCAAGAACTCCATGGAGAGATAGTAGCAGCGCTTTGGGTTTTCCTTGTGAATGGCTTCTTGCGTCATGTTCCAATCCTCCAGGAGACGATCACGCACGGAATAGGCAGTTGCTTGATAGACAGCGAGCTTGTCCAAGTTGTAAGGGTTGCGGCAGAGGGTCTCTACTGAATGCTGCACAATGTCCTTTTTGATGGAAGCCTTGTCGTTCTTCTTGGGCGTCATTTCATGCTTCCACTCCTTCAAATGCTCAGGATCCAATGCAATGTGCTTGGACTTGCTAGAAGGCACACTTGACGTAGTGACGGGCTCTAGATTATCCTTATCATCATCCACATGAATAGTAACATTTGTCAAGCGACGTGTTAATTTAGGCATGGAAAGACGACGAGGTCTCTCGCTGGTAGGTGTAGTGCTCATATTGGATATAGTAAAGCAAAAAGAAAAAGAGAGATAGAGGGGGTTACACTCAAAGTATTTATACGAAATAAACCTGTTTCAGCTGACTCTTTTGTTGTATTTTTTTTTTCTTTCATAATGATGATAGTGGTGGAAAACTGCATAGTTCTTCCCACGGAAAATCTTTCTCTCTTCGGTCGTTTGCCCATTTTTTCGTTAGGTAACAAAAAAAAATTGCCTTTTATACTTTCATCTTATCAGGAGCGATTGTTTGTGCGTGTGTGTGTATGTGTATCATTATCTGGTCTAGATGTCAATCTTATAACTGGCGAGCTTGTTGAAGAGGAGGAAAGTTCCATTTTCCAAAAGGTACACGTTGGAATGGCTGCATGTCAGATAAGAGATAACAGAAACTTTGAGATGGAAACTGCTAAATCATGTCAGTAAACGGACCCTGTTTGATGGACATTCTGTGCATGATTGCTTCATGTGATGTGATTTGCGTTACTGATTCGCATCTCTCTTGTGCGCGGGATTAAACATTACGATCTATCCAAAGTAAGCCCGAGTGTTATGCACTACCACAGCCTACAGCCATCTGGTTCATAGCCATCCTATCTGACCTCTAAAGAACTCGGCTTTGATGTCATGAAGCGCTCAACTAAATCTCGCAAAACGCTTCATGTACACAAGTTACACGGGAATTGCATTAGAATTCAAGCAGCACCCGTTATTCTCGTAAATGAGTTGTAACTAACATCGAATGATTTTTGGGTACCTTCCATAAATCAGAGCAAATACATTGTGTTGGCATAGGTAGACCATTAGCACGTGATGGTAACTTTGTGTGCAATAGACCGGTGGGTTACTTATTGCTGATAGTGTGCCCCCCCCCAAAAGATGACTGATGCTTCTTTCTCTTCTTTTTTTTTTTTAAATCAAAAAATGTCCATAAAAGAAGGAGATCAGCCAACACAAATAGCGTTTGAAGATATCGTAAACAAGAGTTTGGAGGAAGCAAATGAAGCATTAAAAGATCCCTACGTTTTCAAATCAGACATACAAAAGGTGGCAGTGATTGGTGCTGGGCCTTCTGGCGTAAGTGGGAGTCCTTCTGCAGTATGGTATCTTGATACTAAACCAGTGTGTGTATTTGCAGTTGGTATCAGCACGACATTTGAAGGAAGCAGGGCTTTCTGTTCGAGTGTTTGATAGAAATTCGCATGTGGGTGGTGTATGGTAAGTGATGGACTCTGGACATATACATGTGCTGAGTGTTGACCCCTGCACACTGCAACAGGGTCTATTCAGAAAGACCTCGACCCAAACCAAAGATGCCTACGTCTCGTGTAGCAAGAGGACAAGCAGAGCATGCAACAGCAACCACCACCAATCCTGCAACAAATGAACCTCAAAAGAAGCTTTTTGAAATGACGCCAGAAGTGCAGAACCTATTGCTCACCAAGAAACCACCATCAGCATGTTACAGAGACTTGTACAACAATACGGCCACTCCACTGATGGGATTGCCTGATTTTCCATTTCCCGAGAACACGCCCACCTACATTCCTCATTTCAGCATTGCAGAGTATCTGGAAAACTATGCAAATGAATTTGATTTGATGCCATTGATTGAATTCGATACAAGCGTGGATCTGGTCACTAAGAATCAAGAGGATCATACTTGGGAACTGACCCTGAGTAAATACGATGTGTATACAAGTGGTATGGTGCGTGAGACTCGCTGGAAGGAGACATTTGATGCTGTTGTCGTGGCCTCTGGTCAGCATCAAGACCCCTATGTGCCTGATATCAAGGATCTGACAGCGTTCAACAAGATTTATCCTGATAAAGTATCGCATTCTGTTCAGTATAGGAAGCCTGAAGATTACATAGACAAGGTGTGTATGGGTATGCATAGTTATCCATGATAGTGCACTCACCATGCTGTATGGATTAGAATGTATTGGTTGTGGGTGGCAGTGTGTCCGCTGTGGATATTGTGAGATCGTTGGAGGGAATTGCCAAATCAATCACCATCTCTATCAAGGGCCCATTTGATTCTCCATTTGTCATCTATCAAGTGTTGCGCTCCTTGATTCCCAAATGTGTCAATGTCAAACCTGAAGTCAAAGCCTTCTCCAATGCTGAAGGGCAAGTGGACGGATCTGTCGTTTTTGAAGACGATTCCACTCTGGACAATATTGATCAAGTCATCTTCTGCAGTGGTTTTAATAGTCGCATGCCATTCCTTGGAGACCTAGTGATCCCCAAAGGAAAGGAAGATGTCAAGTATACTCCACCTCGGCCTATTTATGATGATGTTCCCGAGAGCCATGTCGTGCTTGGTCCCCAGTTCCCTCTCAATGTTTATCGCGAGTCATTCTTGACCAGCGATCCTACTTTGGCATTTGTTGGACAGCCTCCTTTCTTTAGTCCACTGTCGCAATACGATACCCAGGCAAGAGCTGTAGCTCGTGTATGGAGTGGTGCTGCTCTTTTGCCCAACAGAGACCTTATGCTCAAGTATTCTGCTGAACATGATGATGGCATCAGTCCTCTAGAGTTGTTTAATGGTGACAGACGTAGAAGAGAACCACTCATTGTTTGGTTGAACCATCATGCCACCACTGTCGCTGCCAAGAACGGACAGGAGTATCCTCCCCTCGAGAATTACAGAGAGGATTACGAAGAAGAAGGTTTAAAGAGCATGAAGCAATGGGTTGTAATATCTACAGAGAACTTTAAAAAGGCTCGAGAGCACATAAAAGCGCACAATCTTTAAGTCATAATAAATCCACATTTGATCTGTACCTTGGACAGCACGCTGCTACACCAGTGACTCCTTATTGCTTGTGAAAAAGTCGCGCAAGAGCTTAATTCATCTACTTTTTTCTTTTGTATCAACTCACTGCATAGATCGACACAGAATGGCTGAACAAGGTAACAGTGAAGACAGGCAAACGAGCAGACTAGATAGCAATGGATCTAACATTTGACTGATTAGCAAGCAACGAGCAAGAAGAGAAGAAACGCATCTTGGAGGACTACACTCAGTGGAAAAAGACAGCACCCGTGTTGTATGACATGGTTATCACACACAACCTTACATGGCCCACCTTGACCTGTCAATGGCTGCCTAAACGCACAGTGTAGGTTGTAGTCGGCTTGGCTGATCTATGGAAATCACTCATCATTCCTCACAGTGCACATGGATTCGTCAAGCAGGAGCTTCTGATCGGCACACACACCAACGACGAAGAGGACAATTATGCGCAATTTCTTGACATTGACATTCCAGAGAAAGGATTGGATACGCCTGAAGAGCAAAAGACCAAGATGTACATTACACAAAAGATATGTCATGAAGGAGAAGTGAATAAGGCACGTTACCAACCTCATCAACCTGATATTTTCGCAACAAAGACACGGGATGGTGATGTTCTCGTGTTTGATCGTACACAATCGCAAACAACAGAAACGTGTGAACCCATCTTGAGATTAAAAGGTCATCAAATGGAAGGCTATGGCTTAGCCTGGAATCCCCATCTCGCCAAACAGAACCATCTGCTGAGTGCCGGGTTTGATAATCTGATCTGTCACTGGTAAAAGTACTGTGTAGCATTGGAGAGCCTCTTTTTTTACTAAGCGGATATGTCTATAGGGATACTGGCATCACACCAAACAGCGATAAGGAATTGCAACCTTATCAGAGATATGAGGGTCATACGGGCTGTGTCGAGGTAGGTAAACAATCTGCTACAAATCAAGTGTGCACACAGAGAAAAAGATACTCACTCATACCCGATTGGATGTATGTTCATGTAGGATGTTAGTTGGAATTCAGCCAATGATTCTTTATTTGCATCCGTTGCTGATGATATGAAGTTGATGATGTAAGGGCCCTCTATGTGAAGAAAGGTGATCCTAGGGACTCACTCAAGTTTCATATTTAGTTGGGATAGTCGTGATCCTGTCAAACCAGTGCAGAGAGTGCAAGCCCATCAAGGCGAGGTCAATTCTGTGGCTTTTCATCCCAATAAGGAGTGGATGCTGGCTACTGGCAGTTCAGACAAGGTAAGGCTCTCTGGTGAGGATGATGTGATTTCAGGCCTGAATGATTCATGTTTGCAATAGACGGTCGGTTTGTTTGATATTCGTAAAATTGACACAAAATTACATTCTATGGAACTGCATGAAGGGGAAATCACGCAAGTCGCTTGGAGTCCCCATAATGACCCTATATTAGCATCAGCTGGTACAGATCGTAAAATTGTTATTTGGGATTTGCGACATATTGGACAAGAGCAAACACCAGAAGATGCTGAGGATGGCCCACCAGAAATCATGGTAATAAACATGCATGCATGCTAGCATGGATTAAATGCTAACTTTATATCTATAGTTTGTCCACAGCGGCCATACAAGCCGAATTTCTGACTTTAGTTGGAATCCTACTGATAGATGGGTTTTGGCCAGTGCAGCAGAGGATAATGTCGTGCAGATCTGGCAAATGGTAAGAGTGGCTATAAGCAGTGAGTATAACGTACTCACACACCCACTTGATTTACAGTCTAGAAACATATATGCAAACACAGACTTTCTACAGGTTGCTTCGTCGCAATTAGAATAAAAATGTGTAAAGAATTGGGGTAGTATTTGTTGTAAATTGATGTGTTTGCTCTGTAATCTGTACTATGCACGTGTTGCTATAGCGGCTGTGAGTATTTTCTTAGTCTCCTCCTCTTCTGCCCTGGGTGCGCGTGTGTAGAAAGATCAAAGGTCTGTTCCGTCATTGAAAGCCAATCATTTCGTGGTATTGATTTGGCGTGAAAAAATGAAAGGGGAGGCACAGACTTTAAGGGGTAGTAAGGCAAGTGACCCGAGTAAGAAAAAAAAACAGTTATAAATAGCATGAATTCATTTACCATCCTTCTTCTTTTTTCCTTCATTTAAATTATAACCTCCAATTCTATCAAAACTAACATTTCATCATGAGCGATCTTAACTGGTGCACATATTGCGATAATGCTATTAACTCCTATTCTGTAAGTACATAAGAAATGACAGGCTCTTGTTTCCATAGCAACCACTAACACGTTGTGTGTCTAGAACTCTTTGTATTGCTCTGAAGATTGCTTAAGATCTGATGCCTTAAATCACCATCCCTTGTTGGGTTATGACTATGCCGAGCTCAAAGATTTCCCTCGCTCATCTGCGTCTCCTACTCTGACAGCATCTTCATCATCTACCGCTTCGTTATCGCCATTGCTATCACCTACTCCATCGCTCAAGGAACCGCCTACGTTTAATTTAAATACGAGTGGAGATTCTCTTTATCAGCATATCTATCAACAAAGGGAGCAACAACAACTGCAGCAAGACAAGAAAAAGTCTCCCATCTACTTGCAATCATCCTATCATTTCCACAAACAAGAAATCTTTTAACACCAAAAAAAAATATCATAAAGATATATACCCTGAACTCTTTTTTACTATCTCCATCTATCGCAACATTGCACAATTTACTATTTACAAAAAACCACATATATATATATATAACAACAAACTTGCATTTTGATCTTTCTCTTCATTTAACCCCTCTCCTTTTTTTTTACATAATAAAACTGACCATACACAGCTGTACAATACACACACACACAACATAATGACGAACCTTTTTACCTTCTTCCCATGCTTTTTATCAGATTTTATCTTGCTGGATTCGATCTCCATCTTATCAGATCTTTTTTGATCCTGACTTTGAAATCAGAGAGATAATAAAAATGCATATTCACGGAAGGCGGTATGACTCAAAAAAATTTTTTTTTGCTCAAGTAATACAAGGAATTTGAGGAAACGTATTGGCACTTTATAAAAATAGAGAAACCGTGTGCGTGTAAACGGGTTAATAATGAGTCGCATGTATATTTAAGTTGAGTCTACTGCTCACACTGCTGCTAGTTGAATCAAAAAGTGAGCATGCATCATTTTTCATAAAGAAAGGAATGACGAGAGAGATATCTATACACATGAGTACAAAGGAAACGTTTTTATATCAAACGCACGAATTAGAGTCGTTACGTATAGATAGTGTGCAAAAAAAAAAGACTAATAGCCGATTTGTTTGTTTTTTACGCTATAGAACCTTGTTGATGTAGATCATTAGGACATGGTATAACCAGGTCAATCAGACTACAGAGGAAACAGATTTCTGTACAAGTATTTACTATGTGGTGAGACGGACATAACCTGATAAGAAAGCAAATCTTGGCCACAGCAACTATGAAGCAGGATCCGCACTACATGGACGTTCGCACTGTACATACAATGCCAAGTTTGCTATATACAAGGACTTGCTGTGCATACTGTATAACGTCTGGTATGTACTGCATATTCAAACAAGCACTTGCTATTAGCTTGCGTTGGATTGCATATGTAAAGTGTTGGTTTGGGTTCATCATGAACGGCCTCCTTGTTTGATCTTCATATATACCCTCACATTCAACATTCTTTTTATAGTAATTACATATACATAGCATGCGTATATGTGTGTTTGGGGAGAATGCATAGTGTTGACAAGGCAGAAGAGATTAGCTTGTCGTATATTTCGATACAAATAGCCTCTGAATAGAATCATCCTGTAGCCATTACGAAATAGAAACAAAGTGTGAAGTTTACAGAAAGTAAAATGACGCGAGATTGTGGTAGGCAATCAATTTTAAATAGCTAATCTGTAGTGCCAACGTTGCCATCACAATGTGATTGTGCATTTGCGAACAAGAGTTGACTATTTACAGTAACGGATATAAGATTATAGGCAGAGGAAACTTGTTTATTGAGTGAGTTTGGTGTGATTTATAGAGTAGAAGGATATCCTACCAATATATACCGAAGTTGCGCCTCTTATCTTTCCACCATCTCTCGAATATCTTTTGATGAATGACTTGTGATTATGGGTCTGAGTCTTTTATGATGCTTCATGTCTGTATGAATGAGAGCGGTTCATCTCTGGGTAAGACAGTATGCTTGAATCACCTCTAACTATTTGAAAGTATGCAAAACCAGCGAAATTTGGATGCATTTGAACCGTGTTTTCTCGAGATAGAGACCGTTTGAGATTGTAGGAATAGCACTAAACAAATGCTCTGAGCTGGCATTTACTTACTGGCACCTTTGCTCAACTTTTTGAGGACCAAAAAAAAACATGACCAAAAATCGACTCAAAACCATGAGGGGTACCTCATGGTTTTCATCGAAAATCAGACAATCGCGTTTTTGACCTCAAAAAAGAAGACTTTTACTCTAGCATATATTGAATCAAAATAGATCCAAAGCAACCCCTGACACCTTGTTTGTGAGACTTTGATATATAAAATCTCGACATTTTGACCAAAACCTTCATCTCTTACTCTCTAAAATTGCTTACTACTCTTATTCAAAACACCTCTTGTATTTATCACCATTGAATGCGCCTTGAAAAGTACACCAAGAAAGCTTAGAAAGGTATCAAATGATTATCGCACTTTTATAGTCGAATTTTACAAAATAAATTAATTGAGTCGAAAAACGCAAAATTTGACCAATCTAAAACATAGCAGGTTCAACGGAGATTTAACCAGCTCTGGCTGGCCAGCGAAATCCTTGCCAAAAGTGAGATCGCTTTCAATTCAGAAATATCATTTTATAAATTACCTTATCATACAATACTTGAGAATAACCCTTACCTAGAATAATGTATCCCAAAGTGTGGTTGATTGTACTCAAACGTGTAGAGAGTATAGCTCCGTTGGTTGAATATCGACTGGTCTGCAGATCCTAGGATTCTCTTGCTGACAGAGCCATATTTAGTAAAAAAAAAAAAAATCTACATTTAAAAAACGAGAAGGCCATTACCCAATCCTACAGTCATCTAGTCAAGAAGCCCCTGTTATGCTACTGCATCCAATCCATGTACCTTGACTGTAACGTTAATACAGACATGCTTCCCTCCTACAAGGACTTGTTTCAGGTGACATTTACTCCCAACGCCAAAGCTGTAGATGGCTCACTCGTGCAAGATACACTCAATTCTTGTACAAGTATAAATACCATGGATGCCATGCTAGGCCCTGTGATTTTGAACGAAACAGGCGCAACGGAGCACTATCTAAAAGTTGTAAAGAATATCGGGCAGGTAGCGTTCATTATGTGGAGTATGGAAGGTATGGAAATGCTCAAGAAAGTTGTTAAATCAGTGAAGAGCAAGCGCAATTATCTGTAGATATACAAGCCTGAGTTCTGGGGCAACCGCTTAACAAGTATTGATGCGGGAAGAGGCATTTCACAGGGATATGCAGAGCTTGACATTATGACTAACGACGACAATCTGCCGCGTATCTGTTTAAAATGATTGGTAATGTGGCCGAATTGGACATCAACGAACGTATGGTCCAACAGACAAAGTGCCGAAATCAAACCTTTAAGAGCTCCTGATAAACTCACCAGGCAATGAACAACTGAAACTCGCTGATGGCCACATCCAGCATCAGCCTGCCTTGATGAATGATTTGGTACTATAGTAGTTAAAGAAGATACACGGAACGTTTGCCAGCCCTGAGCAAAATTTCTCCTTTTCTTGAACGTCTTGCATTGGATACCTGCGTCCTCAATGTCAAATGCTATCCAAATCAACGTATATCAATGGGACCGCCGGAAAATCCAAGAGTGTATGTATGGTACAATAAAAAATAATAATTTGTTTATTGATTATGAAAATAAATGTAGATTTGATATGTGGTGGTTGTAATATGTGTGTATGTTGTTGTTGTTGTTGTTGCGTATATGTCAAATTAAGTCGGTTGCTATTGTTGCTGTATAATAATATAACTCTGCTTTTTTTTTTTTTGGTTTTGAATATGAGATTATGTACGAATGTCTTTGCTTGTTGCTGCCACATGGGTCACAGTGTTTGGATTGCTCACATCTTCCTCTGATGGATCACTCATTCTTCTCAGCAATAAATCCTGTGACATGCTTGATTCCATCATTGTGGTAGTTGTTGTGTTATCATGCGGGTGTCGAATAATATCCAGTGATTGCAGCACTTCTTGGTCTTCCTCCTCTTGCTCTTTGGATGCAGGCAAGCCTCTTTTGCTAAGGGTGTCATGTGTGGGTTTACGTCTAAAGTCGAGATAGTCTGGCTTCTTTTGGTTGAAGCATTGTTCCCATGTGTTTAATGCATTGAGGTTGGGCAACTGAATGTACATGTCAGACCATCCTTGACCATGGATCTTGAGGACATAATCCTCTAATTTGGCAGAGTAAACGGATGCTTGATGATAGGACATGACGGTGCCTTTCTTGGCGTATTTCTATCACTCGAGTTAGTCGACGTAAAAAAAAAAAAAAATCCCAGAAATAGACTTACAGAGAAATGAGAGAAATAGCCCAGCCAAGGAAATACCATAATATGATGCATTTCCCATTGAGACAAGAAGGGAAAATAGCGAAACACTTTTCTGATGGGCATCTCACCTTCATGGACCTCGATAAAGTTGCTGCTTCCGCCATTGTCTGTTGTGGTTGTGGTGCTGATGGCACTTGGTTTGCGTCTACGCAAACTGTTATCATCTTCATCTAACACGGGACCATCAGAAGCCAAGATTTGTTCCAAGCTCAGTAGCTCACTGATGCCACCTGTCTGATGGTGGTGATGTGACTCAGCATGATGGTTGTCATAGTAATTTGAGTTGGTGATATTGGATGCTTTCAAAAACGAAAATATGCTTTTGCGGTGTTGCTGTGAAGTGGCACTGTTGCTGGATTTTTCTTGCTGCATCTTGTCTAGCTCTTCTTTCCTCTCCTTCATCTTGAATCGATAGAACGCTTGTAATTTAGGCAGAAATAGAATGAGCAACGAGAAGCTGGTAGCCCATAATATGGAAATGACTTCAATATAGTATTTTGTGTAGAAATCAGCCAGGGGATTGACAATGACAGCAAATCCTACGAGGGCAGAAAATAGAATATTACTGCATGTCAAAGCGCGTGTTAGTGTTACACGTTGAATGTCCTCTGTGTCACCTACTTACTATACAGAGAGGCCCATTTGTTTACATTCACTGTATCGATTGTATTGCCTACCAGCAAATCGAGTCTTGTACGCCAGAAATGTAGCAAACAGCAATAAGCAGGCTGCATAAATGGTGGATAACACGAGGAATATGATCTTGTTGCTTCCCTGTGGTTCGCATGTCCAGTAATGGCTCGAAAAGGACACTTCAAACTTTGTTGGCACTGGTTTTGCTACAATCAATCCAACCACCAAAATCACCATTTCAATGCCCACCAGGCCAACTACCGTTTGAATCAGATGGTTGTCTGTAATGACATTTCTTGTAATGAATATGTTGTTAAAGATGCGATAGATGCGATAGTTTTTGGCAATCATATTTCTAGTCGATGTTTTTTTTTTTAGGGAGCCATGTTGTAAAACATCATACGATTGTGCAAAGTAACTTACCCTAAAACGAGCAGAAAGCCTAAGCTAAATGTTACAGGTGTGACAATACAAGAGGCTTGTGAGGGAATGCCGATCATCATAACCACAGAAATATAGGTTAAGATAAATCCAACTAATTCCAAGCAGCAAAAAAGGGGGCTATGTGTGATTCCATGAGTGAGAGGACAAAATGGCACCATTTCAAACACGCCTTATTTACCTAGAGGCCTTGAACACTTCATGCTTTCGATTGAACAGGACGATGAAGAAGCAAACGAGCGAAAAGAGGATACCAGCAGAGGACAGAGCCAAGATGGCATGTGAAATAGGAGAGCTAATGTCTGGATTCAGAGGCGCGCTTGGCGGTGAGTCAAGAGGGGGCTAGTTTAATGAACATGTAAGGAGATGTGGGCTATTATCATCCTTGATTTTTAATTTACAATACCTGATTTGTGCCATCAAAGAACATGGGCGATGCAGTAATATTAAGAACACCTCCAGTGCTTTTACCAACCACATTTTTGATGCCATGTTGCAAGTTATAAACCAAGTAATTCCTGGGGTGAGTTTTTTTTTTTTTTTTTTTTTTTTTTTGATTAGTTCAATGTGTATATGAAGGAGATATCGGATGCTTACCCTGTCGTGAGGTCTCCATTGGAATCATAGACCATTGGCCCTTCTGGACCCACGTAGCCAATGTTGAATGCGCTGGGTAACATTTCGTCACCCAGTTCACCAGTCGACAGCTTGTAGAGCTCGTCTGTTTTGTTTTTGCTATTGTTGATGAGTTTTCCAAAGCCTTCGGCCATAATCATCATGCATGAATATGCTAAACTATAGATTTGTAAGCGTGCGTTGTACATATAAGGAATAGTGTTTATAGGCGTACCCTTCATAGGACGATATGTTTCTATGGCCAGCATATGGATAGGCGTCTGGGTTCAGTAACGCCCATTGATCCAAAAAGTTATCAAAAGGAGGATAGCCGTTCAACGACAACCAATTATCAAACAAAAATAGGCCTTGATACTCGGTTGCAAAGTCAATTTGTTTCATCGTGTGGTTTCGATTGTAACTATCCACACCCGTCTGCAATTCTTTGGTGGTATCACCCATCATCAGCCAAACATAGTCTTTGCTAATGAGACCCAATGCATGTGCTTGCAACATGATTTGGCTCTGTGGAGATGCAGTTGCTGCGACCATGATGATGCGCGCGCCACCATTTGTGATGTTTTTCAGTGCATTGCTAATGTCGTCTGGTGCATTTCCTGCTGCAATGGCCTGGTACTGCAGAATATGAAGGTCCATTGTGCCTGCCTGAATCAGCGCTCGTTGGTAGAATTGCTGGCCCAGGGGATCGTCTGTGTACAGCACACCGAGTTTGTTCCAACCTTGCTTTGATGCAAAAGCCAGCATAACATCGGCGATAATGACTTGGGTGGGTATGGTCCTGAAAAAGTACTTGTACTGCGTCTTGTCAGAGAAAGCTACTGCGTTCGCTGTGAACGAGCACTGAGGGATTTCTAGAGTGGACGTCATGAGAGCACTCAGTGATGTCCAAGAGCTGGAGATATCGCCAATGACGCCAATGACACCTTGCTGAAGCAGCGTTACTGATGCATAGACTGCATTTGTTACAGACATTTGATCAAGTGATGCGTCAGGAAATGAGTCCTTTTCGATCAGTGTAATGTAGGCACCAGGAATCACTTGTCTACTGTTGATATCATTGACGGCCATTCGAATTGCCGAAGATCCGCTATTATTTTCGATTAATGCATAATTTACAGACATGGCTAATGTGATTTTACCCCCACACAATTTGAGCTGTTAGATTATCGTTCTTTTGAGTGAACGGAAGCAACACGCCAATCTACATGTGTGATGGTCAGTGCAAGTACCATTTTTTGTAGGCTGACAAACTGTACTTTTAATTCTGTCTTTCCTGTTGTGTTGTATCTGGGCGTAATGTAGACTGTGCTGTTATCTGTCTGATTGATGTTGCTGTACAAGTCATCGACCAGTAGCTTTCCAAAGGCCAGTGAATTATACAAAGAATCGCCCAGGACACTTTGCTGTGTCGTATTCATTATGCGAAGTGTGGCTATAAATACAATTTATTATCAATTTTATTAATGTCAAAAGTGAGTAGTAGTAGCAGCAGCAGCAAGCAGTAGCAAAAAGAAGAAAAAAAAGAAAAAAAGAAAAAAAAAAGAGATGAAAGAAAGAGGTAAATAATGAAATGAGAGAGATGTTGCAGGGTGAATAAGCTACTCGAAACAACAATAACAATAAAAAAAAGGGGTAAATATATATATATATATATATATATATTTATATTCAAGGAGAATATGGAATAAAAGGAGAGAGCAGAAGCAAAAGCATCGGTTTAACATGCGGTTTTCACTCTGTACTAATATTGGCCCGTGTGGTGGTCTAACCTTTCTAGCCATTCCTCTGGTATTGTGGGGATAATACTGCGTTCTCGCATGCTCTTTTCTCTTTCTATCGACATTTTCTGTTTGAGCTCAAAGTAGATGCTATCCGACAGACTCATGTCTTCTTTCGTGCCGATGGGCTCTGGCCTTTGATTGCTGTCCCATCTTGAATGCACCATATTGGTCGTTGTAGGCAGTGAAAATGGCAGCATGTACTTGGAATCCCGCTTTTCAACAATCATCTCTCTGCTGTGTGTCAACGCATCGTCATCCAAGCTCGCCATGGAGCATGCATCATCGTCCATGGCTGTGTCTGGTACACTTTGCACAGAAAGGCGATTGGCATTGGGCCTCCTCTTTCTTTGCTGTGACATGCTGTACATGAGTAAACTGCCCAGACTGGAGATGCTATTAGGTCTGCTATTACTCGTGTCCATGGATCGCTTCTCTTCTTGCTGCTGCTTCTCTGTTTGGACACTCTTGAGTGTGTCTTCCGCTATTTGCATGGTGTATTTCTCGATTTCTTCGGGTAATTTAGGCTCTGCGACTTCATAGCGATAGTTGAGCACCAGACGCTTCACTTGCATGGGGTTTAGCAAATCAAACGCCTTGACCGTATGGATGAAATCCATCAGATCGGCGAGTTGTGATACGCATTGCAGTAACTGAACAAGCTGAATGACGGGATTGAAATAGGCGCCTAATGAAGTGGGTAAATGATGCTCGCGCACCCATTCTTCAATGACTGTCAAATTCATGCGAATCTGGAGTGCTCTTGATCGACACAAATGCTTCTTGTTGAACAGTATTCGATTAAACACTTCACATGACAGGAAATGAAACAGCTGTGCCATGGCCTGAATCACTATCACTGGATGTACGTCGTATGATTGAAGCACATACAGGATAGATGTCATCAGTGATGTAATGGATTGGGGTGATAATGTAGCTCTTATTTGTTGTTGCTGTTGCTGTTGCTGTTGGGATGGTGGTAGTTGTGGTGATGGCGGTGATGACAAGGAATCCATGATACTGGTGTTGCCGAGAGACCGTCTATTGGGTGGAGAAGACCTGCTGCGACGAAAGAAGCGATGCCAGTCATCCGCAAATGCCACGACTTCAAGGCCATCTAGTTGCTCATATTCCACCATGGCAGGCTCTAATATACGGTCCATGCGTTTCTCCGAGTCAAGCACAAGCAGTGTATATGCTTCTGATATGAGTTCTGAAATCTCAAGTTGATGCTCTGCTGTTGCAACCACAAGACCAGCGTCCTTTTTCAAATAGTACAAGAATTGAGACAGATTGGCAATCCAAAAAGCCAGCGTATGGATGTCATTGCCATTGGACTATGGATTCATTGTTTAGTGATGAGCAAGAAACAGCGCTAGACATTTACCTTGACTACGGCGTCAATCTTTTGTACTGCCTTGGACAGTAGCTCATGCACCAGTTCTCTACTCGTAAAGTAATGAGCAAATCGTGCACACAAAAAGATGATGTTTGCAGGAACGTAGATTTCAGATCTTGACTTGATGGGCAGTTTTAAATTGGATATGGCTACGTTTAATATATGATCCACTTCTTCTTGAGCAAACACAAACATCTGGTCTGGAAGGCATTGATCCCAGCTAAACTTGTGTACAGATCGAAAGCTCTCTTCACAGTGCAACAGCTCCTTTTCAGTGTCCAGTGCTTTGGTAGGCGGTAAATGGGGCTGCTCTTGTTGCTGTTGTTGGTGCTGTGTCTCTGCAAACTTTGTCTGATTCAAGATGTTAATCATGTCTTGGTTCTCGAGATCCACAAGATCGTAAATTGTTCTTCCGCTGGCAGATTTGGTCTCTGATGAGGCGCTGTATTCCAACAAGGCTTGCACTATGTGATGGTGTCCATTGGTAGTTGCCCACATGAGAGCAGTCCATCCAACTGTTACGAGAGAATGTCAGTATAAACAGAAATTCATGCAAACTCAATAAGCTTACTCTTGTCCTGTACATCCACTTTGGCTCCTACTTGAAGCAAGTATTTGACAATGTCTAGTTTTCCAAAGCAACTTGCATAGATCAGTGGTGTTGAACCATCATTCTCTTCATCATCTGATGCATCCAGATTCAAATACGGACGTAGCCTTTCGTCCATGATAATCTGTCGTACGGTGTGAATGTCTCCATGCGAAGCAGCACGGCCCAGTATCTCACTCAATTTCTTTTCCTTCTTGTCGTTGGTGGGCAGGTCAAAGAACTCATCCAAAAGTATCAGGTACAAGGAAGAGAACTCGTCCTCCTGTGCAGCAGCATCTTCTTGCGTCAAAAGTGTCGAATTGGAGAAGGACGAACTTGTCGAAGACCACGAAAATGTGTTTTGGTTGTTTTTCCTCGTCGTTGCTGTTGTGTGTGTTGTAGTGGTAGTGGCGGTAGTTGCACAGCTCCTGTTGTCTTCTACGAGGTAATCATCTGTCATTTTCTGTGTGCAAAAGAGGGCGCGTATGTCTATATGAAAAAAGGCCAGTAAAAGAGAGAGAGAGAGAGAGAGAGAGAGAGAAAAAGAGAAAGAGATGGAATTCCAAGTGAAAAACTGTGATTAGCCAAGAAGGGGGGGAAGTATAGTAGGCCAAGTAAGGGGGCAAGAAAATAAAGGGAATAGCATTGATATTATTGCACTAAGGAGAGAAGCAAACATTACATGTTTATTGTAGCTCCATTTTCAATTCAAAATGTTGTAATTTGCGGAGAGCGCAGTGTGTGTGTGTGTGTGTGTAATGTAGGACCAAAGGGAGCGAGCATTTCATGCAAGCCTCAACATCTGTCAGAAAATAGATCATGGCTTGTTTATTAGTGAAATGTTCATTTACCCAAGCTATGGGGCCAATTTACCGATCATACCAGACGAATGCTCTCTTTCTCTCTCAAATCAGACGCATGCTAGTAATCAAAAGGCTTTGTTTTCTGGAAATGGCGTGAACATGAACACTCTCAAAGTGAGGCCAATTGCTGGATCACAAAATTGCAACGGCATTGTATGTGGATGGACAGCGCATCACAGCAAACGTGCTTGAGCATTCAACCCTCAAGCCAGCTTAAAGGGATGCTTCCCAAACTGAACCAGATGCTATCCCTGTATCGAAAAATGGAATATCTGATACATCTCTTGAAATAATGAGGTGGTTTTTCTCTCGAGAAAAAAAATTTTCCCGCCAAATCCAGCATATTTAAAAGAAACCTCTTTTTGTTTTTCTTGCTGTTTTTTGCTTTGCTTACACTACAACATGATACCACGCACACTGCAAAGACTATCGTGCCTTGCTAGTCGCTGTAGACCAGTTTTGAATCCTCGCCATACTGTGTCGACCCGCTCATTATGCCAATTTACTACACCCAAGCGACTGTTGACATCCAATGCCGTTTCATCCATGCAATGGCCTCAAAAGGCCAAGGTGCTCTCTCGTTTGACATGCAGCAGAGCTAGTTTGAGACACAAGTTCATGTCGTCCATGGCGGCATCTGCTCACAACACGGTGTCTTCATCCACCAAAGCCGTCGTTACACACACTAAGCCCATTGTCGCTTATTGGCTTTATTTCAATGCTGGCATGGTGTTTGCTATTGTTGTTGTAGGCGGTTTAACTCGTCTCACTGAGTCTGGTTTATCGATTGTTGAATGGAACGTCATCTCTGGCATGAAACCACCAAGGTCTGAACAGGAATGGAAAGATGAGTTTGAGAAATACAAACAATATCCAGAATACAAGCTGTAGGTTGAATGCGTGTGTGTGTATAACATGTTCCCCTGAAATGTACTCACCCCCCCCCCCTCTCTCTCTCTCTCTCTCTCTCTCTCTCTTTCTTGACAGTTTGAATCGTCATATGGAAATCGAGGATTTCAAAGGTATCTTTTACTGGGAATGGGGTCATCGTATGATTGGTCGCTTCATTGGCATGTCCATCCTCTTGCCTGGCATCTACTTTGCTCGTCGTGGCTACATGACCAAATCTGTTCAAAAGCAAGTCTTGTTCATTGCAAGTGTCATGGGTTTCCAAGGTTTTATGGGTTGGTTCATGGTCAAGTCTGGTTTGAATGAGGCCTTGATGAAGGAAGTGGGTGCTGTACCTCGTGTTAGTCAATACCGTCTCACGGCTCATCTCTGTACTGCATTCATCATTTATGCTGGTGCCATCTTCTCTGCTGCTGGTATCCTACGTAACGACAAGTTGGCCAAGGGCACCTACCCTAAACACGTTGCGGACATGATCAATAGCCCTGTCTTGAAACAATTGCGCAAATACTCTCACTGGCTGGGTGGTCTCATCTTCATTACTGTCCTGTCGGGTGGTATTGTAGCAGGTCTAGATGCTGGTTTAATCTACACTGAATACCCCAAGATGGGCGAAGGCTACATTCCTCCCAAGAACGAGCTCTGGAGCGACCATTATGTCAAGCCTCAGGATAAGGGTAAATGGCGCAACTTGTTGGAGAATCCAGTAACTGCTCAATTCGATCATCGTACATTAGCTGAATTCACGGCGTTGTGTACAACTGGCTTCTGGCTCTATTCTCGACGTTTGCCATTGCCTCCCAATGCGCGTGCTGCTTGTAACGCCATGATGCTTGCTGCTGCTACTCAAATTACCTTGGGCATCTGTACGCTTATCTACATGGTGCCCATTAGCTTGGGCGCTGCTCATCAGGCCGGTGCTTTGGCTTTATTGACTTCTAATTTTTGGGTTATTCATGCATTGCGTAAAGTTCCATTGTAGATGGCATTATTATAGCATGCTTATAGTCAGGCGACGGGCGCAATTTTCCGTGATATTGTATATTGAGACAAATGTATGAAAACGATTTAAATAAAAGATAAGCTATAGACTTCCATGAATGACACCCTCATTGATCACCTTTTGGATGTTGAGTTGAATACAATTCAGCACAGGGGCGGGAGCGATCAAAGATGAGATGATAGTAGTGAGCATTTTTAGTCAGCCAGCAGCGCCGCGGCCAAAATTAATTCAGACTCAGAAATTTCTTTCTTGCTCAAGATTGGACAGGTTCTATCCTTTTTTCGACTTGGTCAAACTATTCTACTCGATTCGACTATATAAACTGAAATGATCATCCAATGCTTCCTTAAGCTTTCTAAGGGTGCTTTTCAAGGCGCATCCAATGGTGCCAAGTACAAGGGGTGTTTTGAATAAAAGTATAGAGCAATTCACGAATATAAGAAATGAGGTTTTTGGCGAAAATGTTTAGATTTTACATATACATGTCTCGCAAACAAAGTTTCAGGAGCTGCGTTGGATTGGGAGAAACATTTTGATGTTAGATATACTATATTAAAAGTCTTCATTTTCGAGGTGAAAAACGCGATCATTTGATTTTTGGTATTTTTGATGAGGTATCCCTCATGGTTTTTTGGTCATGTTTTTCTGACCCAGAAAAAGTTGAGCAAAGAGATCAGAAATGAAGTACTACTAGATAAAAGCAATTGCTTGGTGCTACTCTGGCAGTCCCAAACAGCTTCTAGCATGAATAATCACTACTCGAATGCATCCAACCTTTGCCGCGTTTTGCATAATTTTCAGTATGAGAGGCAACGCTAATATTCTGTGGGCCCTTATATGAGCTATTCCCATGGAAACAGTTATGGAGCATCATCGTAGGAAAGTCAAATCCACAATTAGGAAGGGTCCTAGCGTCATAGCCATGGACTGATTGCTTGAAATATACTTGAAATAGTACATTTTTATTATAAAATATCAAGGCAATAAATGGAAACACTGTTGCCAAACGCAACCTACGAGTAATTCCCACCACTGATAAGATTGGCTTATATTGGTATGATACCAACATGGGCATGTAAATCAGTAATAAACTTACTCGTGTCATTGTAGTGAGGTATCATTTAGTACAATTTCAACAAGACTTGCCATGGTTATGTTTTGCGTGATCTCCTGTGCTTTGTCAGGCAATCCATTAACAGCAGAAAAATGGATGCTGTGAGCTATCGCTTGCTCGACGAGGTCTCTGATATTCTGGCTTTGTTTATCACCCTGTATACGTTTAGCAGCCCCTCAAAGTGGGCCTGATATCAAGCCTTTAGCATCCGCATAAGGCTGGGGCTGTTGGTCCTGAGTATGACGGGTGGAGAGCCTATTGCTGTTCAGACTTGAGATTGCTCTTTCAGGTACTTTCATGCTGAAGACGGAAGAAATGCATTTTATCATTTAAAAGGTGAAAGCTCAGGTAAGCCTATTTTGCAAATATCGTAATGGCATTTTGCTCCTGAAGAGCATTACCAAAGAGCCTTTAGTTTCCGCATTCTCGACGTATTTCATATCCTATTATTTGACATTGGCGTTGGCTCGACACTTAACTTTGGGTGTGTCAATATGCTGACCGCCCTACTCATTTGGTCTTTAAGAAAGAAAGAAAGACGGATGACAAGCAAGTGATGCCATGTTGTATAGTAGATCTTTCAAAGATCCTGTCACTGCTTACTGCGACCTAGCCATCGAGACATTTGTCAAGTCTGGCATGTCATGTCATGGGAAATAGAATCTTATCTGAAAACTCAAGAGAATTAGAGTGTAACAATTATACCCAACTGAAACTGATAATCCGAGTGCACGGCGACTGGGTTACAACCATGCCAATATCCAAATTTGTGTAGCCTATGGTAAAATCATAAATATCAACGAGTTTGCTTCAGCAGATGAAAAGCAAGAAAAATCCCATGCCTCCATTTCGCAACAGCTGCGTTTATTAGACTAAATTGGGGCTTCTACTCTATTCTCAACAATCAAATTGATGGGGACCTGAGATTGAAGACGATCTGCAAACTATAATGTTTGTACTCTCAGAGCGTCCTGGAAGAATAAACAATGAGAAAGAATTGGGGTTTGCTATACTTTTAATAGCAGCTATCCCAGACACTGTGTACATTGATCTATGACTACCCCACTTGAAAATTTAGCTAGTTTATGCTATATTCAATGGCATCTCGACCAAACAACGACTAAAATGAAGAAAATAATAGTTGGGATCAAGGCAAGCACTTGTTCACCAATGCCTCGTAATTACCAATAAGTTCAATGTGATACCGCAAACACGTTGTCCATGCACTTATACCGCACTCTTTTTTTTTTTTTCAAACAGAGTAACTTTTTACTAAAATAATCTTCAGGGCAAATTTACTCAAATGGGCACCGACAACAGCCAAGTTATATCATGCCAAAGCTCAGGGAAAAAGGTCTGTTGATGTAACATCAGCCTGTTGCACATAATGAATTTAGAAGTCGGGTTTCCTTTTTTACAATTGAATGCCGGCGTTATAATGTCTATAATTCCTTGTGCTTGTATTTTCTCTTGCTTCTCTTTTAGTTTTTGTCACTATAGATTACAACACACTTGATGAAAGAAGGCATACAGTTAGCAGAGATTGTTCCAGCCGTCAGGTATCTCGATTTCATTGGCACCACCAATGACATTGACACCATCGAGCAGAGCCAAACCCTCAAGGGCCATGTGCGCATCGTATTGATGAAAGCTCTTAAAATCAAATCCATCACAGTGAAATTCAAGGGAGCATCTTCAGTAAAGACATTTGACTACAATAACCAAGTGACAACGCCTCTACTGCCAAAGTTAAAGATGAAATTATTACAGAAACCCGCCATATTACCCATGGGAGAGCATGTACTGCCTTGGGAATTGGATGTGCCCAACATTTATCCTCGAAGCTTTCATAACCAAAGAGCAAGAGTAGACTACAAAGTGCAACTCAAAATTTCGCTTGGCGGCATCAATAAATCGATTGTGGTGAACCGCACCATTGTCATTCGTCGACACATGTTTCTATCAAGAGACTTGATCGCTGTGATTACCACCAGAACATTTGAGCATGGCGTCAATGACATGCTGCGCTTCAGAGTAGAGACACCAAAGATCGTTTGCAGCGAACAAGGCTATATACCAATCTTGATTGACTTTAAAAGCCTAAACGAGGCATTCTCAGTCAAGCAAATTTACACGCAAATCATAGAGACAACCACATTCAAGTAAATTTCTGTGTCCAGAGCCTTTTGCCATGGTAGTTTTGCTTACGCATTCCTTGTATTTAGGTGTCGCAATGTCTCTAAAACAGAAGCCGATATGACCATCGTAGGCATCAAGAGGGATAGCCCAATTATTGAAAGCTTCGTCAAGTACGGAGATGCCGGATTATTCTCCAAGACCGTGAAACGTGTCATACCAGCAACAATAAACAATTTGGACGTGCAAGATCAAGATTACGGTGCTATCTCGGTGCCTTTATTGGTCAAGCAAGAACTGGATATGTTGCTGGAGCACGATATCGATTCTCCTTTGGTCGCTATCACTCATCATTTAGAATTGACTTTTAACTTTGGTGGTGAGGTAGATGAAATTCGTGCGAAAATTCCAGTTATAGTAAGTTCCGTGCCTGACTCCATCAGCATCCACAGCAGCGACAGCGGCAACAAACTTAGAAAGCATGCCATTGAAGCACAGCTACATGAACTGCCTCTTTCAGTAGAGATCGCAGACGCGATTCCTACCGCAAAGCGGCATGATGGCTATCGAAGCACATTGGATGGATCTTCCACTACGAGCAGCCCGCTGAAAGATAGCTTTTGGTTATCAACAGCAGATGGCAAAACCCTTAAAAAGGCAGCATCGGATCAGAATATCTCAAGAACGAGGACGAGTTCTGAAAAGAGCCTTCTGAGAGGTAGCAGCAATGGTAAGCGTAGGTCCATTACACCATCACCACCCACCTCAAGGCCCTCCAGTACAAAATCAAACAAATTACCCGTCCAATCCATCGACATTCACCTTGCCAACAACAACAACAACAACAACAACAACAACAACAGAGATAAAGCCGCACAGTACATGTACATGCCTACATCAGCTATGTTTGCGTCTAGTACACCTTTTGACGACCATGACCGAGCAGCAGCATTGAAATCGCCATTTAGTGGTGCATTTGTTGGTTTACATCCTCCTCCTCGAAAGAATAACCGTAAAAAGGAGCCAGCCAAGATGCAACTCGAAAGCGATGATTCAAGTACGCTATCAAGACAGCTCACGACGAGTAGTTCTACTTCAACAGCTTCAGCAAAGACATACTCTCGGCCCACATCACCTGCTTCCGTCGCACAGACATCAGGCAGCACCATTGACCACTATACAATGCCATTGCCACCTGTGCCATATAGCAATAGGAACAGTAGCCATTCTTCTTCTTTAGAGAATGGCCATCTCTTATCACCTACCACCACGGCCCGTAGAGCATTGCTGAACCAAAGCAAAAGCAGCAATACATCCTCATCCTACAAGACATTGTCCATCAAGAAGCGATCAAACTCAATCGACCCAGAGAGCATTTATTCGACCTCTATCACAAACCACTATGTTGGAGCAGAGTTGCCTCCTATCCCCTCTTCCTCCTCCTCCTCCTCTGTGAATGCCGCTGCCGGTATGGCACCATCACCTCCTGCAATGACTCGTCAACGACTGCCATCTGTACCCAATGTAGATGAACATCGTAAAACTAGAATGTATTTTGAAGAAGATGACAGCGATGATGATGACATTTCGTTCTACTTTCAATAAGTGTCTTTTTTTTTTTTTTTGTGTATATAAATTTTTATTGATCTTATTACTAGTACAAAATGAAAAGAGAGAGAGAGAGAGAGAGAGAGAGAAAAGGAGAAAGAAAGAAAAAAGAGGGAGAGGAAGAGGAGAGGAGGAGGGGGGGATATTGTTGTGTGTGTGTGAGGTGTCTGTGTGCAATGCGTTTGTGTTTGTTGTCTGAATTATGTATAGGTGCTGTCGCTTCTATACGTTGAAATACATTTAATACATTAAGTAATTGGTATATCTGTCCTTTTTGTTTCTTTTTGATTCTCTTAAACCAAAGCTAATTCTAATGTCCAAGTTCTCCTTGCCCATAGGCGGATTGTCTGATCCTTTAATTCCACTGTATTACCATCCCACCAACATTTGCGCTACAAGACAAAATCTTAGCACATCATCATAGACTCTCATTCAAAAATCACTTACTGCTGGTTTTCTCCAAAACAAAAATAGCTTTTGCGCTGTTGCCATGTGGTTGTTGGGTCCAATGGTCTTGAGCAGCACAAGCGCCATACTGACAATTGTGGTCTTTAATGGCTCAATTTCACGGTATCCCCATCGATCATCTCTCTGGAAGCCTGCATCGCACAGCATATCAATCAGGTGCTGCTCAGCGACGTTGTTCTCCCTTGAAATGTTCTTTTGCAATGCGTCAAAGATATGATCATGTTCCTGGAGGTATTTGCCTGATTCCAGCTTCAAATGCTTTGCATCTTGGTTCTTTTCCGTTGGCAGACAAAAGTATTCTAGTTCCTCACGCAGTACAATGATGGGCTGCTTTGTCAAGAGTGTGTAGTAGACGGGCGACGATGCTGCTGATGCTGTTAATAGTCTCTGCAGATCGGCATCTTGTTGGTTTTGGTCCCGAACTTGAGCCGCGTGTGTATAAAACTTGAGTACATATTCCAGACAAGCAGGGTCGAAATCCACGAGGTTTACTTGCTCGTCAACGCCAACTGAATGGCGTGAAAGTCCATCATAGTCCTCTTCTTCGTCCTCGTCCTCGTCCTCGTATTCGTCTGGTGGTCGTGCTAAAACGAGGCCATTGGGAAACATGGCAATTAACAGGCTCTCGGGTAAATTAACCAATGTGTCTCTGTGGAGTTCCATACGAGTTCCTCTGAGGTCTAGCTTTAATTTCTGAGGAATAGCGTCATGATTCTCAAATTCGTCCATCTGGTCATTTTGCTGCTGCTGTGGTTGTTGTGGCTGCTGCTGCTGTGCTGAATAGATGAGGTCTTGGCTGTTGTACGTCTCTTCGGGTTCTGGTACCTGAACGATAGGCGAATCTGAAGACATTTTTTTTTTTTTTTTTTTTTTGGGAAGGAAGAGAGAGAAAAAGAAAAAAAATAGAGGGAAAATGGGAGAAATGGGACTCTCCTTTTTATAGTTGTTGTAGGGAAAAAAGAAAAAAAAAAAAAAAAAAAAAAGTAAAAAGATCAATTAGAACAGACAACTCGTTTATAAGCTACAAAACAAGTCTATTTGTACAACACCTTTATTACAAGATTTTTTCATTATTCAGTCGATTATCGATCCATTTCTTGATGCTGTTGCTGCCTGGATGCTCGCTCGTCTCTAGGTTACTTGTGGGCAGCACCTGAATCGAATTTTCATTGGCCTTTGTCTCGCCTTGGTCGATCTCTCGCTTGGCCTTTTGGTACATCCAGAGCCCAATGAACGTTAATGCGATGCCCAATGTCTGACTAAAACTCACTTGTTGTCCAAACCAAATTATACTCATGACAATAACAAAGATACGTTTCACCAAAGATGCAATTGAATACGTAACAGGTGAAGACATGCCTAATGTCGTAAATGCAAACCAACTCTGTGCAAAGTGCGTTGTACCATTCAACAAAAAGTAGATCAGCAATCGTGTCTTGCTCACGTCCAATTGCACAGATTCGCTGTAGATCAGGAACAGATAGCCGTCGTAATAAAACCACATGGGGATCATCAACACAAACGCAATAAAGCCCGAGTAGAACATCATGTTCATCTTGTCCAGCTTGTTGGGGTTGTGCTCGCCCATCTTGGATTCCTTGAACAGCAGCTTTTTGTTAAAGATGTTTTGCATCACAAACACAAGACATGAGCAAAAGGCGCATCCCAACCCAATGAGGTTGTTGGAGAAGGTAAACGAACATGCCAAAATAACGCCCATCGTCAGTGGAATCAGGGCTGTGTATACCTGCGATGAATAGTGCACATTAAAGATAAATCGATAAAACAGCACGGTGAATAAAGGCGCTAATGCCTGTGAGTATGTAGATTTTAGTTTTGACATTGTCCCCTCCCTTTGTTTGTATATTATATACCTTGATCGTATGCACTAAGCTCACTGGAATTCGGCTGATACTGATACTGGAAAACACATGGCCCACAATCATAAACGACGACAATGGAACAATCGTCTGTATAATGACTTTGGTGGGTTTCTTGATGCCGGATGACTTGAAGACTCTCTCCATCAAGGCACACCAGCAGGAGACCATGAGGAACTGTACAAAAGTCAAGGTTACGGGATACTTGAAGGTGTTCATAATCTGTTTAGCTGTGTTGCTTGACAATGAAGAGCAAATGTACCACATGAAGCAGCACAGCAGAAATTTGGAGTTGTCTGATAGGGATACATGGTGCTGTAATGCTGTAGAGACCGCTGTATGATGTCGATGGGTTGTTGTATGAGTGTCTAGAGGTATTTTGTCATATGTAGCGTCGTTGTTGTCAGACATGAAATGACGGGTATGGTTTTTTGTGGATGTGATTTTGCTAAAGAATTTCCTCTGAGGCGGTTCACTTATCTGTGTAGGCAATATCGATGGCATCTTTAAGAGTGAGATGTGAGATAGAAAGAAGGTAAAGGTAAGAAAAAAAAAATACACAAGCCTCTCGCACTCATCCGCTTCTTGTCCCTCTCTTTCTGGTTCTCCTCAAATATTTCCCAAAACAAGAATAGAGACACAGAGATAGCGTTTTGCATTTTAAAAGCCCATTTGATTTGATAGGATTCATCATCGACATCTCCCTTCTTTTGATATGCCGAAATTGGGCTTCTTGTTGGGATGTTACGCCAAGGAGTCTGTCAATGCATTGCTGTGATTCGAAGAGTAGTAGCTCGTCAATCAACTATCCACTTTGCTTGCACGATAGCATGGAATAGGATCTGCGACCAGCGAAGCACTGAATTATCCCTGTTACACGGATTATCGCATTTCGTGGCACTGGAACGAGCAACCATCAACATTGTCATGCAGTCAAACGTTTCTAAATCCAAAGTAGCCATTGGAAAAGGTAATTTACATGCAAACAGTTGTTTTTTATTTATTTATTTTTTTTTTATAATGAAAAAATGCTATGTATATCTAAAAAAAAATATATGAAAAACCAACAACGACTATATACCAACTAAATTATATAAAAACTTAAGCCAACAAGGACTTTCCGGTCATCTCCTTGGGAATGTCAAGACCCATGTAGGCAAGAATTGTAGGAGCAACATCACAGAGAGCACCTTCAGCATCAGACTTGAACTTGGCATCATCGTCAGCCATGACAAAAGGAACCTTGGCACAAGTGTGAGCAGTGAAAGGACTCTTGCCATCATCAGCAATCATCTTCTCGGCATTACCGTGATCAGCAGTAACAAAGAGGGCATAACCGTTCTTCTTACAAGCTTCGAGAACAACACCGATGGCCTTGTCAGTAGCAGCAACACCCTTGACAGCGGCTTCATAGACACCAGTATGACCAACCATATCAGGAGGAGCAAAGTTACACATGACGAAGGGATACTTGTTGGAGTCGAGAGCTTCAGCGACCTTTTCAGCGACACCAGCAGCGCTCATCTCGGGTTGGAGATCGTAGGTGGCAACCTTGGGAGAGGGAACCAAACCACGTTCTTCGAGATGGAATTGAGCTTCAGATCCACCGTTGAAGAAGAAGGTGACATGGGCATACTTTTCGGTCTCGGCAATGTGCATTTGAGGAACATCGTTCTTGGCCAACCATTCAGCGAGCACGTTGTCCATGGATTGAGCAGGGAAAGCAATCTTGAAGGGGAAGTCGCCCTTGTATTGAGTCATGGTGTAGAGTTCAATGTTCTTGGGGACAGGAGAGTCGAAAGGGCAAGGAGCAATACCGAAAGCTTGAGCGATTTCACGCATACGATCAGAACGGAAGTTGAAGCAGAAGATGGTATCGTTCTCCTTAATTTGACCAGCTTCGTCAACAATGATGGGCTTCAAGAACTCATCAGTCTCACCAGCAGCATAACGGTCCTCAATGGCCTTGACGGGGTCAGAGACCTTTTCACCCTTGGCTTGGGTCATACCATCAAAGGCAACTTGAATACGCTCCCAACGCTTATCACGATCCATAGCATAGTAACGACCGTTTACATCCGCGATCTTACCGTAACCGAGCTTCTTGATAGCATCCACAAGTTGTTGCATGTACTTGGCAGCAGACTTGGGAGCGGTATCACGGCCATCACCAAAGAAGTGAACATAGGATTCGGGGACACCAGCAGCCTTGGCAGCAGTCAAGAGAGAGATGAGGTGATCGATATGGCCATGGACGCCACCATCAGAGACGAGACCCATAAAGTGGAGACGACCGTTGCCGTTGATGGCACGCTCGAAAGCACCCTTGATGTTTTCAATTTGACCAAACTCGTTGTTCTTCATGGCAAGATCGATACGGACGATATCCTACAGTGACACATTATGCTATCAGTTCAAATCTGTCTCTGGATATGTATGTGAAACAAGCGGTCTCACACCACGTAAAAAGTAGTAAAGATCGCATTTTATCTAGTTACCTGATAGACGATACGACCAGCACCAATGTTAAGATGGCCGACTTCAGAGTTACCCATCAAACCATCGGGAAGACCGACAGAAAGACCATGAGCAGCAATGGGGACGAAAGGATCCTCCTTTTCGAGCTTATCCATGACAGGAGTTTCAGCATTGTAGATGGCATCGCCGAGATGATCAGCCTTGGGAGAGATACCCCAACCATCAATACAGATGAGACAAGCCTTGTTCTTGGGAGTTTGCTTAGTTTTAGGATTTTCACCACCACCGGCCATTGTTTAATTATTTAATGTGAAGAGTAGAGAAGAAAGGAAAAGAAGAGCAAGATGAAAGTCGCTCATGGTTATGTTATTTTATATAAGACACGTGTCACATTAAAGTGACGCACAGAAAGAGAGAACAGAGATTACACTGATCATATAGATTGGAAGATTTGGATCTTGTCCCGTTAAGCGAAATGTTGTTTCACACCGAGAAGGCCTTTTTTTTTTTTTTTTTTTTTTTCTCCAATGAACCCTCTCTTGGATGATTGAGATTAGCGTTTATATTCATATAGACAACATGAACATTGCAGTCATGAAAGAGATGCTATCAACTAGCCAAGATTACATCATATTTGTCATTGCATGTCGTCTATCATTGCCCAAGCAAATTCCTAGTAAATAGGGCAAATTTCGTGTGCTGTTTCGGGGTTATCGATAAACCCCTTTCATAAACACAGTTACATTTAGTTCCCACCGAAACATGATGAAATGGCATTATTGTTCAGTGTACGCTTCAATGCACATGCTGGTATACAGTTGACACATTGAATAAAAAGAACGCGAGATTTCTGTTGGGTGTATATATCGATGAAAATAGATTTACGTTTCACAAGCATTGCATTGATGTTGATTTCATATCTTTTTTGCACCAGGTTGCCATAACATCCTTTGGTGGCATTGGAGAAAGAAAGTTATACACATCGTTTTGTAATTATCAAAACTGGGATCTAAATGAAAAGAGAACAATATTGCCAAATAGAATCATCTTGTGCAATAGTTGAATTTAGAGCCAAAAAAAAAAAAAAAAAAAAAGATGCTATCTGATAAAATCAGTGGGCGGAGAAGAATCATGCCATGTTTCGCGCTGACATGTCAATGATCTTCTGACATATGAGCAGTTGCGACTCATGGTCTATAGTTCATCTTGCTACGGTTCTTTCATTTCACAAGCTTATCGTGAAGTATTTACATTTCAGAAAAAAAAATAGATGAGGGGACACTGTCTCGAGATGAGATGATGTTCCCTGTTACAGTATCACCACAATCATGTCGATTCCAAAATTGGCCTCGACACCACGTAAATGTAGTATGAATGGATGCCCCTTTATTCAAACGCTCTGCGATGGCTAAAGGTGATTCTTACAGCAATCGGTGCCATACAATGAAAGGGGAGAGGAGAGTGCAGAGAAATCATAGCGTGAGACTTACCTAACTGTGTGCAACCAAGAGCGACATCCAGAGCTTTCATGGTGCACCAGATGTGTGTGTGTGTGTGCGTGTGTGTATCTGTACATATCCTGTACAGATGCAATCATCTAGTTACTGTAAAGACATGTAATGCATAGTTTTTCTCGAGTAAGGCATATAACTAGCTGAATCTCTCATTGAAGCTACAGTGTACTGCTTTCACAGCGACATCCATCTTCACTATAGATACTGTAAAGCATTCAAAAAAAAAAGCAGAAAAGCCAATCATACCCTTTCTAAAATGTAAAGAATTGTGTGCCGTACAAGGTGAATAAACTCACCGGCAAAGCTGGCAATGGGGAGGGGGGGTTTGGGGGAAGAACATAACGCGTCTAATTCAACACTTGATACCATTGATTTATAGGGGGGTTTTACAGTAGCGAAGCAAAGGCGCAAAACCATAGTATTCAAGTAACAAATTCGGGTTTTCATTTCCATTGTTAATAAGCTTACCAGCAATACAGCGCATCAAAATTTGCATGAATTAGCTTTACCAAAACCAATATGCCTCCTACTCGAATTAGATAGAAGCTGCATAGGCTGCAGAACTGCCCTTCCAGTAAATTGTAGCTACCAAAGATGTGTTGTATGCCGTGTAATAAACTCCATAAAGCAATACATGACCAAATTCGACAGTTTTCAAGCCTTCATATCTTGACATGGAGGCCTTTCTGAGCCACCAGAATAACGCCAAACAATCGTACTCGAGTAGTAGTAACTTCCTGACACTTTTGCTCAACTTTTTGGAGACCTAAAAAACATGGTCAAAAATCAACCAAAAAGCATGAGGGGTACCTCATGGCTTTCATCGAAAATCAAACGATCGCGTTTTTTACCTTGAAAATGAATACTTTTACTATGGTATATATTAATTTAAAGTGTTTCTCTCGATCCAAAGCAACCTCTGAAACCACTTTTATGAGGCTTTTATATGCAAAATATGGCTATTTTCGCTAAAAACCTCATTTTATATTTTACCAAATTGCTCAATAATTTCATTCAAAATACCTATTACAATTAGCACCATTGGAAGAGTCTTGAAAAGGACGGCAAGAATGTATTAGGAAGCTTAGGGTGATCATCACAGTTTATATAGTCGAATATAACAAAATAAATTAAAGAAGTCGAAAAAAGACAAAATCTATCCAATCTTGAACATAAAATAATAAGCTGAGTTTGAATCAAGTTTGGCGGCGGCGGCGGCATTGCTGCTGGCTGACCTAAATGCCTTTCTTTTGATGACAATGATGATTGCAATGTTGATTAAATGGAGATTATGGAATTGAAAGGACAATCGAATAGCCTGAATACTTTTTTTGGGGGGAGCTTTGCCTCATGAATATGTCTTTTGCAATGGCAATATCTCAAAAAAGTGGCTGTAAATCTTACACAAGTCCTATATTTTACTTATCACCAGCTATATGTCGTTATCTATTAAGAGCATCAGCAGCAGCGAATGATATGGCAACTCTATTATCAGAAAATGACAATTGTGATGTACAAATGCTGCATAAAACCTGAATTTTCTTTTACATTATTGTCCCAATAGTAGGCTCTGTTTGATATCAGTGTAAGCAAAAAGAATGCTGAGGGAGATACCTCCTCTCCTCCTCCTGGTGGCTCTAGTATAGCCTTTCTTTTACTAACTAATAATAAATTGTTTAAACTCTACTTGATATACCCAAATTGTACTATAGATTTAAAATGTCTTTGTCGAGAGCCCACAGGGCGACGCCGACATCGAGCATAGCGAGATAGATCGGCTAGTTGCTATATACTCGGCTACCTCGCCTTGGAAGCCAATTTCAAAGCACACATTTAACTTTTTTTTTTAAAAAAAAAGCACGACATCCAGATATATGAATGCGGTGTATTGCATTTTCACCATATCCATTTCACCATTCTAGAGACGATAAAAGGCCAAAATGCAGCAAAATGTGATGGTATATGGTTGCCTATATCTCCTTGTATAGGCTGCTTCAGACCGCCAGAATAATACCAAACGACTTGTCTCGTCTAGCACTTGCTCTCTGACACGTTTGCCCACCTTTTTTGGGATCGCCAAAAATCGACTCCAAACCATGATAGGGTGGCCAAAGTTGTTTTTGTGCGTTTTTTCGACCAATTGGTTGCAAGAAAAAAAAACGACCAAAACCTTAAATAATGCCCACCTCAAGAGTTGGGCGTTCTGCATAATTTTCTTCATTTTTTGAAAAAACAGTTACAAGTCTAGTGTAATAAGAGTGCAATGATTCTGTGAAAATATATATATATATATATATCTACTAGGGAGGGGCGGATTGGTGTTACTATTTGTATGTCTTTAAACTTGGGCAATATTTATTAAAAAACATGAAAAATATTTTTGGGCGAGTAGTATTAGGATCAAGTGATGGATTTATTGTGATAAAAGTACTGTATATAATGAGTAGTAATGACAGATATTTTCACTACCGTTCAATGCTTGTCAAAAAAGAAGACTATCTATATATATATATGTGTGTGTGTTATACTAATGTTTCAATCATGCGGATTGAAACGTATGTAATGTGGATCATTACATCTAGCTGTTTCTTCTGCCACTGATTGCTCCTTCAATTTCTCCTCTCCTCTATTGATATACTCACGCTTCTTTCAAATTATAAGCAGATGGTGGCATAATAAATGTAATCAAAACAAGTTGTAGATTGATAAAAAGGAAAGAATATGAGACCACATTAACAGCAGCAGATCAAGGGTGGCCAATGCTGTAGGGCATTCGGTTGGTGCTGTTTTTTAAACCAGAAAACGCCCAAAAACAACTTTGGCTGCCCTATGAGGGATACCTCATCAAAAAATCGAAAATCAAACAATCGCGTTTTTGGCTGCAAAAATGAAGACTTTACTAAGGCATATATGAAATCAAAATGTTCCTCTAGATCCAACGCAACCTCTGAAACATTGTTTGTGAGAACTTTATATGCAAAATCTCTGCTTTTTTGCCAAAAGCCTCGTTTTCTATTTTCCAGCATTGCTCAATAAGTCTGTTCAAACCATCTCTTGAAATTAGCGCCATTGGATGCGCATTGGAAAGTACCCCAAGAAAGCATTAGGAAGTATGCGATGAGCATCACATTTTTATGGTCGAATTTAGCAAAATAGGTCGAATTAATTCCAAAAAGTTTGAAAATTAACAAATATAGGATATAGACTTCAACAAAGATTGAAAGATGGCGTGTCAATGAGAATGAACTGCTAAACAAAAGGCACTAAAAGGTAGATTCAATTCTACAGTTGTTTCTCTGGAATAATGATTCATTTTAATCATCTTTTCCTGCTCATTGAAAGTTTGACGCCATGTACACTCTCTCGGCAACTTGATACAATGAGAAATGAGTGTGTGCGATCAGATTACCCTATGTGGCTTCTTATGTACCGAATGCAACACAAACTAGGACTCACTGTCGTTAAATCTAAATATCATTAGATGTGCTTGTCTCTAGCAACAATCATGTCAAATACGAAAAAGGTGCCCGACAAAAGTGTAAATGCGACGCTTCTGATGACATACAGCGATGAATAGCAATGCTTATTCAAAGACCCAAATGTATAATTAGAAAAGAGCACAATTTAATAAGCGGACGATTTCAAAAGGTGTGGGGTCATTCTACACTATAGGCTGGTAACTTAAGGGGATGGTTACATGTGCAAATGAAGGACGCGGGACATGGTGTATCGGATTGATAATAATCAGTGCGCTGCTTCGATTCAAAAGGAGCCACATTATTTTCTGGGGAGGATTTCATATGACACGCGCCATCTCTTAATGGTTCCTTTGAATTGCCTGCGAGAGTAACACTGAAAAGAGACATTTGATTTTCCTAATTTTACCCTTTTAGGATTGTCGTATCAATTCATATAGAAAGCCTTTTTTTTTTTTCTCTACAAATGATATCTCATCCTGCACCATGGCATAAAAGATCCTTGTCAACATGTGATGCATTTGCTTGGAAAATGAGCTAATCTACTTGCGCTACCACTCATGCGTATAAGTCATGATTAGCATATCCATGTTGGCATTGCATTTTTTTTTCGAATACTCTTTGATTTTATAGACATTCAATGTATATCCGGCCAACCATATCAGCTTGAAGACGCTTCACATTGTCAAACAAGCCTCTCTGTTTTTTTTTTTTTTTTTTTTTTTTTTTGCTGGCAGTGAGGTTATATCAAAAACTAATACAATGCCATGCATGTATATATGTTGTTCTCAAATCTACATGATTTTGAAGCATATTCGCTAGGGACCATTTCATTTAGACAGTAACACAAATGCCCATGGATCATTTCGAGCCTAAAGTTAGTGGTAGCAACAGCATAGTGCCAGCATATAGTTTATCAGCCATGACTCTCTTGGTTATCATTGGTGTTTTTCCAATTTGTCTAGTTGGGAATTTCTTTATAAGCAGTTTAATTTTCTCGGTGCAACAATAACAAATCAATAATAGTAATGAATCTATAATTCACATGTGCTCATTTTTTTTTTTTTTTTTTTAAGTTTATGGCAAAAAGTATAATGCTTCTACAGATAAACGCACCAGCTCATTGAAATACGTGATCAGGTTGAAAAATGGCTCTTTTCTTGCCGTGTGCCTGAATGGCATATATACACGGACGTGAATGCCATTGTGCATAGGGTGCTTGATTTGTTGCAAAAAGAACATAATCTTGTTTCAACGTTTTGGGATACACAAATCAATGTGCCACCACTTGATTTGCATTGTGAAATAATACATCTGAATGTCATCAACTGTACATGCACTGGTGCAAAAAAAAAAAAAAAAAAAAAAAAAAGGAGGGGGGGGCGGCTCCCTCTTAACAATGTGGATAAGTGACAATGGAACCTGTCAATAGACTGTAAACAACAGAGCTCCCTTTCTTTGAATGAGTGTATATGTGCATGGTAGCCAAATTGAGCCCACGGAGCAATGGTTATCTTCGATAAGCTCAGAAAGCTATTTAAAAGTGAGATAAGGGAACAGTTTGTCCCAAAAGCAAAAAAAAACTGTTAATCAATCATGGCGGAGTACAGCGATAAGAGTGACACTCGGAGATGTCGGAAAACAGGACACCACCAATGCCTTCCACCTCTATCACATCAACCATGCTGTAAATGAGCATTCCGCAGATGAAGCTGGAAAGTAGGACAAAGAGTAACACTCTCTGAGCAAACATTTATCACAAACGGAGAGATCTTTTTGGTGTTTGGACATCTCATATTTTAATGGCCCTAGAATGAACTCGATGTATATAAATACCTTGTGCCCAATCACTGATACTTGAGTCAGAAGAGGTTGTTGGTGTAACAGATTCCTAATATCTCTATACAAAAGGTTGCATTTTTCCCACCACTCTCTTTCTTCTTTTCTTTCTTTCTTTCTTTACATACTCTAGAAAAGACCACGCACAAAAACCAAATGCCCTTTGATACAGTAGAGAGATCAACAAAACGAATTCGAGCAAATGGATTTGCCCAAGACGATCAAGATGATTGGTACATGCAATCATCATCGTTTGAAGTGTTTAGTATCGATCAGCCGCCACAGCAACAGGCACAGCAACCACAGCACCTCCACCAGCATCCACATCCGTCACAGGAACAGGAGCAAGATTGGTCCAAGTCTCACTATTCTCAATTTGATACAAGCAGATATTTTCCATACCAGTCGTCCATTCTGTCTTCACCGACATCCATGGACTACTTGCTGCCAGCAACACCATCTGCCACACCCATTGATATTCCTTATTCAGCAGGCGCCACCACCAACACAGAATACCTAGAATCGTCGAGTCTCGATGACCACATTTCACTGCAATCCAACAGCTACTGGCAAGACGATACTTACAGTGCGCAGTCAATGCAGAGCCCCATACACAGACCATCCATTGCATCTACTGTCAACCACAATTCACCGCCAAAAGTGCTTGCCGACTCGATCCATGCTGCTGGTCATCTAGAGGCATCACCTCATCTCACTGATGTATTGTCAAAGATCCAGTTTTCGTACAGCGATGTCGGAATTAACTTGGAAGCAAAGATCTCGAATGCATCGGAATTGCGCTCACTGATTGATGCGTTTAGCCAGATGTGCTGCTCCTCCAACATCAATGCATCCACAGCAGCACACGCCAGCAATGCCACCAACAGCACTGCGAATACCAGTGGGGATATTTCAAGCGCGGATGTGTCACAAGAGCCTAAATCAAGAGTAGTAGATAAAATGCTACTGTACAGAAACAAGAGTAACCAAACCAAGCCAGTCAACTTTTTCGCTTCCACTTGCAGACTTGGCCAAATCAGTAATCCACACTCTGATTCAATGACAAGCTTACAGCAGATTGCAGATGCCTGTGTCGACACCTATTTCACCTGCTGGGTTCGCTTCAAGCCCATCCTGCGCAAAGACCAATTCATGATGTGGTATAAGCAACAAGATGCTCCCACGGATACACTGATTGTCAATGCCATTTGCTCCTATGTGTTTCGCCACATGGTCATACACCACCCACGGCCAGGACTGAGCCACTTTCTGAAGGATCAAGACAAATTGCAAGAACAGGAAGAGTTTTTCTTTAGTCGTGCCAGAGAATGTCTGTCGCAATCGTTCGATACGCCTGATCGCTACACTGTGGCTGCGCTTCTGTTCATGAGCTTGCGTGCTGAACCCTCCAAAAGACATCACTATGCCGGCTTGGCTGGCTCTGCTTTGCATGAATTGGACATCTACCCTCGTATGGTGAATCAAGATGTGGATTCTTACGACAAGGAGATGGATACCAGGCTTTGGTGGTTTGCATGGGCTGCTGACTTTTCACTGTACACGGCGGGCTCGCCCAAGAACACACCCCAACCCAAGTTTCCTGGTCAAGTGGATCTGCCCCAAGTGTTTGAACAAGATATCGACGAAGGTGAAATCGGCGTCATTACATTTGCACACTGCCTTACGCTGTGGCAAATTCAGGCCGACATTGTGGCTGCCCTGTATGAACAGCAAAGCTCGGAATTGACAGTGGAACAATTGGCTGAATACGACAAACGTTTGCTGGATTTCCATAGCGCCCTGCCTGAATACCTGGTGTTTGACAGTGGGTTCGAGTATGGAAGTGAAGATCTGTTTCTGGCGTGCTTGAGGGTCAATATCGAGTACAATGCCACGCGTATCATTTTGCACAAACTGTTCATTCCAGAGATGAATGACACAAGGCCAAGCCGAGCTTCGTTGGAGTCGCTCAACATCTGTTTGTCCACTGCATTGTCCCAGCTCAGCGCCATCAAGACCTGCAATATGGGCGATGTGGGTCGTTGCGCCTTTGATCGCGATGAATTATGGCGTGCTGCTGAAGTGATCTCTGTCACCATGGACATTTACGACACGTGTATCTCTGCTGATGATCAAGCCAAGATCCTGACCGGCATCAAAATGGAGGATTTTTTAGTGGGCCTTCGTAAATCATACGACGTTTTGCAGAACACAAGAGAATTCCGTTTTTCATGCAAGAACTGGTTCCAAGTAGCAGACTGGATCCAAGTAGAGATCCGCAGACACCAGTTAGTCGGTAATGCAACCCATACAGCGAAACACATTGACGATGAGACACACAAAAAGAACAAGCCTGATTATTTTTTGGCTCATCTCAAACCAAACGCCATTCTCAATGACCATCAACCGCATCCTCATGAAGCATCTCTCATTAAACTATCACCATCATCATCATCCTCATTACTGTCATCCAAAAAACCATCCACATCATCATCATCTCTTCCACCAAAGACGTCAAAGCAGCAGCCTCGAAAGTCCATCTCTTTTCAAAATCAATTCAGCGTGCAACAACTGCCCACAACCAGCAACAACAACAGCAGCAGGCAGCCATCCGCACCACCACCACAACAAAACGCTGGTATCAATAGTCGAAAATCATCCTTCTCGACAGCTCCTCCATTTGTACAATTCAATGCATATATCCCGCCCGACCAGCAACAGCAGCAAGCGAATGGCAAAAACCCTGCAAGATTCCGTTACTTTAATCCTCGCAAGATGAACAAGTTTCTTTTCATCGACGAGCATCCCATGATGTAACTTGAGCTTTTACTGTTCCAACTCAATTCTGTACATACCTATATAACTAAATACTAATAAATACAAGACATAATGTAAAATGACGAATGACTGGCAAAACACAGGCGCTCATGCCATGGCACTTGATAAGCCCCAAGCTGATCCAACAACCATCGTGAGCATCTTTTCTTACTCCATTGCCACATAAAGCAATCTGGGCTTTTATTTAGATCCATCTATCGCATCCACGCAGTTAAAGCAAATCTGGGTTGCTTGCAAGGCATGATTTCATGATCCACAGCACCACTCAGCAACAATAGAATCCTGCCCAGTAAGGGCTTCACAATTCTCTCTGCACCTTCAGGTAACCCATGATCATCAGGGCGACTGTATATCTTTACCTCGCCTCCATGCTCTGCGATCCAGCCAGGATTCAGGTAGAACACCACCGTGATGCGTCTCTGATGTCGGTCCGCTGGATCATCGGTAGGCAGTGCATCGCGATGACGTTCGTATCTAGCGCCTTCAGGATGGAAGTAGGCTAGTTGGTATTCAGTACGGCCGTTCAGACGCACCATCTGCTTGATATCGTGCATCAATGGGCCCTGGATAAACTCGAGTATCTTTTGAAAGTAAGGAGGTGTATCGACAATGCCTTTCTGATGGTCTGCTTGGTTGTCAGGATCAAACCTGTCACGGAACACATGATGAATACTGATGCTTATACGCTCGCATTGTCTACATACCATAAAATGGAATCATCTCTGGCAGCTGTGTCTCTGGAGGGATCATTTTCACTAAAATTGCTTGCAGGAGTGAATTGACCTTGTTCCAATAATTGCAGAGATTCATTATGCGCACCTAGTAAAAGTAAAGATCATCAGTCCGTTGCATTAGGCACCAGGTAACCGATGCGTTCTGTACCTCGCAACGTGTCCAAGTCCAATTGTCCCTCCAATTCAGTCCATCCTTTGCTATACAGCTCTTCCACAGCTTCAGGTGACAGGCAATTCAGATCCCATGAACCGCTGTGTCTCTGATACTCGGTTGTATTGAGTTCATGGTAAAAGAGTCTTTGCGCCACAGAGAGCCCACTTTCTTGCTGATCCAAGTATTTCAGTAGTTCACTCTCTGCTATCTCTTCGACGACCTCCATTTCATCTTGATCGTACTCTTCAGGATGGTATTCAAAATCGGAAGGCAAATCACTCTTGTCATCTGGGAAATCAGGTAGATCACTAGCATCCGTAGCAGCCATACGCAAAATGCGATCTTCTAATGACAGGTGGTCTTCTTGTGGATGATTCATGTTTAGACGCGATTCAAGAGTGTGTATAAATGAAGAAAAAAAAAAGATGGGCAGGCTGATGTAGGGAAAGCGGAGAGGCCGCTTCGGCTGCCTTGGATGTGACAGCTGTAGTGGTGTATAATGCTGGCCTGATCATCAGATTCAATGTGATGTAATGAGAGCATCATTCAAGAGCATGAATACCGGAAGGATGTGCCCTATACAGCCAACCAAGGGGAAAGACATCAAGTGTATCGACATGAGCGCTGCGTGAAAGCTGCTCCATGATATACTGACCTGACAATAGACCAAGGTTGGTACTGTAACTCTTTGCTCCATTTCGGTGGATTGTCATACCCTTATCGCTAGATAGCACACTACCGCTATCATTTGCTTGTGGATATCAGGCAAATCCCGTCCACTATTGAGCGTTCATCAAGACCTACAGCAGAATAGCATCTATAGTTGCAGTCCTGCGAACGGAACAATGTTACAATAAACAACAACAACAACAACAGCAGCATCATCAAATCAACACCCACGCTTTAAAGGCTTGTGTAAATTGGTTACACACGAAAATATGCGTCAAATCATAGATTTAAAACGAAAAATTCTTACTATTATCTGCTCTTCTTCTTTTTGTTCACCAAGTATCTCTTTTTTCTAGGCACCTGTTTATCCCCTCCTTACATTAAGATAGACAAAAACAAGCCAAAGATATACATCCATCATGGTAACTCAATCTCTTGCAAAGCAAAACTACACTCAATTGGCAGAAGATGCTGTGAATCAGCAGATTCAAATGTACCAAATGGCTCAGCAGACGTACATCGCTGCTGCTGCTTATTTCAATAACGCAGAAGTAGCACTGCCTGTAGGTAGCTCTTATTTGGAGCATGGCGTGCAGAGTCTGATCATCCTCTACAGGGTTTTACAAAGTTCTTTCATGAGCGTGCTGAGCATGAAGGCAAGATGGCTCAGCATTTGATTGATTATCAAATTACGCGTGGAGGCATCTGTATTATCAGTGCTATTCCTCAGCCATTGGTAAGCGTGTGCTTGTTGGTTTGGCGTGTGTACTGATGCAACTACTTGAAGATTGATTGGAAATCTGCTACCAATGCCGTTGAAACCTGCTTATCCCTTGAAAAGGATGTCAACAAATCCTTGTTGAGTTTGACCGCCTTGGCCATCAACAACGCAGACGCTCATTTGCGCCATATCCTCAAGTAAGCTGCCAAAGTGTATGATGGCGCCATACTAACGCTGTCTATATAGGGGTGGTCATTTAAAGTACAAGGTAGAAACCATCGCCAACGTCGCCAAGGGCTATACGCAAATCAAACGAGTTGGTGGAGAGGGACTTGGATTGCACATGTTGGATCAAGACTTGTACAAACACGAAAAGTTTGTTGTTTGAGTTGCGTGTCCACTTTTAGTTGCAATAAACAAAAACTCTCGATCCGAGCGTTTCAAGTGTGGTGTGTATCACGCATTTGACGGATAAACTGCGATTCAAATGACAGGAGCGTGTAGCATATAGCATGTAGAACAGTGAAATTCTGGATCCGTGGTTGAGCCAATGACGGCATTGGTGTCCGTTTATCTCAAACCATAAGGTTAAATCCCATGTGGTACACTTTTTTTTTTGTCTTTTCTTCTTCTTCTTCTTCTTCTTCCTTTTTTTTTCTTTAAGCTTACATTACAAAAGAGATGCCAAACAGCTTAGCCAGCTTAACTGATAGCATGGAAACGAACAGTATCACGCATACGATCGGTAATCTGGCTCGTGCTGCAACCACCCGTCATCGTCATTCTCAGCATTTGAGTTCAACCACTGCTCTGCCTGTTCCGCCACCACCTCAACACACAAATGTCTCGAGCCATCCTCATGATCACACAACAGCAGCAGCAGCAAATGCCCGTCGCTTATCAGCCGATTACTCTTCCAGTGCACCGAATCATCTTTCTCATTCACCCTCCAACAGTGCATCTCATTTAGACAGCAGAAGAAATTCGGCAGTGGGTCTGACGGCTGTCGATGGCCCTATTAATAATATGACAATTGAATTTGATGGTGGAACTCACGTCATTGTGCGACCCAACCGTATTATCAGAGGTAAAGTGATATTGACCGCTGTCGAAAGACTCTATGTTACAAGGATTCGGGTCAAGGTGAGAAGCATGACAATGAGCTTGAGATGTGAAAAACTGACATGCAGCAACAAGTTTCGTGCAGAGGAAGTAGCTATTGTGCGTATCGATGAAGGAGGAGGCGAAAACAAGGGCGGCGAACGACTGCACGAGACTATCACTACCTTCTTTGAGGCAGATTGGAAGCTGTGGGGCAATGATGCTACGGGTAATATATATATATAGAGAGAGAGAGAGAGAGAGAGATGGGTCATATTGAGTCTTAAAAAAAACGTCATATCTAACATTCTGTAAAGCTTATTCACAAGCTGGTTGGGATGAATTAGAGCCTGGAAAATACGAATTCCCATTTGCATTAAAGGTCAGTTTGTTTTGGTGGCGGATTGCTTTTTGACAGAAACAGGATCTAACCGCACTGTACAGTTTCCTAATGTCAACTACCCTCCCTCTATGGAAGAGCCCAAAGGATTCAGTATTCGCTATGTTTGGACAGCTCAAGTAGATGGGCCTGCTCTTCAATCTGGATTGAAAAGCAGAGAATATCTTACCCCGTACAGGCCAATCATTGTATCAACACCAGGTAAGATCGGCGTGTGAGTCAGTGCTTTTTCCATCTATACATGGCTCACTGATGCTATGTAGATCGTCAATGGGAGTATAGAAAAACGCTAATGCGAGATAAACGAACCATTGCCGCCGAGGTGCTTGCCAAGCTGGTGAAACAATCCTACTGTCCGGGTAAGCTCATCACATTTCACGCAAGCATGGAAGGGGTATAGGTAGTAACGTCTTTATGACTAATAGATGAGCCATTTATCATGCATTTAAAGATATTCCTGGGTCAATCTGATTCTCGCATCACATCAGTGGGATTCAAATTTCGCAAACACCATGAAGGAAAGATGCTGGTTCAACGAGGCACAGCGTTCAGAGAGCATGTCCGTGTCGTGTTGCAGGGTCAAATACCTGTGCCTGGCTCAGATTTCAAGTTTGAGCAAGACATTTCATTCGACGTCCCTACTCGACTGGTGTCTCCCTCCTTCATATCACATCACACGCGCGTCTACTACGATATTCAATTCCAAGTAACAATGGAGCATGGCGGTTTATTCAAATCCACACACACATCTGAATTCGCCATCCCCATCACCATTGCTAATTTACCGTATGACCAGCTACTGCGTATTCCTGGTTTGACGTCCATTGAGTTTTACAAGACCAGCAAGGAATGTCCTCAGTTCTTTGATCCTACATTGGAAGAGCCGCCAGAGCAATCAGCGCTACCAAGTGAACTCTTGGGCTCCATTCAAACAGCCTTGATGACCTCCACACCTCGCGATGACCCACCCAATTACTTTAGTATCCCCACCTTACCACCACAATTAGAATTGCGTAAGGAACGCAAGGAGAGATCAGTGTACATGACTAGATCAGTGAGAGGTAATGTTCAAGGCGCAGAATTAACAGAAGCCATGGTGATTCCTGGATTATTTGATGAAAGCTGGTAGATGCTCTGTATTACCCCCCCCCCCTTCCTTGTTTAAAGTGTATATATATTATATTAGTACTACGTAAAACCCCTTCTTCCCTTTATACATTTGATGATGTTTGTGTAAGTTGCACAAATCATATGTCTTGTTGTTGGCGTCCACAACCCTTTTCAAGATTAGCTTTGTAACCAAAAAAAAAAAGTGTATAAAGTAACATATATTGTGATTCGCTGCTATTGAACATAAAGGATTGCATTTAGAAATTCGCTACAGTTCCTTGGCGGCTATTCTATTGGGAGATTTACAGTAGTAGTAGTAGTAGTGGATCAGAGCATTCTAGTAAATACATTCAGTAAACGCAACATTTAAGGCAAACGCGTTACCATTTGTCTTTTGTTGCTTTTCGTCACAGTTGCTAGCTTTTGTTTAACCATTGACAATATTATATTCCTTGAATCATGGCTGCTCGCGTTTCGCTGCGATTTCAGGTTCTTGCATACAAGAACTTTTTACCTTTAAGCCTTTTTACCTCCTTGTACAGGCCACTGTAGATCGTCAGAATGGCACCAAACGACTCCTTTCGACCAGTTCTCTTATGCTGACACTTTATTTCAATTTTTTTGGGTCGAAAACCGCTGACCAAATTTCACTCATTTTTTTTTCCATGAGTTACCATTCATGAATTTTTCCAAAAATCAGTCGATCACGTTTTTCACCCTCAAAACGACGGTTTTTTTTTACTATATGTATTAGTAACATAGAGACCTGGAAAGCTCGTTTATCATATACAATCGCTGTTTTGGGGAGTTACTAATACGAAATGCAACTTTTCGGCTAAATAAACGTTTTCTGTTATTGCCAATTCTAGAAATATTTTTTGGTGAAACGTAAGAAAGTTTTCAGTACCATTCGATAGGGAATTCAAAGTAGTATCCAAGACTCTTAGATGGCTACGTAGGTTGTGTATTGCCTCTGAGGAGCATTCATCGATAGAAGGGGGGGGGTTTGTCAAATTGAAGCCATGGTGCATACTTTTCATTTCCGTCGTATCCTGTATTTGAATTGGGTATTCAAGCACTACTGAAGAATGATCTTTATGCTTGAGCTCATCAAGGGAATTGGTAAATTAAAATTCAATGGTGGTGAACAGTATGGCTAATCGTGCCAAAACATGACCTCAGCAATTTGCTCTAGCTAGACGTTGTTGTTGTTTTTTTGTAACAATACGAGTTCCAGTCATTCTAGAGTCGCTTTAACAAAGGGATCCGCCAAGAGCAATGGAAAATTAATGCTCCATGCATTTCCCCCCCCCCCCTTCTATTCAGGGCCCTCATCTCCTCCAGGGCCAACCATCAACACACAGACTGTAGATCATAGTGATGTGATTAGTTGCACAGATCCATCTTTGTTGTTGGTGTTGACAACCTTTTTCCTGTTTAAAAATAGCTCTATAAACGTCTGTAAAATAGCATTTATATTATGTTGCTTATCTTTCCTATCTTCATTTCAAGAAGGTGAATATAGCATAGTAAAAAATGAATATGGCAGCTGTGACACAGCAAGAAGCAGAACTCCATTCACATGATGTTCTCTATATGATACCCAGCACCAAATATCAATTTGAAAGGGATGGTGAAAAGACGCTCTTACAAGACTATATGGGAGATGACATGCCAGCGAATACCAATCAAATCAATGGCAACGATATGCTGTCCTCTAGCCCACCTGCACTGACTCAGTTCCTTGGTAAGCATGTGCCAGTTCAATTGTACGACAACCCACCCCCAGCACTATCCATAACCAATGTACCATCTTCAACAAGATCCACTGGTAGATCTCGCTCGCTATCCACCAAAAAATCATCTCTGCGCAAGTCTTTTTTTCACAAGGTCAAGTCCTTCTTTTTGTATTCCAACAAGAGTTGAGGTTTTATTTTACAATCAGAACTGGGCAGTGAACGTGAGATTGTACGTAATCACTAAAACTACCCATAAAGAACCTGTTTTCATAACCCCAATTAGTTTACTGCATATCCTCAATAATAATAAAAAAAAAAAAAAGTGCATACCTCTTCCATCCTGATAGATTTCTGCTTCCCATGATCAAACAATCCATGGTCTTGGTATCCAGGAAATCAATAAGCACATTGCAGGCATGTGTGGTATCTGTCTTGAATACGTGTGTTTTCACTTGAAATCCTGCTGCTTTGATTTTATCCACTGCTTTGTCCATGGCTCTCATTTTTTCAAGCGTCAACTAGTATGATAAAATCAATATGCAAGCCTTATCTCATCATGCCGACACTCCTGTGGTACTCACCTCCTTTTCAATCGTCTCGAGCGAATCTGTAGGTGGCAGCTCAATAGACTCTGTCGTCTCTCAGTCAGTCCATGTGTGCGTCTTGGTACTGACGTATACAACTCACCTTGCTCACCAAACTCGCAATCCAGTACCATCACCATGATTGCATGAATCTCATCGGTAGGCCGCAGAAAGTTTTCAATGGCCCATTCTATCGTCTTGCTGGCTTCTTCTGATACGGGATCAATGGCAAGCGCAATTTGACGTGTTTTATTAGACATATTGTGAATATAGATTGAGAAAAGAAAGAAGGAAAAGAAGGCAAGTAAGTTCTAATGCTATCTAAATGCTCACTAAAATGATTGGACGAAAACGATTGTTTGGAATCACCTCTTTTTTTTTTTTTATTTCTGCTGTTTAAGAAGCGCCTTTGTATCTATGGAAACAAAAGATAGCCTAGAAGCGTTCCTTATAGAAACAAAAACGACCAAGAAGAAGCGCTTCTTGCACTGGCAAGCATGGTCCACTGAAATGAGCAGCGCCCTAATTTACATCCAACATGGATTCAAATCCAATCATCTATCTTGAGTTTCCTCTGCTACAATCAGACCAACAACGTGAGTGTTTATAGGTGATCTCCTGGACAATCTTGGAACAGCTGTCAAAATCCATAGTGTACGAAGCCTTTCTGTAGTTGGTAACGCTACTGTTCTTGATAGTCTCGTTTTGGCCAAATGGTTGTATGTGTTGCGAGTAGCTCCGTTTTCTCAAAGCGTTATACAAGCAATCTAGCCAATCTGTGCCAAATTTATACACAACGGCATCTTTCCCATCATTCCTTGGGCTACCTGGATCAAGCCGAAGCCATTAGGTATTTTGAATGTTGCACTGCAACAATCAGCCTTATATCTTGGTTGGGTTCAATCGCTCCTCCATCCCTCTGACTCGCCCCCCCCCCTACCCCCTCACATCTTAGATCTCATGCTGTAGAGAGTGTCGTCCCTGAGCTTATTATGTCTGCAAGAAAGCGTTGCTATGAAAACTAATTTATTTCTCTATGGTACAATACTACATGAATACGAGCACCACTATTGCTGCAAGACAGTGTTGCATTCAGTGATCGGTTGCTCCTGGCTTACAGAAACCTCCTTGTTCTCCTCAACAGTGACAGCCTCAACTGGCTGCTCCACAGGCTCAGAGCTGGCCGACGTCTCATCAATCCTCCCACTTGCATTCGTAATAGAAGCTTCTGTTTTATCCAGTATTGTCGGCACATTGGATTCCTCTTGCAATGATGGCACATCAACAGGCTCTCCTCCTTTACCAAAAAAGTTGTTATCCGTAATGTATCGCAAGCACTGTAAAATGACGCTCTTTTCCTGCATAATGTCCTTTTCCAGCAACTAGACGGCAGTATCAGATTTCCTGCTGCCAACAAATCACAGTGACTCAACTCACCTTGAACAAGAGATTAGGCCTCTTTTTAAACACGGGTGCATTCTTGGGTTGTTTGGGCCTGGGCTCAGGCTTTTCATGCGAAAACCCACACTCATCACCTCGTTTGCATTTACCCATCATGAAATACTTGCATCTTCGCTTCGGTCTATCCTCAGGCAACAAGATCTTTCCCATCGCAGATGGATCTTTGGATGAAATGGCGTCTTTTTCAGGGTCCATGGTATCATCAGAATCAGAATTCGAGTCGTATTGAGCATCTACCAGCGACGATTCCTCGGATTTACTCTTTTTGTTTTGCTGCTGCTTGTTTCTATCGTTTAATTTTCGCTTCTTGTTGTTCACTGGCAGCTCACCACGAGCCTCCTTTTCAGCCATCTCCTGTTCCTTTCTGACTATATTGTCTTTACTGGGCCAATTCTTCTTTCTAGCTGCGATCCATGCTGCTAATTCTTCAGGTGTATCAATTCGAGGCGCATTGGGAGGAATCACTCCATCGGGCCGAGATCTGGTTGAGTATACAGTGTTATCTTGTGTATGTGAAGTATGTGAATCAACCCAACTTACGGCTTTTTGTTGGTTTCTTTTCTCTCTTTTCCGTGCGCAATCTCTTCGTGCTCTGGTAGTGCTGATTTCAAACACATATGATCACAGCTTGGACATTGGATATGAAGTTTCTCATGTTGTGCTACTGCAACGGCACTTTTCAGCCATCGATTGCAACAAAATTTCGGCCTAGGGTTGTATAAATGACATGCATCAACAAGCAAAAATCTATACATACTTTTTTGGCGATGGATCACTCTCATTGACAGCTGTCTCTGTGGGTGGAGCAGCAGTGGCAGCAGTGGCGTTGGGATGCGTAATATCATTGTAGTTAATCATGGATCGCTGATCGTTCACAGCATAGTAATCGGCGTAATATTCTACAGGTGGATACTGCTCTTGTTGGCGATTGCTTCCAAGCGTATTCGAGATGGAGGCAGCAGCAAGGGCGCCCATTGCCTGTCGCTGTTGTGTCTGCTGTTGCAACTGATACATCATGGATGGCAGTGCGGCTGATGGATCTCCTTGTGGCACATGCTGTTGCTGTGGATAGTTGGTATAGTATTGTGGATAGTAGTATGGGTTGTAAGGGTATTGCGGTGGGTTGTTGTGGTTGTTATTGCCATCCATTTCTAAGCGTTTGAATTGATCAAAGAGAAAAACTTTTTTTTTTTTTTTTTTTTTTTTTTTTTTTTTTTTTTCCTTGCTTTCTTCGATATGTGGTTTCTTTTTTTCATGCTGGAGGTTTGAACGTCACGAAATGTCAGGGCAACGTTTGTCTGCTATCCAACATTAGATAGCATTGATTTAAAGGGGAGTTTTTACCGTAGCGAAGCAAAAGCGCAAAGCCATGGTAATCAGGCGTCTAATCCAATACTTGGTAACATTGATCTATAGAGGGGCTTGATTGCAGCGAAGCGAAGGTTCAAAACCATAGTGTTCAAGCAGCAAATTCGGTCACTCATTTCCGTTATTATCAAGCTTACCAGCAACATAGCGCATCAAAATTTGCATGAATCAGCTTTACCAAAATCAATATGCCTTCTATTCGAATCAGAAGTTGCACAGGCTGCAGAACTGCCCTTCCAGAAGATCTCAGCTACCAACGATGTGATCCATTCCGTGTAAATAAAAGCCATAAAGCAAAAACATAACCAGATTTGACAGCTTTCAAGCCTTCATACCTTGACATATAGACCTTTCTGAGCCACCGGAATGGTGCCAAACAATGGTACTTGAGTAGTAGTAACTTTCTGACGCCTTTGCTCAACGTTTTGGGGGCCTAAAAAACATGGTCAAAAATCGACCAAAAAGCATGAGGGGTACCTCATGGTTTTCATCGAAAATCAAACAATCGCGTTTTTCACCTTGAAAATAAATACTTTTACTATGGTATATATTCATCCAAAATGTTTCTCTCGATCCAAAGCAACTTCTGCAATCACTTTTATGAGGTTTTCATACGCAGGATTTTGACATCTTGGCCAAAAACCTTATTTCATATTCTCTAAAATTGCTCAATAGGTTCAGTCAAAACATCTATTTTACTTGGTACCATTGGAAGCGTCTTGAAAAGTACTCCAAGAATGTATTAGGAAGCATCGGATGTTTATTACAGTTTATATAGTCGAATATTACAAAACAGATTTTTTTTTTTTTTTAAATTGTGTTTATTGATTGAGCCGCGTACACTAAGAGTAATAGGTCAGAGTGAAGAGGCGGGTGCAATTGAGAAATGAAAAAAATATAAATATAAATGGAAACTAAACTAAACTAACAAAAGGAACTATCTAACTATCTAAATTACAAGAGGGAATGGATTTGATCTTCATCCACTGTCTGTCGGACAGTGGAGTGGATATGTACCAGAATCGCCTCAGGGACAAAGATAGTGCCGTCAAAAACAAAGCGCATATGGGCTAGCCATATTTGAGACAGGGTGATGAGTAGGATTCTGTATGGATGGATGCCTTTGACTTGGGAGTACCAGATATCTGAAAAGTCCAGGGACAGAAGAGCCTCTTTGATGTCAGTGATGGACGTGGTGGGCCATAGGAACTCAAAAATGACGCCTTGCCATACCTTTTCTTTGGATGGACAGTCAAAGAGCAGGTGGCTGGCAGTTTCATTGGGAGACAAGCAGACAGGACAATTGTGGGACTCGAAAAATGCAGGCATCATGTAGTGTAATCTGCTTCTAGAAGGGATACAGCCTGCGATGAATCGGTATATCACATTACGTTGAATGTAGGTAAGAGACAGGGACCAAAAGAATTTCCAATTAGCAGCAGAGACATTTTGCAAGACCAAGGGCTGTTCCACCGACGACAGTACAGACAGACGAAATGTTTTGGCGGAAGCCTGAGCGTTTCTAAGAGATTGGCCATCGTGCAGACAAAATTGATCCACCAGCGGCGCAAAAGAGACTCCAGGATCTACTACAGGGGCTGGATTACACACTGGGAGGAAGTAGGGCTGGAATTTAAGAGTGCCAGATGCGAGGCCTCTGAACACTGTTGAAGGAGCTCTCTTCCACCTGAGGAGGGAAGGGTCACGAGTGTCTCTCCAATGTACAAAGTTAAGCCGGGCATCGTACTGAAATACATCAGAAACCATCATCTCTTTGACTTTAAGAGGAACAACCAGTGAGGAGGATGGAGGAACATAGAAAGCCGCCTGTAATGGAAGAGCCATGGCAGTTGCAGAATTGATCGGTGCCGCATCAAACAACTTAGGAAGATAGTCAACTGTACGATATAACATATCGACAGTTCCCGTGCGTTGCTTTTTCAACCCCTTAGTACGACGAGCAGAGGGAAATAGCAGCGGGATTTGATGGTGGGGGTAACCATTAACATTGCGAATGTGGTAGCTTAAGAGGTACGACACAGGATGGGAATCTATGACATCTTGATCTTGAACCAGTAATGGGTGGAGCCAACGAAAATACAAAGCTGAAGCTTGTATTTGGATGTCTACAACACCGAGACCACCTTTGTCCTTTGGTAGAGTCCACACCTTCCAAGGGATGACGGGGAAGATGTTTCTTCTCAAGAACTGAATAGCCAGAGAACGCAGCTGCTTGAAGTCAGCTTGAGTCAAAGGCGTAACACGCAGGATGTACCATAGCTTGGAGAGCAAAAGAGAGTTCAGCACTGTAGCCTTTCCAACGACCGACAGGGAGCGACCAGAATGAATCTGGATGGCAGTTTTGATCTTTGTTACCAAAGCACCCATAAAGTGAACTCGCTGAATCCTACTTTGGACGAGAGGAAATCCCAGATAGGTCAACGGTTCATCGTCCTCAACAGAATGGAGATGTGTGATACCCATTTGTGATAATGGACCATCCCACATATCCCATGTATCCCGACCAGACACTGAAAAGGCTTCCACCTTGGCATTATTGAACTTGGCGTTGGAGGCAGCACAGTAACGAGCCATATGGAGCTGTAACCGAGTCAAATCATTGGAGTCATGGATAAACACCAAAGCGTCATCAGCATAGCACAGGAGTTTTGTTCGTGCAGTACCCATCAAGTAGCCTTGAAATTGGCGATCATGCAGGATTGCAAGCAGAAAAGGTTCAAATGCCAAGTTGTACAGTACAGGAGAGAGAGGATCCCCCTGCTTCAAGCCTCGAAGTTTCGCCACTTCAGTTGACAGATGGCCATTGATGTTGATACGTATGAGGTTGTCACCCATCAACTTGGAGATACACTTGATAATAGGGCGAGGAAACCCAAATTTCCCCAATACCTTCCTCAAATATTCCAAGTTCACCCGATCGTATGCCTTTTCTTGATCCAGAAGAAGACCGATGTCATAATCCAAAGTGTTAAAGGAAGGATCATTTTCCTGTTGTTCAGCGATGGACCATTTCCGTTGAGCATCTTCCATTAGGAGCTGGCAGATCATTCCATTTTCAGCAATGAATCGACCAGGAATAAACCCAAGCTGATGTCGGCTGATCAAGTTGGAAGAGACTTCCATGATTCGACGGTTGATATTGCGAGTGAAGAGCTTGTAGTCTGAATTAGCCAGAGACAGAGGACGGTAGTTCTTCATTTCAGCTGGATCGCCTTTCTTGTAAAGCAGACACATGACGGATTCGTTCCAAGATGGCGGGAACTTACCCTTCTTTAAAGCTTCATTGTAGACTAATTGGATGAGATCATGGAACGGTGGAAATTTCATTACCAAGTACAGGATTTCATAAGGTAATCCATCAGGTCCAGGACTACTCAAACGACGAGTCTGCTTGCTATCGGTCAAGAGTTCCTCCACATCAATCGGCATCATCAATGATTCCTGCTGCTCGCTGTTGAGCTTCAAATGACCTGGGATGTTGCGAATTATAACACTGAGGGAGGTTGAATCCAGAGCCTCCGGTGTGAACAGTGAGGTGTAAAAGTTGGTAGCAATGTTGGAGATGCTAGGTTGATCTTGACATAGATCGCCAGTTGTAGGGTTCCTGAGTTCCACAATTGAACGACGATTTTCTCGAGACACCACAGAGCGCTTCAGGAAGCCTGGAGATTTCTCACCATGTTCCCGCCAAAATTTTCCTGCCTTCAAGATCTCTATTTCTGCAAGAGAGTGCTGGAGAGATTGAATCTGTTGATTAACCGTGTCCAAGCCTTGAAACACCAAGCCTCTTGTCTTCTTATGCCGCATCATCTTGTTTCTCTTTGATAGCAGTCGGTGTAGCTGTTGTTTCCGCCAGTTCAAATCCTCCATTTGATACTGTTTGATAAACATCTTTACTTCGGCTTTGATCCAATCCCATTGTTGTTGGGGAGTGGAGAAACGCTTGATTTCTGCCAGACGCGCCTCACTATCAATGAGGAATTCTGCCAATGCCTTCCTAAATGTTTTGTTGCAAGCCAAGAACGGATTTGCCTTCCAGTTACCAGGGCCACGGCCATTCGCATCTTGATATCGAAAAGAGAATCCCAAGAGTTCATGGTCGGTCCAGGCAGGAGACAGATACTGCTGGTTGGTGCTAGTGACTAGATGATGGGCGTTTGAACTACAAAAGATGTAATCCAGAATCCCTGAATTGCTTCCACTATGCCATGTGTTGTGTTTGTCTTCCCCAAAAACGTCAATAAAGTAATCATCGAGTAGATCGGTCCATTCTACTGGTGCACTGGTGAGGGTGCCATCGACTCGACGATCCTTGTACTGGTAGTTGAAGTCTCCCATGATAAAGACGGTGTTTGTTGTAGTAGTAATAGTTTCTTTGACAATTTGTGTGCCAATGAGTTCTGAATAGAACGCTGATCGGTCGGTGTGAGCGGACGCACGACCGTAAATATTAAGTATTGTTGCTATTGGTGGTGAATTGGGTGAATTTTCCAGGTCTCGAGTAAGATGAAGGGAAGCCAAGATAAATCGACCCCCATCAATGCCTTCTGAGATGTGTTTGAGTGAGTAATGAGTGTTGAGGGAAATGATGCCGCAATGTTGAGTCCAAAGACTCGACTTGCAAGTAAATTGAGTGTTGAGTATGTCTATAAATGTGTTGTCTGTTGCATGTGTTTCTTGAAGCACTAAGATGTCATATCCTAATGTTCGAAGATATCTAATAAATTGTTGTCTTTTTTTGGTGTTATCTGTTTTTTTTAGGCCACGGCAATTGAGGGTGGCTATTTTCACTGTATTTTGCTGATTAATCATATTAATGTTGGGGAGGTGAAGGAGGGCCTGTCAAGCCGAGTTGATGTCCAGTCTCTACTTCATTAGATGCAGCTTGTTGTTTGGCAGAACTAACATCATCCGCGCCATTAAATTTACCGATCTTCTTCGCAGGGCGTTCAGGGCGCTCCTCTCGTTCATTAGCAGAATGGGTAGAAGAGTCGTACATGATAATATCATTGGAAGCCCCTTTCCCATCGACTTCTTTAACTTGGAGTTTTGGAAGATCATCCATTTGAACATCTCTATCAACTACCTGCTTTCTAGCACCTGTTTGACTATCAGCGTCACCTTGAGTGCTACCTTGCTGGGTAGCAGTAGTTCGATTATCGGAATCACCTTGGGAACCACCAGATGCAACATCCTGGCCTTTTCCTTGGGCATTACCTTTGTTTCCAACTGGAGCACCACCAGGAGTTACTTTGGAGCCACCCTGAGTACCCTTTTTACCCTCTTTGGCCACCTGAGAGCCCTTTCGGGGTTTGGCAGGAGTGTTTTCCACCGCACGGACCTTGTTTGGGCTGTCATTGCGACTGCAGTTCTTCACCACATGTCCAGTTTCATTGCAATGATGGCAGCGGACCCACTTCTTGTAGTCAGGACAATCAGCCCGACAGTGTTCAGAGCTCTGACAATTACGACAGAAAGCCGGCATTTGATCCCATTGGAGTAAAACTTTTCTTTGATCCGAAGCTGTCAAATCCCAGACAATGACACGACTGAGTTTCTCCAAATGGCGATGACCAGGGCAAGATTTCCCAACGGGATGTAACTCTTGACATTCATAACCAGGGCTGGAAGGAACCGTTAGATTAAGTGTAGCATAACCTTCTCCTTGATAGATCCCATCAGTTCTCGAGATGCCGTGATCCAAGACATCCCCGAACGCAGAAAGTCGGGCAGCCATTTCCTCCTTCAACTGAAGGGCCGGCAAGAAAGGAAGATTCTCCAGGGTCAGTTTCACAATCGTAGCATCAGCATGGTACGAGGCAAACCCTTTCACAAAGGTGCCATCCTCTAGAGTGATACCTTCTTCAATGAGAGTCTTACGACCTTCGCTGTTGGGCAGCCACATGGTTTCCAAGAAGGCATGGTTGAGGTAGTGTCGAGGTTGTTTCCGGTATCCAAGAAATTCTTCATACATGTCTTCAGCATTAGAGGCTTCGTTGAATTGAAGAAGAGCCTTGTTCAAGAGATTGCGATCCTTGATAGGTGTCAGATCGATGAAGACGGAATCCTGTTCCACGCCTTTGAGGAATGGACGGATAACCGCCTGAGGAGGTGGCGAAGTATCCCCATTGATGGCCTGTTGCGAGGCCTCTGCTTCCGTTACAGGTCGTTTGACGATAGTGGGATTGAAAGAGACGATGGATTGTTGTTGTCTGTTGTTCCCTTTGCGGCGTGAGTTAACCACATGAGTCCACAACAGTGGAGCCGCAGTGTCAGCTTGCGAGGAACGTTGATGTACTTGACTAGTGTCTGACATGCGAAAAGGGATGACAAAGTAAAATAGATTACAGAATAGATTGACAAAACAGATTTAAAAAGTCGAAAAGAAAACAAAATCTGTCCAATCTTGAACAGAAAAAAAAATAAGCTGAGCTTGAATCGATTTTGGCAGCGGCATTGCTACTGGCTGACCTCAATGCCTTTCTTAACATGGGAAATTACTGCCAAATTTCGTAGTGATTTGCCTGTTTTTCATTAGTCTAAGAGGCATTGCTGGTATGCAGTCCAACCGAATATCAATTGTTCCCATCAATGCAGGGCAGAGCACTGTAGAAGAGCCAGATGCACTGCTATGGAGGCCTCTCACATGATTGTGGTACGTTGAAAAGCGAAATTACAGTATTATATGGAAATGGCAAGTGACCATAACGAGAGATGACACACAATTCACTGGTAGCCAAGGCTAGTCTAAAGCAAAGCCAGGCTTGGCAAGTACGCACGTTATTACATGTTGAATTTTGATCATCTCTATTTCATAAGCCCATTTAGTATATGCAGCATTTTTGCAAAGGATGATTGTAGAGTTATGAAAGAATAGCTTCGGCTTGTTTCCAAAATAAGAATACATTTTTTTTTTGCCATGTATACATCATCTCTTATGGATCACATAGCACAAGTATTCTTTAATAGGCTATTTTGGTCCAAGCCCTTTTTTTTTTTTTTTTTTTTTTTTTTTTTTATCAAACACACCACACTTTTATTCAAATGATGAAAGGGCGGGAACCCAGCACTTTTTCTGTTACTCGATGGTTATACATGACAACAACAAAGAATCATTTCATTTAGTTTAAACATGATCAAGTGTGTGTGTGTGTGTACTCTATCCAGATATACCCTCCTTGTTGTCAATGCGTTATTGTTCTTTTTGTGCGTCCAGAGTAATTTGCTTGATAATGGCACAGACTCTTTCTTTGAAATGCATGGGTGTGATGACTTGATTCAATTCGAGCATATACACTCTCTTGTCTTCCAGCTCTTGTGGTGTAGCCGTAGTCGATAGTTTGAATTCAAGATGGGAATTCAACAAGCGTACAGTGCTATAGATTCAATGTTGATATCATTAGCGAATCACAAGAGTAACACACACACACACAGTCGTCATGACCTATAAGACTTACATGGTTCGCCAATGAGGAATGCTCTGCTGCTGCCACCAAATGGAGCCGTGAATAGCCTCATCTACCTGATCGACCTGCCATAATTGCTGGCTTTTGATCATGTCATTTGCTACATCACACACTGTACGCAAACAAATGACTTTAATCTCTCGTGATAGAAAAGCCTCGAATTCGGATACGTTCTGAAGTACAACCGTTGTTTGTGGAAGGCACACGGAAATGGAACCCGATTGACTTAGGTTGAAATGTAAAGATGGGCTATAATACAAATGTGAGTTTGGGGGGGGACTATGCTCTCTCGTTACATGGCATCATCATTATCTAATCGTGCTTCCACATTACCCTCTTAATATAGCGAGCCCTAAGCACAATGCCACTTGTCCATAACCAGGATAGGTATCGTAGGGTCTTGTCTCCTTGTTGCTCACTTGACTGGAGTGGCTGTCGTCTGCAAATGTGTAATGTACCGTCATCGCTAGATTGCGGTATTCGCGGATGATTTTGTTGGTGACATGTCTGATTCTATCGAACTGCACCCAAAATCGCGTGAGAGATATGATTGGCAATAGGATGGGAATGTGCTTTGGAAGATCACGAGCAGTAGCAGTTGCACTGTTGTTCGCAGCCATAGCAAGTCTTGTCCGTGCACGACTAGTAGCGGTGGATACGGAACCGTTTGTTCCGACGACGGGTAGCACATTACCAGAAGTAGCAGTGGTGGGGGTGGGAGCTGGTGTTCCAGTCGTACCATTGCCAGATTGAGTTGGTGTAGGTGCATTGGTTGTAGCAGTAGGAGTAGCAGCCGAGGATGCAGTGGATGCAGCCACAGCCGTATCACTCAGCAATTGGTGGACCTTGTGATTGCTGGACAAGATCCTTGCCTTGGTCTTCCATAGGTTGAATCGTTGGTGTTGCAAGAGCAGCAGTCGAAAGGACAAGTCAATGGATTGACTGATGATCTGCTGCGATGTGAGTTTGTTGGCACTGGATGCTTTGTTGGGTGCCGAAATGACAGGCACTTTAGAGACATGCAGATCGATTTGGCCATCAATGTTGATGACTATTTCGTCGTCGGGGAATCGCACATTGCTACTCAATGCCTGAGCTTCAGCTAGAATATCCGAGAACAGCTCAGCGTCAAACACCGTTGAATGTGCCTCTGCAAGTTGATTCTGTATTTTGCTGTGCGATGTCGTGTTGGAGTAGACTATGAATTACTGCATTTAGCATGTTGTTTACACATGCTACTCTCTGGGTATTACCTTTGACTGCATGAACCCCCTCTTTTCCTTGCTTTAAAGTGCTCCTCTCCTTGTCTTCCTGATCTGCATATGCACCTTCTCCTTCCAAAATACCCAAGATGCCTTCCGAGAAATCATTTTGACCGCCAAGCCCTAGTTTGCCCATATGGCTTTGACTGATACGCACTGCCACTTTGCGACAGGTACCATGTGGAAGTGACATTTGTAGCAGATTCGAGCCCTCCTTCTCATCGCCGTCCTCCTCATTGGAACGTTTCAACTCGCCCACGGATTGCTCGTTGAAATCAGAGCCCACTTCGGTATATCCATACTGCACAAAAAAAGAGGTGCCCGCATTGCTATTTGCTTGCATGTGCCAATTGTTTCTACGCAGATCCAATGCCTCATCCCAAAACACTTGCTCCTTTTCCACAAGACGCTTCAATGCTGCAGCGCTCTTTTTGAGGAAATCGGAAGCCTGCTTCTGTTTCTTTCTCTTCAAGCCGAGGTTCAGCTGCACTGACTCAAGCTGTGCTTTGGTTGTCTGCTTGGGTTTTGTCACGTAGGTAGCGGTCAGTGATCCAGCAGGTAAAACGAGGTCTTTGACAGCGGCTGACGAGGATCCACGATTGCCTGCTGCTAGGATATTGATGACATCCAGAGCCACGTCAATCTCACTCTTGGCATGAAACAGCTTGTTGATGACAGACTCTCGTAGTTTGGCAATATCGAATCCAGGCGGTAATGATTGCGACGGTAGCGCGTTCTCTGTGTGCACCTGTTGCTCCCCGTCTTGCTCCTGCTCAGGCTGTTGTTGGCGTCTTTGGATGGAAGCCATGAGTGATTTCTCTGAAATGTCCTTCCATTCGCCTCTTTCAAACCAAATGCGATCTACGGATTGCATCAATTTTTCTGGCAACGAGGTGTCTCTGCAAAAAAAAAAAAAAAACGTGTTTAGTGAGGGTGTTCTGTATTCACATGCGACATGGACTCATGTTACGTTTTCAAAATTTCTTGTCCTGCATTTGTAATATCAACCACATTATTGTCAATGGCAGGTTCTAATGATAGTTTTATTCTCTTTTTAATAGGTTCTTGACTCATATTTAATATAAAGAAAAATGAGGAATAAGAAAAGAGGGGGGGGGGAGGTGAAAAGGGGTAAGAGAAATTCAACAAAATGCGTTCTGCCTACAGTGTGCAACCATTAAGAAGGACACTCTATCAATCGAGTCACAGCATAGTAAGAGCAAGTAGTAAGTATATCTAATCGTTTTTACATTGTTGGCATTCGATGGAGCCAAATGCGATGCTAAATAAGCCATGATATGTACAGAGTCGAAAGCATCTCTCACAGTATTCTTCAGCGTCAATGGAGAGAGATCGGTTGCAAATGGGGCACTGCCGCCTGCAGTGGGAACATTTCCAGCCACTGTCTAGCTGTCTTCCACATTCACAGATGGGTGCTGTGTTACTATCTTGTTCATCACCGTCATTGGCATCCTCCTCCGCCTCCTCCTCCTCTGATTGATAATGATGATGATGTGTGTCATTCCCTGGTTGCTGGTCATCCGACGGCAATGACGGGACATGGCATAGGTCATCCTCTTCGTCTGGAGACGGTGTGTCTGAGGTGATGGCAGACAACGTGGATGCCTTGTTGCTGTCATCCGTAGTCTTTGTGTTAGCGTGTATGTCTCTGCTGAATCTAATCATTTTAATAGCATATTGAGTTATCCCAGGACATGGAAGAAATTACCCCTTAATACTCGAGTGGCATTTATATACTCTGTTATGCAATGGAAAATTCATTATGGATTTTCTAGCACTGATTGGATACTGCTAGAAGAATTCGTTGACACAATAGGTCTTTTCTATTGTGAAGGATGTTGAAACTCCACCAATGACCCTCTTGAGTGTTTGTAAGGCGATTTACATGAAATCATCCAACATTGGAGATGCAAGAGAAGTGTTGTTGTACACAGACATTTTTGCCCTCTGCTTTGGGAATTAGTGCTGCTCTGACCCCTCCCCCCCCCCTTTTTTTTGACTCTCGGAAATGCCATACCGATGAATGTTGTTGTTATTGTTGCTCTCTGACACTATAGAAACAATGCTATAGCAGCAATTTGATACAAAATGTAGAAAAAGAGAGGGGGTTATATATGTGGATTGAATATGTTTGCAATTCCATACTCTCTCTCTCTCTCTCTCTCTTCTTTCTTTTTGCTTCTTACATACATCTTGCTATAAATTACAACATGGTACAAGACAACAGCAATAATGAGAATACAACCATCACACACTCGGATACAGAGATTACTGTCATTGGAGGACAAGCCCTGTCTGATGAACAACAGGAGAAGCAGGAAAAGACCCAAATGCCAGAACCTGTTTATATGCATAAATCATCAGATTTCATGTATAATAAATCGGCAGCAACCATATCAACACGTCAACTTGGTTGCATGTCAAATTACAGCCTTGAGATGCACCCTCGTATCATCACTAAAGATGCATCTTACTCTTTTATTTGGCTTGATGAACAATACAAGAACATTGAAACCTCAGATATGGCTGCTGCTGCTACAGCGAAACGGCATTTTTTCCATACGCGAGGGTTCTGTAACCTGTTTACTATACTGTTCATCATTGCCATCATCCTGTTCTTGTTCATCTATCCGTTTGCTACCTTTTTTTTCAAATGATTCGAATAGAGTAGTAGCACACTGTTGGGGGGGGGGGTCATTTGCAATTTATGGAAAATCAATAAAAAACAACGCTAATTTTGGGTTCAAGCTTCGGTACCTTCGCTTCCGTTGATTTTGTTCATGTACGACATGTTTATATAAAACAAATAAAATACGAACGTATCACAAGAATTGCATATAACTATACTAGATGGACCCCTTTTACAGTGGTTTACTATAAAGTCTAATTAAAAAGCCTTGAAAAAGTATAAAAAGACCATTGTAATTTTCTTTGTTGTTGGCCAACATTTCTTTTTATTTTTTTTTCTATACATCCACTTGCTCTCTCTCTCTCTCTCTGTTTCTACATAGTTATATATAAATATATCATGGACTACGATTCCGACTCAAGCGACTTTCATTTCCCCTCAGATACTGGATTAGCCAAGCTATCATCGCCTCTGTCCTTCAAGATCCCTGAATCAAGAGATTGGGCACTGGATGAATTCATGCAGACATTACAAGATAAACCCTGTACAGAGGCAGAAAACTTGCTCAGTTTCAAGCAGTACATCCCAGTGCAAAATGAAGAGGATGAAGACGAAGATGACGAAGAAGATGATTTCCTCAATTATGAGCCACCCAAATTATCACTACCCACATTAGAGGAAAAGGACTTTTTGTCACAATTATCGCAACATTTCCTGAATCTGGAGCGCATTGAATTGCATGATATCTTGAAGGGCGGATTTACATTGGTACAAAACGACATTCAATCCAACAATACACAAAATTACAACCATACAACACACATATCCTCGCCACCTGGTCTTAGCTGGTTTAATGAAGCAGTGGATTATGGCAGACATGAAATTGATAACTTAGACACAATAGAAATTCCAAAGCGCAAAAACAACTTTAGCCCATTCGAGCAAATGGCTTCAGCGGGTGGTCGTCATGGTAACAACAAGAATGCTACGACGGTAGCATCTTTCTCCATTTGTTCCGAGCAGCAAGAAATTACAACAGTTGTATCACCTCAAGTTGAAAAGCCGTTACCACCATTACCACAATCCACATCATTGCCATCAGCAGCACCTACCACCACCACCACCTTTGTTATTACCTCAAATAGCAGTAGCCAGAAAAAGAAGGGGCTCAAATATATACTTAAACAGTTTGTCAAACCTTTCAATAAATCAACAGCAGCAACAACAACATCGGAAAAGCCAAAAAAGTCCTTTATCAAGAATACAAGAAAGCTTATACGCAACATCTTTTAAGCTTTTTTTTATATATATATATAATCTACTGTACATAGCCCTGCCGTATTGTAATTTTCTTGGTGTGTCTCTCGCTTCTCCTCGTTGCCTCTCTCTCTCTCTCTCTCTCTCCTATTTCATGACAAGATTGATAGGTGGATCAAGTTACGATACTCCTTTTTTTTCCCTTTACTCCTTTTAATGTAATATAATCTAATTATTCCCAACCGTACCTTTTTTTTTTTTATACATTACACACACCAACTCATAACGCACACATCCAAACACAAAAAATCTTAACTCTCTCACACACACACACACATACTCCTTCCCTCATCATACAAACAAATACGACCTTTTTTTTTTTTTTTTTTCATCCTGTTCTAAATGGTCATTGTAAACAGATTTCCATTTTGAATGTTTGTCAGATCGAGAATGATATAGAGTTATTGTAGACGTTGCAGAGAAAAAAAAACAAATCCAATTCATCTATCCATATAAAAAAAAAATTGAATGTATACATTCTTTTTTGTAACAAATAAAAAATCAAATGATAAACAAACCAAGGCACTTTAGCGATGCTGGAACGATTTTTTTTAATTACGTGTAATGGTTTAAGGTTTTTTTTTTTATTTACTACCAGGAAGAACTCTTCTGCGTTTATTCTGTGATGCTGGAAGTGGTGTTGGTGTGGGCGAGGGAGATGATGCTGGCGCTGGTCTCTTGTTGGTATGATAGCTGCCATCATCATTGTCATCGTCACTGGAAATTGTATAAGCTGCCTGAGAAGATGTACCTCTGCCATGTCGTGCTCTTGTTGCCCTGGGTGCAGCAATAGATGGAGATGCATCCTCTTGTTCATCACTCTCCACTGGATCTTCTTCTTCTTCCTCCTCCTCCTCCTCCTCCTCCTCCTCTGAGTCTTGCTGAATTCTTCGTTTGCGTTGTCTACTTGTGGCGGTACTAGCAGTTGCGCTCGAACCTCTTCCTCGACCTCTTCCGTCTTGTGTACTACTTGCGCCTCGTGTGCCTGTTCCGCCTCCTCTACTGCCTCTGCCTCCGCCTCCTCTACCGCCTCTGCCTCCGCCTCTGCCTCCGCCTCTGCCAGCTGTAATTGTTGTATCTAATGTTGTTCGCGATTGCAAAGATTGAGATTGTTGTGATCGTAACGGTAAAGCCATAAGGTCATCATCAGAATCATTGTTGACATGAGTTGTGCTACCTCGCATCTCCTGTGTGGGTGGTACGGCAGTTCTATATTGACGCCGAGGCTGATCTTGGCTCTCTTTGGACTCGGCCGATTTGCGTTTAACATAGTCTAAACTAAGATCCTCTGGTATAACGGTAATGCTTGCGCGTGTTTGTGCAACTGATCTTGTAACAAAGGTGCGGATGGCTTCCTTGTCACTTTTCTCCACAAGCGACATGACAGCTTCCTCCAAACCTGTTTCTGGCAGAATCAGCAAATCACGAGACAACAGCTCACTCACCAAATCCTCGACGCGCAAGGTGTCCAATCTTTCTGGAATAGCCATGCTCAAATCAGAGATTATATCAGAAGGTTTTACATTGGCATTAGCTCGTGTTTGAGCACGCTGGAATTTGAGAATGTCTTTTGGATTTGCTACCCTGTCGATAAACTTTTGTCCAAACTGTTGAGGATTAAAGGTTTCATAACCACCAGAGTAATCCACTCGGATGCGTACAAGAGGCATCGGCATTTCCATATCAGGGTCCTCCAAGGGTAGATGGTACGGGCTTTGTTGCTGCTGTTCTTCCCAGGCGTATCTAGCCTTTTCAATCAAGGACTCAACGACTCCCTCCAAATAGGTTTGTATGGCTTTGGTGTCTGAGCGGTTGAGTCCCTCTACGCGTGAGAGGATCACTGTGGCAAACTGCAACGGTCGTGTTGTCTTGAGTCGAATCTTGTCCAAGCTGAATTCACTGCCCTTGATAGTCAACAATCCAACATGCTTCGGTTCAGCCTCTCCCTCACTTAAACTCGTGGCGACGGACGATCCAGGCTGGATAATGTCAAACTTTTCATATGACTCTGGCACAATACGGCATTCGTGCTCGTGACCCCAAAATACAAGATCAATAAAGCCATCAATGAACTCTTCAGGAATGTGAGATGTTGGCCCATGACGAGCTCGGTTTTGATGAAACACAAACAAATTGAAGCAGTCGTCGGCTCCTCTTACAAAGTTCACATGCCCAGAACGCCATTGTCGATGCAAACGCTCGTCTCTAATGTTTCCCAATCCATACAATGCTAACGAACTATTCCCTTTTCGCATGATGATGGGGTGTATCTCGACGTCTTGAATGCTTTGTGATGCGCCAAAGTAGTTGACCAGACCAGACACTTGCAACAAGTTCAATGCGCACAGATTGCCTACACCGGACGGATCATCGTGGTTACCGTGAATGCTGAATACAGGCATCTTGACGTTGAAGTTGTCATCCAGGTAGTTGGCCTTGCAGAATTCGTCTGCGAAATTGATAGATTGATCGCTGGAAATCCAAATCTTGCTCGTACGCTCACCTAAACAATGACGACGTAACATCTTCATGGTTTGATACAAACAGGATCTGGTAGGACGGTTGTGATGAAACAGGTCTCCTCCTAATAGTACGAAATCCACTTGCTCAATCTCGGCTATTTGCAATATCTCTTCAAACGTTTGAAACGAATCCTGGCCTCGAATAGGATCTCTCTCGAGATAGCCAATGTGGTTGTCTGTTGCAATCAGGATCCTGAATGTATCTTCATCGTCTTCGTGGTGGGTGCCTGAGGATACTCTTGTTGTTGACGTCCATGATTCCTGTGACATTGTAGGATGGGTATTGTTTGTGGAGCAGACAGCAAAAAAAAACAAAGAAAGCCCGTAGTAAAGGGGTTTGATTGGGATTGAAAATGAAGAAAGGCTGTATACGCGACTGGAAGCATATCGTGTTTCCCTTTCACATTTAGCCAAATGACATGTAAACTCAGCTTGTATGGAGATGCTTGTGATAAATCATAGCATTGCTGCGTCTCTAAAGAGAGAAAAGAGAGAGAGAGAGTGTGTGTGTGCGGTAGGCAGGGCAGTGTGTAAGGAGCATTTCTTTTATGTGCTGTAATGAAATCAATGTTACAAAATGATTCATTCATACCCCACATTTGGGCAGGCATGAATGTGGATCACCAAATGTACATTTTGATGTATACATTATCTAGGGAGGCTTGTTTTTGTAAATACGCTCAGCCGGCTAGAGAGAAGATAACATGACCCCAATGTTGTGGAAGAATAGCCAGAGCGAATATGTCCTGTCAATCAAACAGCCATCATCTTATGCCAGGTCATATAAGCGAGCTCTCATGTAGAGACGTAGCCCATTTCTTATGGATGCCGCTACACATAAATAAACGGCACGGCAGAATGACATTGCATCCGCTTTATGCCTACGTAATCTAAAACACTTGGATGATATCAGCATTGGTATCTGGATGTGTCTTATTCAATCTCAAGTATCCACAGCGTCAAGACACTGGACATGCTACTTGTCTTTTTGTATTATATGGAATATGAATCAAGCACAACCAATGCTCGAAGCGGTCTGCATATCACATATACATGTCTGATTGAAGGTGAGCAACCATTGCTTCATCTCAATTTAGCATACAGAATTCAGCTTCATTTCTCAAATATGCCGATCCCATGCTAACACCATCTCGAGAATAACAATATCAAATGCTTATCATCTCCTCTGAGAGTATGCATTCACTTAACATTTAAGACTGTAGTGTGTCGAGTTGATCTGATCTTAAAGAGTCCCATTTTTAGTGGCAAATGGGCACAAGCTAAAATGGAAAAAAAAAAAGAGAAAAATTTGAGACAAGGGCCCTCACGCACACTGGGCAGAGACTACTGAGCGTAGAAAAAAAAAAAACTAAAATATTTTCGCTTTTCTTCTCTTGTTTTTTTTTTCTCATACAACAACAAAATATATAATACACAATGGTTAAACTCGAGGAAGTCTCTGCTGATCAATACGAAGAGGTTGAAGTTTTGAGCGAGGAGGAAGATTACTCTGATTTCTCTGATGATGAGTTTGATGACGAGGATGAATCTCTTTTGGACAGAATCACCGCTTTAAAGGACATCATTCCTCTCAAGCACAGAAACAGACTCTCCAACAGTGTCTCTACCTTGAGCTCTTGGGGTAAGACTGGCGCTACTTTTGTGGGCAAGAGTGCTTGGGTTATCACTACTTCCATGTTCTTGTTGGTTTTACCCTTGGCTTTGGAGATTGAAAAGGAGCAAGCTTTGGTTGCTTATGAAAAGGAAGCCATGCAGCAACAAGGAACACAACAGGTAACGTTAAGCTCTTTAAAAAAAAAAAGAGGAGAGACAGAGACAGAGTGATACTGATGCCTTGATGCTTAGATGTTGGCTGCTGGACAACCTCAAATTCCTGGACAACCTCAACAGCAACCTCAACAACTCAGAGCTCCCGGCTTCTAAATGTCTATCAAAATTAGCTAATTGAAAGAACAAATATACACACTTTTTCGACTTTTATTCAATCCAACACAATCCAACACAACACAACACACGCAAATCTATATATATATACATGTGTAGCTTCTTCTTTCTTTCTTTCCTTATGATTATGTTTGTATATAAGAAAAAAGAGAAAAATAAAATGTTAGAGTAACAAAGCATGCACATGGGTTTATCAATGTCAATTTCGTTGAAATGACACTTGAATTTGTCATTCTCGTGAAATAGGCATGATGAGCAGAACCGAACGTGGTTCAAGTAGAGCGCAGCGAGTGTAGAGTCTGGACAGTAACTACGATGAAGTAGATGCACTAGACCAAACGAGAAGGTGGGTAAGGTTCTTTTTGAGGGCATCTTGAACGAACAACGCCTCTCAGAACCTTGATGAAAGCTTCATTTGGCCAGAAAAAGCATCCTAAGCATCACAAAAGGACGAGTAATAACAAAAAGCGCCTTGAGATCCTAGTGTGTCAGTAAGAAAATTTCTTTGCTTCATTACGATTCCATTCTGTCATTGGGTGCACCAAACCAGCTAGAGAAAATGACAGCATCTGACAATAAGCGAATGTGAGTGCATGAAAAGCAACAAAGGCAAAAAGTACAAGACGTGTGATGGAGCAAATGCCCATTTGATCATGCACTTTAGATCAATGATAAAAATGCTGAGCTATCATACTGGCCGCATTTCACATTATTAGGAGCTGTATTTGGATTCGCATTTGGCAACAGCTTGATTTAATAGCAAGAACCATACAATAAAGAGACAGACTAACCAATAGCACTATCTCGTATTTACAATACTGTATCCTTCCCTTTATTAGCTTCAGAAACATCGTTCATCCTTTCAAGAAAGGCAGCTTGCCCAGCCAAAATCGATTCATACGCCGCTAATCGTTTGCTGCTCTAGATTGGCCACGCTCTATTCAACTTTGACTCGATTGATCTATTTTGCTAGATTCGACTATACAAACTGTGATCATCATCATCCTACACGCTCTACAACATTCTTAAAGTACTTTCTGAGGCGCATCGGATGGCAGTAAGTACATTTGGAACTTTTACTAAACTTAACAAGCAATCTGTGAAACTATGATTTGACGTTTTTCGCAAAAATGTCGAAATTTCACATATGAAGCTCTCGCAAACAAGATTTCCGGGGCTGCGTTGGATCTAGAAAAGTATTTTAATCTGACATGTACTATAGTAAAAGTTGTCCTTTTCGAGGCGAAAAATGCGATCGTTTGATTTTCAATGATTTTGACAAGGGGCACCTCTTGGTTTGGAGACGATTTTAGGCGATCCCAAAAAAGTTGGACAAAGGTGCCTGGAAGTAAGTGCTAGGCGAAAGCAGTGATTTGACGCTATTCTGAGGGTCTAAAGCAGCTTACAACACGAGAAAATGCAGCATAAATACATCTAGTTTACGCTGTGTTTTAGATACTTTGAAGTAGTAAGAGGCACTGCATGTATGCTGTCTGCCAGTGGATTTTTTCATGAAACGCCGTGTAGTTTTAGAGTATGTGATCACTGAGTGAAAAATCGCAGCTATAATATGATCATTGCATTCATTAGTTTCAAGCACATTCACTCGAGCATTTTATTGCATAGTCAGACTCTTGAGTAGAGTTGTATTACACTGTACGAGCCTTTCGACACTTGGGGTGGTTTCCTGACCTACGCTTCGCTTCGGTGGAAACCAACCTATGTTGAGACGGCTCGCGCTGCCACGGGTGTTTGGCTAATATCGCAAAATTTTTATAACTAAAATGTTAGAAGAACCTTGATTGTTGATTGATATATAATCACTAATCATATGAGTGTTTATGCTTCGGATGGCTCTTTATCTTCGCTTCGCTTTCGTGAGAAGCAGCCTGCACAGCGGCAGCTCGAGCTACCGATTGCCCTTGCTGCGTAGCTTATTAAAATACTACTACTTTCATGTTGACCCTCTACTTACACATGAAGACCCTTCATATTATCTGTGGATCTGATTTTTATGTAATGCTCTACATCCATGTATACGTAACTACTCTGTATACGGGCAAGCAGCGTACCGGTATTTCCTCTTTTATTCCTTAGTGTCCCTGATACAACAAAACCTGAGTGTATCTGAGCTGCTTTTTCTTGCGTTCAGGACCGTTTTAGATGATCAGAATAGCACCAAACAATTGCTCTCATCTAGCAGTTACTTTCTGACACCTTTGCTCAACTTTTTGGGAATCAAAAAAACATAAATGAAAATCGTCTCCAAACCATGAGGTGCCCCTTGTCAAAATCATTGAAAATCAAACGATCGCATTTTTCGCCTCGAAAAGGACAACTTTTACTATAGTACATGTCAGATTAAAATACTTTTCTAGATCCAACGCAGCCCCGGAAATCTTGTTTGCGAGAGCTTCATATGTGAAATTTCGACATTTTTGCGAAAAACGTCAAATCATATTTTCACAGATTGCTTGCTAAGTTTAGTAAAGATTCCAAATGTACTTACTGCCATCCGATGCGCCTCAGAAAGTACTTTGAGAATGTTATAGAGCGTGTAGGATGATGATCACAGTTTGTATAGTCGAATCTAGCAAAATAGATCAATCGAGTCAAAGTTGAATAGAGCGTGGCCAATCTAGAGCAGCAAACGATTAGCGGAGAATGAATCGATTTTGGCTGGGCAAGCTGCCTTTCTTGAAAGGATGAATGATGTTTCTGAAGCTAATAAAGGGAAGGATACAGTATTGTAAATACGAGATAGTGCTATTGGCTAGTCTGTCTCTTTCTATGGTTTTTTGGGATACAGTTGTTGTCTTGTTCTTCGCTTGGGGCTTATGCGCAAACAATGCTCTAGATCTTCACTTTGTCAAGAAAGCTTCTAATGTAAGCTTTCACCTAATCTATCGAACTGTCAATCGTTTGTTGCACAACTTCTAGCCATCGTATGCAAATTCATAAAAATGTCAATGCATACGATGCATATATGGAGCTATAGGTCATTCCGAAATGTCAAATTATGCTTGTTTTTGATTAAAGAATAAGATGCTCGAACCAAATGCTGTATCAACAGCAAAACGGTATCAAGTAGCTCTCGGTGCCTGACAACCGCTCAAGTCCTTCTTACACAATAGTAGGTAGGGTGCAACTATATATCATGCTTTAATGAATAATCTTGTTGGCTTAGAAGTTAATGCACCTGCCATTGATCTGTCTAATCAACAAGAGCTGTACTTGCTGTATTATAAATGTTAGGCTATACATATACGTTGGACGTGGGACAGGACCTGGCATCCGTAGCAGGTGTATGGAGACAGACCCATTGCATATTAGAGACACTCGTGATAACCGGCCCTGTTCAACTTGAATTTTGTTTATAAAATACATAAAGTGTGCATGTGCCTAACGGTAATCCCAGTCGTTTGTTTGCAATGAGAAGCGTACATCAAGTTTTATTTGTTTATGAGATTTTAGGTGTGATGCTTTGATACAGATACATGCATCATAAAGGATTCCCATCTTGTGATTTTTTTTTCTGTGATAGTATGTACATGGGTATGGAAACGAAATGAAAAGTATCTTGAGATGAAATACGGCGCGTATATGAAAAAAAAAGAAGTATAAATGGGACATGACGATGGCAATTTAAGCTTCAATAGTCTACCAGAGGTCTCCGCATTGACCTTGATCTTCGAAATAAGCTGGCATATTCTATCGCACAGTTGCATCAACAAACAAAGTTGGCATATTTTTAAGCTATAACCTGATTTACCTGATAAGACTCCTCCCATTCAATGAGTTGGCTGTAATCCTTTACAGTGCCAGCTTCAAACATCTCTACCAAGCTCTGCATCTCAATTGAATCCGTGTCTGTACTACATAAGGGCTTGTCTGAAGGCATAGACGGATTGCTTTCCATGTATTGCATACGGGCAATAAATTCATCGTTGTAAGATTGAAGTTGAGCATGTAGGTCATTATACGCTTCCTGTCTCAATTTGTAAAGATACCCTAGCTTCTCTGCGTCTATCTTTTGGGTGTCTTTTTCATGGTATGATTTCATATGTTGATATCGAGACTAGTGTATGTGCATGAGCATCATGATGTAGTTGCTTGAAAATATATATATATATATACACACACACACACACAAACCTTTGATTTACATGAATTTTGCTTATTCGAATGTCTCTTGTAGTATGTTGGCTTGGTGGTATGCTTCGATAGTAATGCCATTTTCGTAGGGTATTCCGCAGCACTATACTTCATCTCGAATATTAGACAGGAAAGTAAAAGAAGAGTAATGCAAGCTTCCTGTCTGTGCTCCCTACCCTTTTATATGCCCATTCTATTGGTGACAATCGTGACTCTTGGATCAGCCTTGAACTAGACTGAAATTGTATCAATTCTTATTTTTGTCATTTCATCCAAATACATAAACAATGCCTGCTGAAAAGAAGAAACCGAACGCCAAGATGACAAAGCTATACAGCCGCACCAGATTCAAGAAATCAATTGAAAGTGGCCTCGATGGAAAGCAGATCATTGGAGATACTGACATCCTTGTAATATTAATGAGACACTGTATTTCAAACCTGTGAAAAGCTTACATGTATCTAGATGTACATGAATTTTTTGATGTTTCTAGAGAGATTAGCAAAGAATTCTGAAAAGGCTGCAGATGAAAGAGGATCAAGCAGAGTCAATACAAGAGATGTCAATAAATACCTCAAAGTACGTATGAATGCTATATATGTATGTACAATGTCTTTATTTTAACAAGCAACTAGGACACGTTGCGTGAATTCCGCGGTTAAGCTGATCATGTCTTTCCTACGTCCCAAGCTCTCACTGCAGGTGGTGGTGGCCCAACGTCGACTGAGGAATCACTATCTGTATCGCTTTTTTTACTCTTCTTCTTCTTCTTCTTTTTCTTGCTTTGACTCTTTCTTTTCTCCTTGTCATCATTCAATGCAAACACGTAGTCATCCTCTTTATCAGATGCCACATCTAATAAAGGATCATACCCCTCTGAAAAATACTTGTCCATGGATAAATTGATCTTGACCTTTCCTCGACCTTTGAATTGCACAGGCTTCTCTTTTTCGTCATGTTTATGTCTCTTGCTTTCTTTTTTCAATGGTGATCTTGACCTTGATCTATGTCTTTTGTGTCGGCTGCTGTGAGAGCGTTCGGGAGATGGCGGTTCTCCTGTTGATTCAGATTTGGATTTATAGTGAGAATGGTGGCGATCCTCGCGGTGATGGCGATGATGTCTCGACCGCCTTCTTTCATCGTCTTTTCGTCTGGATTCCTCCCTCTGCTTTCTCTCCCTTTCCAATCGCTCTTGTCTCAATCTTGCAACATTTTCTTCATTTGCTCGGATCACTGCTTGATTGTGGCTGTCTGTTGCTTTGACCATATTCAATAAGAATCGAGTGTTTGGTTTTGGCTTGTTGCTGGGTGGTCTAGTAAAGATACTTAGTTGTTGCATGATGGGATAATGAAATGGGGCCCTTACGTGTCTGGTTGATATGCTTTCACGCCCACCTGGTTGTACTTTTTGCGCTTCTCCTCTGCTTCCTTGAGAATGAGATCAGCAACATATTTGTCGACGTCTTCATCCGAGACATTCCTTGCACTTGCACCTGCAGCAGCTCTGATCAGGTCACTGACAACACTGTTCACTGCGTTGGTCTTTTTAGGTGGCATGGAAATAAAGAAATGGAATAAACGTTCAATTGACCCTTCTTCATGTTGGGCTGGCAACGGTCACAATGGAGATCATCCATTCCATATCAAGCATCAAAGCATTTGCTTATTTTGGGGGGAGGAGCATTCTTGCTCTTGCTCTTCTTCTCTTTTGTAATTTTCACAATTCATGAAGTCTGTCAAGTTAACGCAGTATCTGTACACAGCGTCTCTGTTCTTTCTCATATTTCTAACAGCTGTTTGCGTTGCCATCTCTGCTGCTGATGTTGTTATTCAAGCTCTCACAGACAAGACAAATACTGGCCAGTTTGATTATCGAAATCTGATTGTCGTTGGAGGCAGTTACCTGCTCTTGGTAAATAATCTTTGATGTCTATCCGATGAATACTAACTAAACGAATTTAGGCATTGGCTTCATTGCTATTCTCATGTAGTAGAATGCTGACAGTAAGAGGATCCCTTCAAGATATCCCAAAGCTGTATATTCCCATCAAAAAGGAAGACTTGCCCACTGTAAGTTTGTAGATCAATCAATTACAATTTTTTTTGCTGTATATTGATTTGTTCTATTTGGATATACAGAAAGTATTTCACAAGATTCGCCACGAATTCGAGCAAGCCAAGCAGACTCGTAAACTCGCTGGGCCAAGATCAGAAGATATTCAAGCTGTGGGTTGGGCCAAGCCAGGTAGGTATTCACACCATCTGCACTAGAATGTTGACTGATGGATATCATTGCTACCAGGTACTCCTTTATTTGAAGGTTTAGACTTCAAACAAGCCATTGCTAGAACACCTGCGATTGTTGGTAAGTTGGATTATATCGCATTGCGCCCACTCACTCACGCCACGCTACAGAAAAGATTGCATTGAGCATCAACCCCGACTATTTCAGGCCTCTCTATGTTCCAGTTCGACAATACATTGAGTTTTTGATACAACAAGGACTGATCGACAAACAATTGGGATCATTCTATCTGAGAGGATACGAGATTGCAAGATTCAGTCAGGAGCCGTTGAGTCAGGATCAGTACATGGAAGTGATGAAGCATCTTGCCGCCATTTTACAAAACATGGGCTACAATATCAAGAACAACAGTAATGTAGCAGCAAGAAAATCAAGTCATCAGACCAGCAACACCAACGACTCTGTGTCTTCGGATCATAAGGCCGCTCGGAAATCAAGCTATCGACGCCGATTATCAAGCCATAAATCAATAGATTCCATCTCTGTTACCCAGTCCATGCACACGTGGAATTCACGTTCCACACACACCACGAATAGTAAGAAACATGCCATGATTCACAACAACAACAGCAGTAGAGAATCTGCGGATGAATTGGATGATGAGGATGAGGATGATTATTCAGCTTATGATGAGGATGAAGTGCGAAATGACATTTATGAATTGCTGATGAAAGACAGAGCTTCACAACACCAAATCTAATACCTAATCGTTCTGTAAATACATAACCACACTACCACTACCAACTGCAATCCTACTATTAGCATAATCTACAATTTAATACTCTCAAATGCAACTGTACAAATATTAATCCTATCATCAAACATAATATCTCAAATGAAAACATAGGAAAAGGGGTGTATTGCGAGTCGCCAGGTGCTCTATGATCTACCGTTGGCTTTTTGAATTCCCAAATGTGTGTGTGTTTACTTGACTTTGAGATGATTGAGCCGTGTGTCCAATTTGTGAAAACGTCCATAACCCATTATGCTATGTTTTCCATCCCTGATTCTTTGTCCTATAGGAAAAGTTGTCTGCCCTTCAATTTCTGTTGAAAATAAGCAGTGGTAATTGGATGGCGTAGGATATAGTTGCGTGAATTGTGTCAACCAATTAACATAAACCTGGTTGCTTAGTAATAAAGCAAGATAATAAGCAGATGATTTGAAGGGGGTGCTTCTTGGCTATCCTCGGAAGACTCTAAAGCTGAATTCTGAAAGTTGACAACATTATCATCATCAATCTAGCCATCTTACGAAATGGAACCATGCTGTTTCCTTTGCTGGTGGGCGTCAAGACCATAGAAACCATAGCATATTGTAGTAGTAAAAAGTCGAGATATAAAAGCTGCACATCTACACCACCTTCATGTTCCAAAGAAACTACACAATCTACCGTATATCAAAGATAATGCCTCTCCTTCTTCTTCATGAGTTGGATTGATATTCTCAGCTAACAAACGATAAGAATAGACTCCACCAAGTATTTGTTGCGTTTGTCAAATCTAGCGTCATCTGTCAAATGCGGTCTCCATGAAATATCAAGCAAGATGAGTTTGGAGACTCACTAACAGCAAATCTGCAAGACTGTGCCAACAATTTGGCGCATTCTTTTCTCGCCACAAGAAGCCATCGTCAAGTTTGCCAAGTAAAATTTACCACGCATCGTCAAGAGCTTGATCCTGTTACTGCACGCATACATATCTAGAGATTGTAGTTACAGCAGGCTGTCCATGCTTTGCTCCTCTATAAAACCACTTTCATCCATCAGTTTCTGACGAGAAAATCACTTAACGAAGCCCTTGTTTTGATAATTGTCTATTCAAGCAGGAACAGACGCAGGGCACGTGATCACCGTTTCTTCACTCTGAAAAATCATTGGGTGGCTTTGTTTAAATAAATTCATGCCAGCTGTCAAATTTTTGGATCCTGCATGAAAAAAATAGGAATCAGCCTATCAAAAAGGCGTTCCTGAATTACTGTTGCATCACTGACAACACGAAAATTACTGCTTTGAGCAAGGAATGATCGACACGAGTTACTTTTTGATATGGGCAATATTGATGTGTAATTTTAGCTCCAGGGCATTATAGGTATGTTTTCGCTCGTTGAAGAGTTGCCGCGACCCTTTTTTCTCGGTTTATGAGACGTATTTTACATGAGAGTGTGATCTGGATGGATTTTGAAGCCATTTCTACGTGCATTTGACTGGATAGAACCAGTGGTTATGTTTGTATAAAATCCTCTCGAGCATTTGGCAAAGGCAATATTTAGTAGTGACTGTAACTACCCCAGTGATCTAGAGAAACAAACTTCATATAGAGACTGCACGAAAGAAGCTTTTCAGTGCTTGTGTGAATGTGGTCGCTGGTCGTATTAATCTCATCTTTTCCAAGCTTGGGCTATGCATTTCACTCAACCAAAGAAAAGATACTCGCCTCATAGGACCTCAAAAGTGACACTTGGTTGAGCAAAACATACCACGAAATATATCTCCAGAGGTTTTATACTTGAAATGACCCTTATGTAGGACATCACGCCATATGTTGTAAAAGACCACTGGATACAGATGTAAACAGAGACGCCGTTTTCTATGTCTACATATCATATTCAAAGGAAAACAGATAACTGGATGTACTAGCTCTCATTAACGAATTTAATTGCATGGATCGCGGCGTTGTCCCGATTCAATCCCTATTGCGGCTGACAGTAGCAACCGCTGCTTTGGTAACGTGAAATGCCGAAAGCTTTAGAAAACGGTATTACATAAAAAATGGAAAAATTTTATTGTATGATTAATCCGTTCTCAAGCTTTCGAGTACTGCTGATCTCAGCCTGTTATGATGTACCTTATTCGTTTTGATCTGGAATTTATGGATTGATTCAAGACCCAGTTGTCGTTTTGACATCTGTCATGTCATCTTTGGAGAAATCAGTTAGCAGATTAAAGTAGTTTAGCTGCAAACTATTAACTCGACATGAAGCAAATCCAAGCACGGTTAATGAGTCAACTGGAGGAATAAGCTTTGTTGTAGATCTTGTGGAGGTGTCGGCGGTTCAAACGCGACAGTTAGTTACTACCGTATTTAAAAAGAGAAGAGTTTTCCTTTTTTTTTCTTTTTTTTCTTTAGTTATTTTACTCCTTGTTCTTTTCTTATTCTGGTTGTCTTTGGCTCCCACACGCGACAATAGTAATGACCATGCAAATGAATACGTCAATGGGCATGAACATGGATGCGGGCGGCAGAAACATCATGCCAGAGACTGATATCTTGAGCGATGAAAACAACTTGCCTGCGCAATTCGTTGCTGCAACAAGAATCAGTATGAAAAACTTTATGGACAAGCCTAATGAATTCCGCAATATGGTACAAACTTACTGTATCAAAAAAGGAAAACCTCTCGTTATCTCTGATATGAACACTTTGCCTGGATGGGACGATGGCACCTTCTCACTTGATCAACTGAAAGCATATCGTGGTGATGAAAGTAAGCATCTGAGAAATAGAAAAAAAAAACTGTCAGACTCAGCATTACTCATATTATTTCATCTCTTTCAGATGCTGCTCTTGATTTTCCTGACGCTGTCAAGAGGGACGTTGTGTTGGGTAAATTCATCGAAAAGCTGCAACAAGAAAACCACCTGGAAAGGGACCACTCGTATCCTATGCTCAAGAACTCTACCCAAAAGGTGTATGCCAAGGACATTACCTGCCCCACTGAATATACTGCTGCATTGGAAAAGATAGTCCCAGACTACTTGCTCCCTCATGGACCTGATGATCTGTTCTCCATCTTGCCTCAACGCTTCCGTGCGGAAAACCTCATGTGCTATTTAGGGCAAGACAATACTGGTACACCTATCCACCGTGATCTCTGTGGTACTATGGGTCATAACCTCATGACAATGGGCGACGCAGATAGCTTTGCTGAATGGATTATTATTGAAAGTGACCACCGCGATGAACTGGCTGGCATCTTGCGACCTTCACAGACCGAGAATTTGGTGGCAGACCTCAGCAGCCCACCAAAACACACCAAGAGCTCATTCATGGAGAGTGATCGTGCCTGGCTTCACAATGCAATGCTCGAGCATGCCCAGTTCCAAGCCCAAGTTATTGTTCAAAGACCCGGTGATCTTGTCATTATCCCTAGCCGTGCCTATCACCAAGTCAGAAATGTAGGCATCTCTGTCAAGATTGCATGGAATAGGATCACAGCACAAACGCTCCAGTATGCATTCGACGATCAGATTCCCTTGTATCATACTATCAATCGCCCAGAAGTTTACAAATGCAAGGCCATCGTAGCATTGACAATTCAACACTGGAACGAGCAACTAAAGAAGATGAAGAACAAGAAAGGGAAGCGTACGCAATTCTCAGAATCATATGGACTACATACCTATAACAGCAAAAAGGCCTTCTTTGACAGCTCACTCACTCTGCTTGCTTTATTCCTGATCGAACTCATTGAACCTGAAATGCTCTACCAAACCCACAAGATTGTAACAGATGAGAAGGATGAGGTGTTTACTGTGCGCTGCGATTTCTGCTATGGCGACATCTTTCACCGATACTATCACTGCGATGCTTGCAACGACTACGACTTGTGCCTCAATTGCTATTCCATGGGACGCAGCTGTGAACATGCCGCCGAGATGAAGATGCATCAAAGCCCAAAGAAGTTAACCAACTACATCAACTTGTACAAGGAGTATGTCCAGAACTTGAATGAGGTTCTTGGAAGTAGATTCACATACTTCTGCGAAGAAAACAAGGAGGACCGTATCCTGAACTTGTAAGCACAAGCATACAACTATATAAATCAATGCGTCCTTACTGATCTCATCTTATCTTTGACTTTAGGAAGCCATCAGAAGCATCCAACCTTGCAACCACCTGTGTACGACTGGAGCGCTTCCGCAAAAAGTATCAGAATCAGCATCATACATTGAGATGTCAACATTGCAACGCCACCACCACAGTAAACGAATTGGGTAACCAAGGCATCAGCTTATCGTCTGTATTCCAACAAAGCCCTTGCAGCAATGTAGCCACAAAGAAGCGGCCATATGTGGATGTGTACACTTGCAATGCATGCACCAATACGTGCGACAAATGTGAACCATTGGAGAGCAACAACGGATCGCTGAAGGACTACAACTTGGTCTATTATCTTCCTGCTTCCCATGATTCTCGTAACAGAGGCTCATTCATGGATTTTAATATTGCAAAGGTAGGTTGTTGAGCGATTACGAACAGAGCTGTATCTAACGTCGTAATCTGTTATAGAGCTATGATGTTGCTGACGATCCGGTGTCAAGCACCAAGAGAAAGAGACCAGAAGAGGACCAAGATTACCAACCTGAAAACAGAAGAGCAAAGCGTATGTCCCGATAGACATTGAAACGCGTTTGCAGAAAACCTTGAGTTTGTTTTAAAATTATATACACCAAAAGAAAAAAAAAATCAAAAAAATCAAAAAAAAAGCAAAAACCTACAAAAAAAAAAAAAAAAACGAAAACAATTAGTTTGTAGTAAAATAGTACCTAGTTTTTCAATTTTTAATTATGATAGTAAAAAAAAAACTAGCCCTTGCTGATTTCGTCTTTGGTCCTTACTGTTCTAACGCAAACAAAAATATCATCAGAATTACAAGTAACTATTAGGGTTGTGTCCATGTTGAAGCCAGAAACATAAGATGTTTTGCGGCACCTGAACACAGCGCACATCATTTGAAATACCAGATAAAAGGAAATTAGCAAAGCTCAGTGACAAAGCGCTTTACATGCGTGTCAAGCTCACAGCGGCCATTACAAAATGCAATGACAGCAAAAAAAAAAAAATCTCTGCAAGCTATTAAAATCATAGCTCAAAGTTCAAAACCTATTCAGGGGCAATGCCCACAGCAGCAATCACCATGGCTATAGGAAAACCACCCAAAACATGTTTGAATGCCATGTACCCATCCTTACAAGTGGCAATGTGTATAAAATGTCTTTATTCATAGATGTAGGTAGAAATGCGCTGCCCAGATATATAATGTGTAAATCAACCCATCAGTCGCTTGAGGTCCGTCAATCTTTGTCTCAATCCCTCTCGTTCATTTTCGCTCTCTGAGTACTTTTCTTTGATCTCAATAATCATGTTCTCCATATACGCCAATTGATCTTCGAGAGCAGAGTTTCTTTCTACAAGTGCTGCATTTTTGGTATATAGGATCTCCATCTCCTCTTTAACTCGAGTTTCAACTTCTGCAGGTAGTGTTTCCAGCGCCTTTTTGAGATCATTGGATTGCTGGCGTAGTGCTTCATTCTCATCATGGATACGCGCAATATCCATCTTGGCTGTGATCAGCTCTGTTGCAACTTCAGTGTGCTCCTTGTTCAACTCGCTGTATTCCATATCCATCTTTTTGATTGATTCGGCTAATGCTTTGTTTTGTCGTTTCAAAGCTTCAATGGCCTCTGCTTCGTTATTGGCTCGGGCGGATTCCACTTGGTAGTCTTTGGCTAATCGATCCAATCTCTTGGAGACAATGTGGATTTGGAAAGCATCTTTGACCAGTTGATTTGCATTTTCCTTGTGATGTATACGATATCAGCCTACACATCATATCACTCGCACCAACTCATATAGTTACCATGTAGATCTCCAGTAGATCGCTTTTCAAAAAGTTGACCAGATCATCAAACTCAAGGCTGAGAATGGTCGATTGATTTTTCTCTAATAGCGCAACAGAAAAGCGATGTAATGTCTCTATTCCTTCGGCAAAAATCATGTCGTAGATGCGAAACACAGTGTCTAGTGGGAACTTGTATGCAAACAAGGTGCTAAACCACTGATAAGCATACATATTTGATCTCACGCCGTGTGCCTGAAAGTGTCTCTGGATGTGGGGTAGATGATCGGCCACCAGGCCTTCCAATTGGTATAGTCTTTGCGATAAAAGATCTGATTGTGGCAAGAAATGGCCTCTCAGGTCATATTTGTTCATCAACTGGACAATGATACAAAAGGCTTCTTCTTCTGGCATCTGTTTATTTATGTCAGTTCCCATGTTAATTTGTTTGTGCATGTATATAGGCATATCATAAAGTGAAACTTACATTCAAGAGTAAAGGTCCAGTGATATGTAACAATCCTTGGCTGTAGCCCACTTCTGTATCGTACAAGGAATATGCCTTCACCACATTAAACAAAGCCTCCTGGCCATCTTGCACAGCGAAATACTCGTGATTCATAAAAGATGCTTTTGGTAAATCTCTTGCAATCGCCTTTTCATAGACAGACTCATCCTTCAACAACTGCATGTACTGTTCCTCCAGCTTCACATTCTTACTCTTTGCGAATAACTGCCAAATCATACCACGAAGCGTTGGTGGGATTCCTCTCTGTATATTGTATGACAGCACCTTGGGTTCTGTTTTGGCAACACTGTTGAAGTCCGAGATGACCTTTGACCAGAATTCTGTGTTGATGTAGTGAAAAGGAGCAATCAAAAGCAAGCAAGGCAAGGGGGGGAAATGAGGAGACAGAATATGTTTCTGGCGGATTAGTTTCACAGTGAAGCTTACATGCAATGTATGCCCTTACCCCAGTCAATTTCATCCTCTTCGCCTTTACATACAGCATCGTTGTAGACTCTGTCAAATGAATTCCTAATTTCTTGAGTTGGTGTATCCAATGTGCTGGTGCTTGTGGAAGATGTGGTGTCTTTGGATCCTAATCTAGCCAATAACAAGTCGTAATTGGAAGCACTTGAAACGTAAGAATGGATCGAGGACATTGTAGAACGATGGCTTTGGTGTCTCTTGTGCCCTGACACCAGATCGTCATCATCATCGTAATCTGAGTCCGAAAGACGATGATTCCCATCAATTAATGTATCATCCAATTCATGGATTTGGTCCTTGAGATTCATATCATCAGTGACTGTAGCAGTTGGTAGCTGTTCTTCCCCTGACTGTGTGCTTTCATTGTTGGTTGCTCTTGGCTTGTCCTCATCTTTGTCTCCTGGACGATTATTTTGAGTTACGGTTAAAGCACGACGACGACGCTGCTGTTGCTGATTTGCAGTGGGTATACTGGTAGCGATGACATCCTTTTCATTTTGTTGCTGTTGCTCAGCAATGGTGTCCAGAGAATCATAATCTGCATCATCGGAATATGCGTCTGCAATTGAACTATGGTTTGAGCGTATGGTAATGATGGATCCATCTGTGATCAAAGCATTGTCCTGCTGTTGTTCTTTGAGCTGATCATGATGTTGGGCTGCAGTGTCTGTCATTGTTGCTTATAATGGAGAGAGTTAGAAAGAAAAAAGAAATTGGGTATGTTGTGTATAATACAGATAAATAAATAAATGAAATAGGAGGTGAATGTCGACAGGGATTTTTGACCAACAACAAAAAAGAAAGAAAGAAAGAGCAATGAACTAAAAACGCATGTTCTGTGTACACCCTCTAACTACTTGGAGTCACAGTTAAGGTTGCAGCTCTTGATATACATGGTGCACAATATATATTTATCAACTCCAAGCGTAACACAAAGTGAAAATCAGATGTAGGTGCGGTATAAACAGATTCGAGTTGTTGACATGTAAGATTTGATCTAGACCTCTTCAATTTTATATATTCTTTTGCAACATGTTCAATAACGAAAGTGTACCTTGATCTAGGTCCGTTTTACGTTAAATTTGACAGATGATATTTTTGGATCCAAATCACAAATTTGACCAACCAGACTCAAAACCTGTTGCTTGGGATAGATTGCCAGTGTTTTCTTTTCTTTTCTTTTTTTTTTTTTCTTTTTTTTTTTTTTTTTTTACCAAAGCCTTTCATGGTTATGAAGGTTGCTTCTCAACTTTTCATGTGTGATAAAGAGATGTTGCCCGGAAGGATACGTGTTGACGCTTCTTTCTCTTCGATGCATCTAGGGTTACAAATTTTGATTATTTATATACAATGAGCTCGTTAATGTCCTGTTTAGTATTATAATATGCCCTACATGGCCCAAACACTGCTTTTAACAGACACTATCTTGGTACTTTATCAGATAATGCACGGTTTAAGTTACGCTATTTTTGTTATATTCATTGTTGTTATCTCAGTAATGACACTATTATCACCTTAATGTTGTTCTTAATAAATGTTACAATTTGATGTATCTTTTCTAAACCGGATCTCCAAATGCGGAGAAACAAGCAGTTCAAGCACCGATCACATCAGATCATAAATTTTGACATGAAACAGGATTCAGTTACGATCCATATCATGGCATGTTCAGAATAACAGATTGGATCTATTACCCCATCACCCAAATCAACCCATCTAATACCTTATCCTCACATCAAAAAACCCCTCAATTCAAATAGTATATAAACCCTCTTATTGTCAATGTAATAAATGATATTCTTTACCTGATTAATTTCATACTCTTTAATGATGTATTATCCTTGAGAGTTGAAGCAGCGTACATCATGTTAGCTGGATTAGTGTAAGATAAATTACTTCAAATTAATGCGAGTGCTGATTTTATTCGATCAACAAATTATGTAGTATGGCTATTTCAACTTGATGCTTATTAACATTATATAGCAGTACTTTCTTAATATATCCAGTTGCTATTAAAGTGATACTCTTGTATCGTGAAGGTAAACCAATTTCATTGATATGCCAAATATGGGTTGTGTCTTCTCCTTGTTCAATGAACATTACTGAACTACTAGGCAAATTACGTTCATAAATGCTTCAAACTTTTGTACATTTGGAACAATAAGGATCAGCACTGTATTTTGTTTATTTCAAAAGCTACATCATTAAAATAATGATTTGTCCATTTCAAAAAATTTAAACGTTTTTTTTCCTATAAAGGAATTTGAGACAAGACCTCCAGACAAAACCTATCAAAATCTCTCAATTTCAAATAACTACGAAGAATACTAGCTCGATAAATAGGGTACTCAGAAACGTTCTATCTAAAACCACTTGCCAATCTTTTGTTATAGCTTGGCAAAGAATTACAGGTTTTGTTGTACAAGCTATGATATTCTATTTTTTTTCTCCTATGAGGACCTGAACGTACAAGATGGTTTTTAGTTTTGAGGTTTTCAACTTTTGGACGATCGAAAACCGATTTTCTACATATTGATGCTAGAGCCTTGAGACTAGCATGTTTCTATACCAATTTTTTGCCCTCTAAACGATGGTGCAATTGAAACTTACGTAGGTAGCATGGTTGTTGAGAAAAAGAGATTTTAGAAATAGTTCATTTTGAATAGATGCTGCTAGTAAAACTTTTTAAATTACTATATGAATGTAGTATGTATGTATAGTGAAAGTTGCGGAAAAAAGCTTTTTTTGACTAGGTAATGTTTGATGTGAGGTTATCGAAGGTGATGCAAATGAGTAATGACGGAAAATGTTCCAAATGACCGATTTTAAAAGGGCCATATATCTGAGCTTTACTAAGTAAATGAGAGCCTCAAACTTAAAAACTTCTGTTTCTTTTTCAATTCTCTATACGATGATATGGTTTTTATAAATTAATTTCTTAAAATTTCAAATATCCCCTGCTTGCAGCCGATAAAATATAAAGTTTTGAGCAAACTTATAAAGGGAAAGTACATATGGTACCTAAAATCCTTATATTATAATGGATATAACATAGAGCTATTGAATGGTCTTTGTTTTGTGCGAATCCAGTGAGTATGTGTCGAGATATGGTTAAAAAAGAGTATTGTGCAAAATCGTTGATTTTTCTTCAAAATCTGCCTGTGATAGCAAGCAAAAAAATTGGGTGACGATTTCTTGGTCAGGATAATATTGCCAATATTTCATGATAGAAATATGCTAGGGCTTTGAGCAAATGTTCATTCGATAGAAAATTTCTTGGTCTACAGTGTTTAGTAATGCTTAACAAAATGTTTTGATGACAGATACTGGTTAATCTTTAGAAAACAGTGAAAAAATCGCAAAAACAATCGTACCAAATATCAGGTGAACAATGTGCACCAAACACTTGATATGGATACTATTGTATTCTCCTTTGAATTCTCTACAGGATTTATATAAGTTTGAAGGGGTGTTTACTATCAAGAAACGCGTAATGTTAAAGTCGATAGATTTCGGAATCCTATGGATCATCATTCAGGACATTAGAAATTGAAGCTCCGTTTGACCTTTGCATGTGTACACCACATAAGTATGAATTTGACCAAGCATTTTAAAATCGGGGCGTACGAAAAGGGCAATATTAATTTGCTCGTTTCAAGTTATTAATAAATACTTGACATGTTGAAAAATATTGTTGTTAAAGCTAGACAATTATAGCTTGCTTTGTTCAAAAATAATAACTTTTCCAAGTTAGAGTAAGCATATCCTTCCGCTTAAAAATAATATAAACATCTTGGAGATTTTTTTTTGAAATACCGGTTCGCCTGCCATAAGATGATAAATGCTCAATCCATAGACAGTCTCCCCACCATGATATGAAAACTGAGCTTCCAGGCACATATATGATGAATAATTTTATAATCAATTAACAAAAAACACATATATTTGCCGTCTTTCCTCTGCTCAATGCTTTCAACGTTTTCTTGGAAAGGAGATCCGGAGCCTTAGAGATTTTGTCAACGGCTGCGATCGAGACAACAAAACAAACTTAGTCGACCATTTTGAAGGCCACGTTGTACTATAAACCTAGGTAACATACTGTTTGAACTACTAAAGAACGTATAATTAGAATTTATTTTGTTCCAAAGTTGATATTACTGATAACATCCGGTTTAACAAAACTGACCATCTCTCTGAGAGAAATGTTGACTATGATCCCGATTTCCATGCAATGCAAAACTACTTGAGTAAATAATACTCATGTACCTTCCATTGAGAAGGAAACTATTGTCGCCAAAGATGCAAACCAAGCATCGGCCTCGACCAGAAATGTCAAGGAACCTCAAGTCTACGCTCCCAATCGCAACTTTCAGAAACGCAGAGAGTTATTAATCAGAGAGGGCATATATCTGTTGAAAAGAACAAGAAATAACTTGTTGATCGCTTTTAATTTAGTACTAGAAGATGTAGATTAGCTTATTGCCAATTATCCAACGACCCAACTCAAAGGGGTGCAGATAGAAATCATGCAAGTATATTACGCATTTAGAGTTTATTCTCTCGCTTTTGAAAAGCTAAGAGCACTCAACCCAGCAGCATTCCACTATAAGCAGTTGATGAAAGCCATCTGACCACATCAACACAGATTTCTTGTCAAGTAAAAGAAATAAAACTATATCTTTTCATTGGCTGTCAACCACCTTCTGCTGTTGTAAAAATGCTCTTCAAATCATGGAACAGCGCCCAAAAGTGTTCTTTATACAAGGCTGTTACCTCTTCTGATGAACTGATTTGACATCTGTACCTATGATATTATGATTTCTTATCTGGTAAAGATGGAAAACAAGATGGAAAACACATCATACATAACGCACCAAGACGTCGTAGTTTAATTTCCACAGATGAAGATTATGTCATTCAGAAATAGAATTATCAACTGTTTTGCGAGAGTAATTCATATATATGTTGCATCTGTCATTAGATCTTCAGTCATTATGGTGATAAATGTTGCATACAAGCATGCATCTTAGGCTACATTCACTTTCTCCTCAAGCCACCTTTTACAGCGTAGCAGCATAGATGATGTTTATCGTATCACATCACATCTATGTTTACAAGTCCAGTCAATTGTGTGTGCACAGGTGCCTCAGGAACTACAATACATTCAATCTCCCCAATGTCAAGATATCGAGATCCACCTACACTACATGAAGCATATCGACTTAGGTGGCCTCTCAACAAGCTATACCAACAATCCATAAGGCCCCAGTGGCCTGCTATTTATATACCATCTCAACGTAGTAGTCATTGACCAGGGATTTACCATATTTAAGCAAACTAGATGCCCTGTAATAAAGAAGCTCTTTGCTTTCGTTTTAGATACAGTTGACAACTGATTATTATCATCGACTTATTATTACGAATTCATCACATACTGGCTTACCTACTCCTTCTTCATCTAGAGCATGATAATGTCAATCATCAAGACTGAACGTCTTACCTGTTAATCCTTGTGCGTGATCCACATACCTGGGGTTGTTTTTTGCTTGACAAGCAGCACTATGTGCGTACGCATGAAGGATACTCACCTCATAATACCATATTTCTTTTAGACCAATAATTGTATTCAGTATATTGAGTGTACATACGATCCTGATCACAGGAACTTACGTTG